AACAAAAAAAGAAAAAAAGAAAAAAAGAGGAAAGAGGGTGATCGATTTGGGCATAATAGAGAGAGATTGAAGGGGGAAAGGAGGGGTGAGGCGTTTTTGAAGGAGGGGCCGTCTCTCGACCCCCCCCCCCTCCCCCTCCCGTCTGTGTGTATGTCTTCTGTCGTCAAATAATATCCCGCCTCATTCCCATGCAACCATTCCAAAGGCTTTTGTAGCCAAAAGCTTTTGTCTGTCTCTTTCTCTCCCCTTTTCCCTTTTCGTTGAAATGAGGTGTACCCGGTTTCGATCAATTCTCCCTTTCCGTGAAGAGAAATCGTTGATCTTTGCTGTCATTTTCTTTTTCGTTTATTTTTTTTTCTTTCTTTTCTTTTCTTTTCTTCTTTATTTCTTTTTAACCTTCTCATCTTTGTCACTCAAGTTCTTCACTATCCCTTTTGATCAACTGATCTATTTTTTTTCTTTCTTTCCGTATCTCGAGGTCGGATAAACATGTTTTCATGTGAATCTCCGTCTTTTATAGATTTATAGATTTTTGAATCTCCGTCTTTTATAGATTTTTCTAATTTCGACTCATTTTGACCTGTCAATCCTTTGCATGATTTAATGTGATTCTCTGATCGACTTTTGGTTACCATGTTAGATTGATTTTTGACTAAATTATCGATCAGATAAGATCTTCATCGTAGCCTTGTACTCTTTCAACTAGTTCTTGATCTTGATTTACTAATCTAAATATTCCCAAACGGTCTCAAGCACTCAAGTATGGCTTTTCTCCACATCCTTGCAAATACACTGAATATTTTGAGCTCCTATTGTACTATTGTACTTATGAAGTGCTCTGGCTGTGAAATGCCTACTTTAGCCACCCTTATTTCAGCCTATCTAGCCTATCTAACCCCAGATTGTCTCGTCTGCCGCTTCCCCATTCCCCCTCTAATCATCATCACATCGATCCAGTCCAAATCCTATTTTCTTTCTCAATTTCAACTCATTTTTGCGATTCGATTTTCAAAAAAATTCTACTTTCTCATCTAGTCGTTATCGATTTTTATTTTTATTTTGCACAAGATTCCTTTAAAGCTCGTCAAACTAATGTACAGCTCAAAAATTGTATTGCAAATTTAGCTGTTTCATTGTGCTACACAAATTATCTATGTTTTGCAAGCTGTTTCAAGAGCTCAGGGTTTTAACGCTCCCAAATTTGTAAAGTTTTCACCTTGATGTTATCAAAGTCAAGATTTTTGTATTGAAATATCTTTCATACTCATTTCCATTTCTAAGATCTAAACTGTGTGATTCAAGATCGATTCTCTGCTCGATTTGAATACCATGTTCCCTTTTTCTCAACAAATCCCCATTCAATCCTCCATTGACCTTGACTTTTACCTTTCTCAAAGTTGCATTCCCGTAAATATCTTACGTAGAACTCTCTGTTCATAAAAATAAAATCTTTTTTTGAATTGCAATGATTTCTTCAATTTCTTTGCGTCTCACCATTCTGGCAGCTGTTTTGAAAAACACATTTTGCAAATGATTTTCATTGTTTAAAAGTTCACGTTTTACTGTTTTACTAGATAGAAATTTCTATAAATGATTCAAATCCCTTTTCTCTCTATTTCGTCACTTTTGTTTTTACATTTTTTGCACGGAAATTTTTTGGTTTTCAGGTAAAAATATAGATTTTGCTAAACCCTTTTCTCTCTTCGGAAGTCAATTTTGATGACAGTTTGGAAATACTTTGAGTTGAGTATATGAAACTTACAAATTTTGGTGTAAAGTTAAACCCATTTGTTAACTGTATATCTTTAGATCTTTCTAGATAGGATATTCAGTCAAAGCTTGGGAATACTGTAAGATTTAGTGTGAATGAAAGCGGATTGTCAAGCCCGAATTTTCTGGGCGAGCCAGGGCCAAGCATCTGCTTAACCCTAGCCGGCTTGGCCTACAAGTTTCTGGACAAAGTACTGTAAATTTTATTAATAATACAAAGATACTGCAGACATTACTTATAAAATACCTACTTTATGCAAAAGTCACCAATCTGTCATGGACATTCTTGCATTCTTTTGTTCTCCTGTTTTTAAAGCCTTCCCCATTTTCATAATAACATAATTTGAATATTTCTATATTTGTCCAAATCAGCGATAATATTATTCGTCATTTCACAACCGCAATTGATCAAATTCGGCCCCAAATACGCTTGCAATTTTGGCAAACTTTTACTCACTCTCTCTCAATATCGGCGCTGAAAATCCCCCCGCTTGTTGACGGTATTTGATAAAAATTTCAGGGGAAAAGAAAGAGAGAAAATTTCCTCCAGACCCAAAATTGAAAAAAAAGAAAAAGAAGAAAAGACACGGGACACGGTTTTCGTACCCGAGAGAATGAGCGCAGTCATTTGGAGGCTCGTCTGTCTCTCAGCTCTCTACACTCTCTCACCCAATGGGCGCTTTATGATGTTATATCAGGATATTCTGAATAGTTTAAGGATCAAATGTCGTTAGTTTCCTTTTCCGGTACTTGAGACTATTTGTGTCACTATGGTATACAAAGGTTAGCCAGTTTAAGGCTAACAAAAAGATCTTTGAGTTTCCCGGTGCTTTAGCATGATATACCCAATTTTATTTCAAGGTTATTTCAACTTCGAAATGAAAATATACATACCGTAAATATTGTAATAGTACCCCACCGCCCTCGTACAGTCGCGTAGTCGCAAAAGTTTTTTAGTATTTCATTTTTTGCAAAGCACCCGTACTTTCAAAAAATGCGTCTTTGGTATCAAAAAATAGCTGAAATTGAGGGCTATTTTTTGATAACTAAGCGCGCATTGTAGCATAAACCAGTGTCGAGAAGAATTCGTTCAAAGCTAGACTACGCAACACCCCGCACCGGATTATGGGGGGTGGGGTACTTTACAGTATTTACGGTATGTATTTGAGCTGAAAAATAATACTTTTTCAAAAATCTCTAAAATTTTAACGAAAAGCTGTACTCATTTTTTTAAATGAGGAATTTCTTGCAGTCGACTTGTAAATCATCGAACAAAGTGCTCTTGAATTGGTGGATTCGTTTTTAAGAAGTTTCAGTTCAAATCTTTGACTTTCTTGCCATCCTAATATATCTTCATAGTACATTAAAAGCCGTTTCAAAAGGAATATGATTAGTTTAAGGGTGAGAAAGTGATAGTGATAGTCTTTTGAAAGTGATAGTCTCAGAACAGATTTGAGCTTAAAGTAGATGTTTTTTTTGGCATGATAAACCCCATAGTGCCCCCAGCGTCCCCTCTCTGTCCCCTCTCCTTCCCAATCTCCACCCAACCTTCAATTCGAGCTTTTCCACTTTTCTGCACTCTTGTTATCACTAAAATCACTATCTTTCAATTTTTTCGTTCTCACCTACCTTCATTCCTTTCCTTTTCCATCTTCCAAAACTACGATTGATTTTTGAACCACCCATTTCAATCACCGAATTGACAAGGAAGTGTTTATCATCTCTTAAGATGTTTTGTTTCAACCTGACTTCGGGTTTAGCGACGTGCGTCACGAAATTGTTTAACTTCTTTGACCTCTTGGACTTTCGACAGTTGGAACTAGCGAACTCACTTTGATTATCAATTATTATTAGCAAGCAAATGGATTTCAAAAAACCCCTCCTGAGCCTGAAACATATTGATGTGGAGAGGACGGTAATGATCTACACTCTCTCACCTCTCTACACCCTCCTTGTTTTTGTGGTCTGTTTGACTTTCAACCAAAGCCATTTGATTGACAAAATATCAAAATTAGTAAGACGCTAATTGTTCACGTGAACTTTGTTGGTTTGCGGAAGTCATTTGGTGCACTGAATGAGTTATCAAGTAGTCAACAACTGAGTTTTTAATGTACAGAAATGAGAAAGTAGAAACGAGGAATTTATCCTTGAATTACTCGCTAGCTGAAAACGGTTCTCGGTGACAAATTGGGTAAACGTTAGGAATCTTGAACGATTTCCCTTTCATAAACTTTATATTTCCGAAAAAAGATCACGAAACGATCATTACCGTTCTCTCCCACATCAATATGTTTCGAGGAGGGGATTTTTTGAAAAAAAAAAAAAAGATAGGAAAGCTTTTTGGACACGTGTTTCCTCAAATTCTTTTCCCCATATTCCCTCGTTTCCCTCATTCGCCAATATTGACTCTTTCTCTATTCAGTTCTCTTTTTTTCATCAAAGTCCACGGTCATTCCAGTGTCGTTTTTCTGTATCCAATGCTTTTTTTGTGGCCGCAAAAAAGACGAAATGGTCGATTTCCCCATTTTCATTTCAGCTAATCGATCAACTATTTTTTGGGATTTTTCTGATTTTTCATGACGATTTGAAGAAAATGGCTTGATAGGTCCATAAATTTTATTGCTATATGAATTCCTTCTAATTAGTTTTTGTGTAAACTCTCATCAGTTAGTGCACTGAGTTTTCACTTTTCTTCGGAAACCCTTGCTTAAGCTTTAAAGAGTAGACAAAGTTGATCAAGGTCCTGCTAGGTCCAAATCAGGGTTCACAAACCGATATTGTACGCAGGCAACAAGTTGACATCGGTACATCGAAACGATTCAAACATTTTTGGAGTTTTGGAGTTAAAAGAAGTCTTTTAAAGTTTGATCATTGACCAAAATCACCCTATGTTTAAGGACAATAAACGAAATTGTGACGACTTCACTCGTCAAAAGCTACTCCTTTCTTTCTCATTCACAGACTCACCTCTTCTATGCGCATAAATATATAGCACATTCTTTGTGTTTCTTTTCATTTTCCTTTTCTCGTTTCTCGAAAAATTTTCTTTATTCAGCTTTTTTTTCCTCTCTAAAAAGCCTATCGTTTATTCTGTGGTCTTTTTGATTAATCACATTTTTGAGCCTTTTTCTGAAATTTAAACTTAAACTTTCAGAAAGAAAAACGATCAAAATCCGTGTGTTTCGAAATTAATTTCAAAAACCACTGACATCAATTCAACTTTTTTTTCAATGGTCTCCGATGGTTGTGCGGTTTGTGGAGATCGAGTGAATGGAGCGAGATATGGAGCGCCTGCGTGTCTCGGATGTATCGGTCAGTATCGTTTCATTTTTTTTTTATTTGATCGGTTGATTGGTATTCCAACTATAGGTATTAACTACCAAATAGCTGTGCTTTACAGAATTTGGATCATTCAAATAAAAGCTTGAGAAAGAAGTGCCTAAAATTCTCCAATTTGCTCAAAGAATCCCCTTTTCCGTTAAAATGAGGAAAATGAAATGTTTTGACTTAAACATTTAAGCCAGTGTGATCTTATCAAAATTTCTTTAAAACATTGTACTTTTGAAGTTCTCATGCTAAAATTGATCATTTTCGCTTCAGGAGAAACTTTAGGAAATACATTCATAATGATAGAATGATAAAATAGGCTTAAGCTATAGAATGATAAAATAGACTTTGTTCAAAAATACCGACTGAGGCTACCAGTGGTGAATTTATCGCATACACGAAATATATCAATCACAATACAACGACACACACAATACTAGGCTATATCTTAACTTAACCCACGTCATGACAGACGGCTCCCTAACCCCTAAGCTCAATGGGGGAACTAAAGAGCTTTTTTGGTGGTGAAGGGAAGATGATGATGAAGGAGTGGCTTGTCACTTTAAAGAACTGGGGCCACAACCACCAGACTGCCCTCCAGAAAACCTCTCAACCCGAAGGGAAAGGAAATCCGAAGGGGGTGACCATGTCGCATGTGGGGTTCGAACCCTCGACCTTCCGATTAAGATAAAAGACACTTAACCAGTCAGCCACACGTGCTTTGAGAAAAGAGAGAAAAGTTTTTGCATTTAAGCATTTTGCATTTTGCTTATGTTTAAAGCAATCAAAGCAAAAGCTTTTCTCAACAAAGTCTATTTTATCATTCTATAGAAATTCGGTTATAGAAATCCACAACTTACTTACTACTTACTTACTACTTACACTTTAATATAAAAACAGACACTTAATAGACAATAGACACTTATCTCGACTTTGACCCTAATTTTCCCTATGTCTTTATTGGTAAGTCTACAAAACAAATTCTATATTTCTTTAATCAAATTTCATGTAGATTCTAATAAAAGTAACCGTGGGTGATTCAACTTTTACATCTTGAGTTATAGACCATTTAAGTGGATCCACCCTTAGACCTTTCAGGTAGGCAGTCCAACTTTGACCAAAATTTTCTCTATGTTTTTATATTAAAGTGTAGTAAGTAAGTTGTGGATTTCTCAAAAACTCAATGTTCCAAAAATCTCCTTGCAAAAGCTTAATCCACCAGAAAATCCGGACCTAATTCGATCAAAAGTTTACAACTACAATAAAGTAACCTCGTGTTTTTGATTTTGTATTTTGTATTCGATTTTGAAAAAGATTTCCAATTAAAGTCTATTCCCTAGGGGTCAATTAAATGGAGAAATTGTTGGCTTTGCAAAGCGGAGATTTTTAAAAACTCGAAAAATTTCAGTGTTTTTTCGCCGAGCTGTCATCAAAGAGGCAAAATATCGATGTATGAAAGGACAAAACTGTGAAATCACTTTTTGTGAGTGAAAATGAGAAAGAGAAAAATAAAAAAAGAACTTTTCAGCATCTCGATGCATTTGTCGGTGTTGCCGTTTGTCGAAATGTCTCCACGTTGGGATGAGACCGGATGGTGAGTGGGCAAATTAGGGGGAAAAGAGAAACTAACTTAAAACAAAGCTAACAATAAGCCAAATTTTGTTTTGCATTTTTTGTGTTGACTTTAAAAGCTAACAATAAGCTAGGTCAAATCAAATTGAACTTCTGGAAGCTGTTGAATGATTCTGAAAGCTGTTGAATGATTCTGGAAGCTGTTGAAGTTAAAGAAATACATAACTTTGAAAAGCTTTCTTTATATATAACAACAAATATTGTTATATTGTTATAATAGTATCTTCAGTATATAATGGAAAACTTTTCCATAACGATTTGTGAAAGAAAAATTCGAAAACCATTTTCAGCAATTCAACGCCGCGATGTGATGGGTCCGCGAAAACCGAAAGAGAAAAAAAAGAGAGGGTGGAGATGGGGAAATCCGGGAATTGTTCCACAGACCATCAACATCGACATCACAGACGGCAATGAGTGGAAGGAATTCACCTCCAAAGCCGGAATGCTTATCTGTTGCCAGTAGCTCGGGTCAGTCTAACTCACAAAAGCAGCTTTACTTTGTACTCACTTTCTGGCATACTTAAGAGTATTTCAGAAAGCGGGCGTTTTGAAAGAGCACAAAGTAGAGCTTCTTTCTGCCATTTCTCTTTATTTCCTCATTTCAGGTGCTTCCTCCGATTCGACATGGAGTAGTCCAGACAGTGTGATGGATCGAGTGATGAGAATGCAACAAAAACAAGTAGATCTTTGCTTTTAGAATCCCTTTTTTCAACGTAAATTCCAGAGAGCCGCTCACAAGGCTCACTTTTGCTGCCTATGATGCGGGAATTGATGGGAAAGATGAGCTCTTTGATCAAGTTGAAATTCGGGTTTGTTTTTTCTTTGATTTCTTTGAATAGATGGAATGATATGTACAAAAAATATAGTAATTTTTCTTGAAAATACATTTATTCATTTGAATAATTTGGTACAAACAATAGCCGTAAATGTAGAAGAAAAACCCATATATATATATATGTGTCGCAGCCGCTCGTGATTTTCAGCCGATGGTGATTGAATCACTAGCGGCTAGTCGATGGTTTCAATCACTAGCGGCTGAAAATCAGCGGCTGCGACATATATATATCTGAGGAACCAATAATCTAGCCGACGGGATTGAGTCCTGGATCTCCGGACTAAGATCCCGATAGGACTCTTAGCCAGTCGATCATGTCGACAATTGTGTAACAAAATCCTTTTTCAGTTACATCCTGGTGGATCGGGGCCACGGCGAGCTAGACGACACGATGTGAATGCAATGTTGAGATGCGGATTGATGGATGCGGCCGAATGGGGACAAGCGTTTAAAGAATTCGCTTCACTTAACACACAGTCAAAGGTTTGAGAAAGAGAATGAAATAATAGCTATAGCTGACAAACTTTACGAAGTATAGTATCTGATGTTTGTATAATTACAGTACTTACAGATGATTTTACAGTACTTTGAATTCCACTTTACACTTACAGTCCTTCGAGCGCGACTTTGCCAACTAGTTTACTAGTTTCTCTTTCTTCTTCCTTATCTTTCCTATTTCTTCTAGGGAAAAGAAGACGTTGATAGCTCATTGGTAGAGCATCTGCCAATGAGCAGAAGATTGAGGGTTCAATTAAATGAATTAGATATTACAGTACTCACAAACTACTGTAATGGCTAATCTATTAGTACCAAGCATTTTACAACCACAATTACTAGTTCCTAATCTATAAATCTCAATATCAATATCAAGAAACTCATTTTGTGCAGTCAAACGAGCTTTCAGCGCCTCATCCTACAAGATTTTGGTTTCGCGATGATGCTCATTGATCAAGGATATCAAACGATTCAACAAGATGATCTCGAGGTTGATGATTCCACTTTATCATGTTTCAACAATCTCATTCTAGCTCTGGATTCTCCAAAATGGCACTTATATGTGCCCAGATTACACCCGCGGTTTACCCACACACGAACTACCCCTTGTTGATAAGGATAAAGCAAAGTGAGTGGGATAAAAACATTGAAAAACAGAAAAACAAGTGCTGCATATAGCAAAGACCAGTACCTATAAAAAGTTGTAAGAACAAAAACTATAAGCATTTAAACTTTCGTACAGTAATAATCTTCAGACTACACCCGTGTTTTGTCGCCGAGGCTATCAAAGATGTTGGTCGACCGATGCGTGCCTTGAAAGTTGATGAGTACGAGTGTGCTGTGCTCAAATCAATCATTCTTCTATCATGTAAAATTCTATTTTTTTGTCATCAAGTATCAAACATTTCTTAGATCGTAACCATTTCACGGAAAAACATCGGAAATCAGCATTCAGTCTTCAAACGAAACTCATCAACGAATTAATGGATTACAGTAAAGCAAAAGAGGGAGACAAAGCGGCAGAGAGATTGGGAGCAATTCTGCTCTTGACAACGAATATCCGGGTAAGTGAAGAGTACGGTAATAGCTCAAAATTCTTGGTGTTGAGTTGTGCAATTTAAATAGTTTTTTGTACCAATCGACAGAGAAAGACTTGGCGCATCTAATGATAACAACAACAAACAAACAAACAACAACAATTTGTCAATAGTTTATAAATTCAACAGCCCAACACCAAGATATTTGAGTTTAAAGTTCGATTGCTCATGGGGAAAAAGGGCGTCAAATGTCTGATAGCCTTTAAAAAGCGTAAAAGTACTCTTCTTTTGTTATTGATGACTTTGCTGCCTATGATGCGGGAATTAATGGGAAAGATGAGCCTTTTGAATTTGTCCTACCTTTTTTCTAAGATTTCCATTTTCAGTGCAGTGTTTATTGGGCCTATACGCACACTCGAATGCACGATGTTTTCGGGATGATGATGTTCGATCCACTCGTTCGCGATGTTTTCCTCACATAAGTCAAAAAAGAAAAGAATATTTTCCTTTGATTTCTATTGTCATTCTATATTATTCTATATTATCTCTATTCCTTTGTCACTATCGTAAGACTTGTAATAGATTGAATAACTGGGTTTACGGTAGTTGATTCATGTAGAAAATCGTGAAAAATGGCAGATCGCTGAGGTCTGTTGATTGGATGTTGATTCAGGCTTTGAACTACTGTTCAGAAAAATTCATTTGTCCATTTGTTTTCCATTTGTCAACTCGTTTTTCTCATCTTTTTTTACATGTTCATTGTGATGAGTCCTTCGCGATTCTCCTCATTTCCTCTCTCTCTCTCTTGTCACCTCAAATCTTCACATGATTCTATCCATTTTAGTCTCAGTTATAGTTTTAACCATTAGTTCTTTAGTTTATTTAGCTATTTTATTTTTTGTGATTTACTCGGGTCTGTGATCTCTCCAATTGAAAATTTTTCTCTACCGTCATTGTTTTTTTTTGTCCATTTACATATAGTACATATAGTGGTGATACACATGAACTCAGAACGGTTTTTTTCGGTTTTTCTTCTTTTCTTTGTCAGTTGAGTGAATAAAATTGTTTAATTTTCACAAAACAAAAACATAGCACATGTTATCGGAATTCGCGTGCGAGCAATACTCGGCGTGTTGCGGTAAAGCGTAGGAGAAAGGTTGCGATGAGCAGACGATCATCTGAACCAAACGTCAATAATATGGTGAAAGGCTGTAAGTCATTTTTGGAACTGTTTTCTAAAAAGTCCAATTACCCAATCAAAAAAAGCACAAAAATATTGATGTGTGTACAAGGGAAAGCAAATCCGATGGTCAGAATCTCAGGGTACATTGTCATAATAGCGCTTAAATTTGCATAAAATCCCCTGGGCATGTAAGAAGAATGTCCAAATATATATCAAAAGCCGAAAAGCTTGACAAACAAAGTAAAAGACTTTAGCGATCTGCGAGTTTTCACGATTTTCCACATTTTCTTAATGTTATTAAGTGATATTAGGTACATGCATAAGGGATTATTTCAACATTTCCATAAATTTCCAACGATAGAAAACTGATATCGATGAATGTTATAAACTATTTGAAAGTTGTAAATCTCCTCTACAAAATAGGCTAAAACGTGTTTCAATTGATCGAACCATTGAAGAAATTTCGAGGGCGAAATAGGAGTGACCAAAACAAGGAATCGAGTCACTTTAGGGACAAGTTTAGTGTGGTCAAAATCGAGTTAGCTTCCCAAAATTAAAGAGTTAAAAAAAAGGATAACTATATATCAATTCATTAAAAGAGTCTAACGGAAATGCAATTACAAAAATTTAGATAGAGCGTAAGTTTAAAACCCTCAAAATTGTCAAAAAAAACCGGCTTTTTCACAAAAAAAGAAAAATTATTATAAAAACAAAGTTTTCCCATGAAATGATCCCAACTCTTAATTCTTTTGAATGATATTTTTGGGCGGCCATTTTCTGATTTGGTTCAGATTTGGTCCTGGATTTTGGTAGGTCATTTTCCACTATATAGTCAAAAGCGAACTTGTGTGAAAGTGGGGTTTTTCAAAAAAGTGCCTTTTTTTTGGTCACTCGCATTTCGACCTCGGAAATTTCTTCAATGCTTCGATCCAATTGAAACACGTTTTAGCCTCCCAAAATTAAAGATTTAAAAAAAGGATAACTATATATCAATTCATTAAAAGAGTCTAACGGAAATGCAATTACAAAAATTTAGATAGAGCGTAAATTTAAAACCCTCAAAATTGTCAAAGAAAAAACCGGCTTTTTCACAAAAAAGAAAAATTATTGTAAAAACAAAGTTTTCCCATGAAATGTTTTCCCATGAAAATCCCAACTCTTAATTATTTTGAATGATATTTTAGGGCGGTTTTATTGATATTTTAGGAAATTTTCCACTATATATTCAAAACCGAACTCTTATGAAAGTGGGGTTTTCAAAAAGTGCCCTTTTTTTGGTCACTCGCATTTCGCCCTCGAAATTTCTTCAATGGTTCGATCAATTGAAACACGTTTTAGCTTATTTTGTAGAGGAGATTTACAACTTTCAAATAGTATATAACATTCATCGATATCAGGTTTCTATCGATTGATTGATGATGAAAATGTTGAAATCCGCATTTCTTATGCATTTCCCTAATATAACCTTCTTTTAGTGTTAACCAGCCTTTAAAACATTTTCGAAACAAAGCAAAACAAAGAGAAACAAAGCTTAATGTTATTAAGGGATATTAAACGCTATTTTTTGCATTAAAGAAATATTGAAAAGAAAAGAGAAAAGCCAAATGATAGATTCGAGACTAGCGCTCATTCAGGCGCTTGTTAAATGAGTTGCATACGTCCAATTGGGAAGTTTTTGGTAGATAAATATTGCCGAGAATTAGGGCTACAATTCTCTATATAACACTTGCCACTTTTGAAAGAAATTAGACATTTCCCAGCTATTTTTCCAAAAAGTTGTCGCTATAATTCGCGGTCACCCTGGAGTTTCACTGTAATTTGCATAAAATCCTTCTTATTATCAGATATGATAAATATCCATTCAAGACACGTAGAAGTACGTTCAACCCGTCTGACAATGAGTTTATGCAAAATTTCTCCATCAAGGAATCAGTTAGTCAATTTTTTTCCCTTCAACTCACCGCCGGAACCTCCCCCCTCAGCGTGCAATCGGGTCATCAACGCCATTTTCGAGATTTCTGGCGAAGAGGAGATTGTCTGAAAACGATAAGGTTTTTTTTTCAGAATTCTATTTTCAAACCTCGTTGAGGGAGATTTCGCAAATGCGCCGAGTTGCAGAGGAAATCGTCGTTCTGACCGCTTTGCCCAAGCCACTCCACGTCAGCTGATCTAAGAAGTTTTTGGGAAAATCTGGTCAATAATGGACTAACCTCTTTTTCCTTCCACATCCACATCCCCCTCCACCACCTCCACAACAGCCACCAAGCAGGCCAACACATGCCATTGTACAAGTCATCAATGAACATATGAATACCCACTGTCTCATTTTAAAAGTTGAGCAAATAAGGTTCTGAAATGTTGAACAATTGTCTCCTGGGGAGTATTTGAATCCACGAGTTGAAGACTTTAAAGCGATTCAAGAAGCGATTCAAAAAACGATTCAAGAAGCGATTCAAGAAGCGGTTCAAGAAGCGATTCAAGAAGCGATTCAAGAAGCGATTCAAGAAGCCAAAGTAATCTTAGAAAAGGAACACGTTGCAACAATAAATAAAAAGATATAAGTGAAGGGAAATGAATGAACGGTGACTCTTACGGTCTTCATTTGAGATGTCTTTTTATATGAATTGAGATTGAAAACCGGTTTGGGGATGGACTGACCCAAGAATTATGCGATGAGCAGTTGGAAATTGAGGGGAAAGGGCAAAAAGTGAATGAATAGAATGAATAGAAGATGACTGACTGAAGAAGAAGATGGAAAAGAAGCACGGGAGATTTCCGGGAATAACCATAATATGAACAAGTCTTTTATGAAAAAAGATATTTTTCTGTAAAAGTTTTGATTGAAAAGGCTTGCAGAAATGCAGAATGCAGAATTGCTTTGGTGAGCGTTTTATTTTATTGGATCGGTCGATAATAATGAGTCGTTTTCAAGCAGAAATATTTATTCAATAATTTCTAAATCAATCAAAATAGGTTTCCATCTTTTTCAATAAACTGCGCATTTTATTGGTAGAAGGCGAACTCCTTTAGCGTAAAAAAAACTTTGATTTTGAGTCAAACTAGTTCTGTACAATTTTTTGGTAACTTTTTCATCTTCAAAATGCTCTCCGACTAGCGGATTTTCCAAATAAATGGTAATCTGATAGAGCTAGATCTGGGGAATATGTTGGGTGTGGGAGAAGTTCCTAGTCCAGGTTTTTGGTTGTAGATCGAGTCAGTTTAGCAGTGTGTAGGCGAGCATTGTCATGCTGCAAGATGATCTTTTTCAGATTTGGTCTTTTTATCTCAAAAGCTTTAGCCAGATTCTGCAATTGATTACTGTATCGTTGAGAGTTAAGTGTTTGCTTGCTATCCTATAACTTCCAGCACTCCCAGTATCCAATAACTCTCAACAAAAACCTCAACCGGTCTCCCGGAGCGGTTGCTTTCAATCAAAGATTTGTCCCCATTTTTAAACTGTGAAATGATCGATCACATATAGTCTATAAAGGAGTCATGACCATATACTTGTTATGTTATGTGATCTAGATGTGATCATGAGGATCATGTTATGTGACCATGATGATCACGTTATGTGATCATGACGATCACGTTATGTGACCATGATGATCACGTTATGTGATCATGACGATCATGTTATGTGATCATGACCATATACTTTTGTTATGTGATCTAGAGCTAGGCTTGAAAATGAGTAATTAGCGAACCCAAATAGCATGCTGAATGCTGAATATGCCCATTTGGCAAATTTACACTAATCGAAAAAAGAAGTAGTTAATAAAGAAATAAGAAGTGTTCAACCAATGAAAGTGCTTTGGAATAAGAGAATTCTGTTGTCTCTTTTAGAGGTAAACACTGAGAGCCAACTAAACTTTACGACAAAATTTTCTTTCTTACTCATTACTTATTGACCATCCCAATAGTTATAACGTGAAAGTTAATGCTTATTCTTAAAATTTTCATTTTTATGGCCGTGCGAATTGGATTGAAGAAGTTTAATTTTTTACACATTTAGATTCACTTTGTACTTTGTAACATAAAGCTTTCTAGATGTTCTTTAGATTTACCAATTTGCTTCATTGCAGATTTGATGTAGAATCAAATTCTCAAGCATCTTTATCCCGATCATTTTCTTACCTATAAAAGTCTATAAGAACCTATAAGAACTATAAAAGCACTATAAAAGAACTTTAAAGGAACCATAAAGGAACTATAAAGGAACTATAAAGGAACAATCAGACTTACCAATTTGCTTCATTGCAGATTTGATGTAGAATCAAATTTCAAGCATCTTTATCCCGATCATTTTCAAAATAATATCTCACATAAAGAAATCAAAGGAATTTAGGTGAATTTGAAAAGTAATTAAAAGAAGAAAAGAAAAAAAGCTGATAGCAATTGATCCCTTTGATCATAATATGTAAAGGCACAAACACTCGTACAAAAAGCAAGAATTAGATTGAGGCTGAAATGTGTAAAAAAAAAGAGAAGTTTGTCGATGTCGAGTTGGGTGCAGAATAGAAAACCACATTGGCTACCGTAATCGGAAATGAAATCTTTGGACTACCGTAGCTTCTATTTTACACCAAACTTTCGTCGATAAGGACTACTGTAAGAAGGTTTATAAACGAAAATTGAATCTTTAGTTGTCTTTAGTTTTTCAAGAGAACCAGTTCAAATCTGAATATTTTGAAAAACTGAAGAGATTCTTTTTTCACTTAAAATCCTCACTGGAACGTTTTTGTTTTTTTCATTTTTTCATTTTTTCATTGAAAATTCACAATAAAAGTTTGGTTTCATTGGAATTGGGCTGAAATTGGATCGATTGAGAAATATTACCGTATTTCTTCGAATAGAAGACCGGGTAAAGAGTATCATCGCGTACTCCTGCGTAGCAGCCCTTTTTAAAATTTCTTTTCTACATAAAAGCTTTCAATCAAGTGCTATAGAGCTGGAAAATGGCTCAAAAATCTGTTAGCTCGTGTGGTATTTTTGAGCCATTTTCCAGCTCTATAGCACTTGATTGAAAGCTTTTATGTAGAAAAGAAAATTTTAAAAAGGGCTCGCTAAGGAGTACGCGATGATACTCTTTACCCGGTCTTCTATTCGAAGAAATACGGTATTTTATATCACAAAAAAGCTCAACGTAGATTGAAAAAGAGAGAAAATCGATGATGGTCAGATTATGCTGAATGAATGAATCGATTGAGGAAAGGAAATGATTTGAAATGGATAAAGAATTGAACTAAATACATCACCAAAGTATTGAAATAAATACATCACCAATCTTTACATAATTGAGCAACAACAGAATTTCTTCGATCCGTGATGACCTTTCCCCGTTTCCGGGTATCGTCGATTGATTTGTCGAACGAGATCGAAGAATACCTGAAAAAAAAGGGAATACTTTTTCTTCAGTTTTCTTCAGGTTCATTCATTTTCTATGGAAAAATTACTAATTAATTACCGAAAAATTACCTTTATCTCAAATAGGATTGTTAAGCATATGTTTACTAAGCATACCCCAAAATGTTTACTCTTAATCAACTCTAATCTTGTACTTGGCAAAGAATTACATCGTGTTAATCATCAATAAAATACTGGCTTTTTCTTGTGTACTAGACATGGGAAAATTCGAACCCGAACCTAATTCCACTTTCGTTTTCTCAGCCGTTTCTTGTCGGATTGTTCTGAAATTTTGTTTACAAATAGAAATTGATATTCTCCGCTTGTAGGCAAAATTTCAGAGCAATCGGCCAAGAAACAGCTGAGAAAATGAAGGTGGAATTAGGCTGGGCTTGGAATTTTTCCAAGTTCTTCTGATTGAAGTCACTGTTCATGACAAGTGAAAAGTATTGAGTGAACCAGACGGAAGTTGTTTTCAATATTGAGTTCAGAGGATGAGTCAAATAGCAATTCTGTTATCGGATAACAAAATTTATAATTTTTCCTGATCTCTATTGATCAAAGCAAAAGTTTAGCAAATGGGGATATGTTCAGTGCTTTTTTTGGAATCAAACGTAAAGAGATAAAGAGTAAAGAGATTATTGGGGTAAAGAGGATTTTGTTAAACAGTGACTACCTCATTAACGTTGATCTTCGCTTTGGCCGAAGTCTCAAGAAAAGCAGATCCAAATTGTCTTGCCAATGAGTGTCCTTGATCTTTCCCCACCACTCGTTCATCTTCCAAATCACATTTATTTCCAACAAGGATCATCGGCACCTGGAATTTGCATTTTATAGCTAATTCTCTAGATTTCTAGATTTCTAGATTACTAGATTACTAGATTACTAGATTTCTAGATTACTAGATTACTAGATTTCTAGATTACTAGACTCTAGATTACGATTACAGATTACTAGATTACTAGATTACTAGATTTCTAGATTACTAGATTTCTAGATTTCTAGATTTCTAGATTTCTAGATTTCTAGATTTCTAGATTACTATATTACTATTTTATGAATGTAAGGAGTTTATCTAAAATAATTTGTCCTTAAAACTTTGCAAAAGATTTGCATGCAAGTAAATTTCACCAAAGTAAATTTTCAGTAACCCCACAATCATCATTAGTACCTGAAATTTGCATTCTTACTTACATTTAGATAAATAAAATTACTAGCGATAGAATTACGGTAGTTTTCCGAAAAACAGTCATGTTTTAGAAAGCGCATTTAGTTTGGGAGAGCAGTAATTTGCATTCACAGTCATTCTAACGCACATCATCGGCATCTTTGACGCGAAGAATTTGATCGCGCAAATCGATTAAATCATTGAATGTCGATTGTGCTGTAATTGAATAAACCAAGACGAATCCCTGTCCATTTTTCATATACAAATCTCGCATAGCCGTGAATTGTTCCTGAAAATGTCTTTTTTGTTTGTTTCAAAATTGATCTTCAAAATCAATTTTTACCGTTCCAGCCGTATCGAGAATTTCCAGCATACATTGTTGTCCGTCCACTTCAACTTGCTGAAATTTGAATTGCTTTTTTTACATTGCTTTGCTTTTCTACATGCTGTACACTTTGAAAGTTCATCATTTTTCTTCTAAAACGAAGCGTTTCGTAGCTGTCGTAGCTGTTGTACGCAAGGTTTCGTTTCAAAGGAAAATCACAAACTTTAAGACTTCTGAAAGCCTCTTCTTTTGACTTACACGTACGAAATGGTATTAACTTTTTTCATTAATAGTTATTGATCTGTTTTAAAAAGGTTTCATTAATCAAATTCGCTTCTCAAATGATGGAAATTTTTTATCCTGCGCTACAGGTCAAGAACACAAGTTCGGTAGATGGTGGGTCGACTTGGAAAGCCGGTGTCATTTTTTTTTTTTACCTTTCGATAACTGTCCTCAATCGTTGGATCATATTTTTCCACAAAAATCCCTTGAACGAATTGGACTGTCTGAAATTTTTTGGGCTTAGGCTATTTCAAAATTTCGGGTTTGCTCAGCGATGAAAACAACGTCAAATAGAGAAGCCCATTGAATTTGTCATTTGGCTAATATTTATTTGTAATTTGCAGCTATTCTACCGTATTTATTTTTATTGAGTACTAAATTTCTCGATCTACTCGAGTCTGAACTCACCAAAGCGCTCTTTCCAACACCTCCCGATCCCAAAACGACGATCTTGTACTCGCGCATTTTGATCTGTAAACAAAAATCCATATTTTATAGAAAAATTTGAAAGTGCATAAAAAAAGAGGAAATCAAAAAAAAAAGAAAAAAAGAAAGTAAACCGGTTTCCTGACGATAATCCCCCTCCCACAAACCCTCGAATAGAGAAATCGAACAATGGAAGACGTGCTTTTCAAAGCAATGAAAAAAAAAGAATCATGCGAGAAAAGGATTTGTCCAACTCAGGGATTTCTTTTTCGATAAAAAAAAGGAAAATCGATACGGGAAGTGGTATTTGGCTAAAATAGTGATTTCTAATTAGTCACAGTTGAGGAAAACTCTTATCGCAAATTTGGTCACTTTTTAGCCAATGGGCTAAATTTAAATCAAGACAATTCTTTTGGGGGAAAGCGAGAAAAGAAGCCGATGGCATTGATTGATTGGTTCGAAAAATGGGCTCGTAAAGGAGAGACGGGAAAGAAATGACTCAGAACAGATGGTTTCTCATATCTTTTTGTTCTGATTCACATTGTTGCCCAATACAAAACAAGATTAGAGGAAATAAAATCTGAAAAATGGAAAAAAAGAGGAAAGATCAAAAAAAAAAGAACCTACGCGGGACTATAGAATGAATGTGTTTGAGAACGGGAATTGGAAGGGGGAAAGGGGGAGAAATGAGAGAAGAGAGGGTCCAACGAGCTCTTGAAGCGAAAATCCACAAACATACCACACAAGTTTCAAGAAAGCGAGGAGAACACACCAATCGTTTACGTTTTTTATGGATTTTGGATTTGATTCAAAAATCAGAACTAATAGTCTGATCTCTCGTTGCTTATCAAAGTGACCTCAGAAAGGTGAGAAGAAAATCGAGTTCAGAAGAGAAAAAAGGCGCTAAATTCAAATATGATGGAAGTCGTTGACTTTAGATATCTAGAAATATTTGCTTTTTAGAAAATATGGTGCTCTTATATTGTTAATCTTATAGTATTTTCTTAGTTTTTATTTCTAACAGTGTACTGTAGCATCATATTAAAGCGGCCACAGTCATCTCAGCCAACACCATAGTGCCTCAAACAGACTACATTTTAAAAGATGAAAATTTTTCGAAAAATTATTTGAAATCGAATGTCTTATATTCAAAGTTGAAACTGTGTTTTAACAAATCGAGCATTTAACTCTTAGATTGTAGATTAGATTAGATTAGATTAAGAATCAAAGCTTAATAAGTTGACTCAAATTCAAAGAGATTCAAAGAGATCAAATTGTATTCTAAAAGATCAGTCGACAAAATGTTAAGATCCAAGGGTTGATATCCTTCATGCAAAGAGAATTTATTCTAAAAGCTACTATCCAGCTAAATGTTAGGAAATCAAAGGTGCGCCTTCTCTTTCTCACCCCAGGATGAGGGTAATTATTGAAAAAAATGAAGAGGTTGGTGAGATGAGAGGTGATTGAGGTAGGTGGGTGTGAGTCCCCCTCCCTCAGTCAGCACAATCCTGCCCTCTCTTTCATCCTTTTTTTTCTTTTTGTGTGTCGCCACGCCCCGATGCAAATCGATCAAATGCACACACCGACACCCCCCTCCCCACACACAGAAATGACAATAGAGACGTGCTAAGGACGGGGAATAAGTGACTGATTCGTGAAAGGTGAAAGGGTAAGAATCACAATCCATCATCGTCCGAATCACGATTGAAAAGTTAAACAGTAATCAAGCCGTTTTAAACAGCTATTTCATCGAAATCTAAAATTTAAAAACTTTTATTGACAATCATCGATAACGAGAAAAGCTATATAATATCAAACAACGCAAACTAATAATTCTATGGCTGCCCGTATTTTCATTCAGTAAAAACGACGTCGAAGGATTAGAGGAAAAGAAAAAGAAAAAAGATTTGATGAAAGATGAAGAAAAGTCTAAGAAACAATGACTAGATATTTCAGTAAATTTTGGAAACAAAATATCCACAGGATTTAAAGCAAAGTTGAAACTACTTCTGTGTTAATTGATGCGGTTGTCCGTGCTGACCGGGTTGCAATGATGATTGAAAGCCGCCAAAGAACCACGCGCCTCCAACGATCGAAGCCACCGTGAAAAACTAAAAAAAGACTAATAGGATAAAATATAGTAGAGTTGTAAAATATAATAGGTTTTAAAAATCTACGCAAATAAAGCTTAGCAATTCAAATTTCACAAGTTTATATTAGAAAAACTCTCACCTGCGCCGCACATCGTCCTCGCATATAAAGTTGAGCTTTATGCGGATTTCTTTTCAACGTTTGAGCCATGATTCCTAAAAATTTCTCTTAAAACAGATGTGAATCTCAACGAACCAATTAGGCATCCGGTAGTGGCAAGTAATCCAAGCGGAATAAACGGATTAGACACGAATTTCTGCAAGGCGGCCGCCGAACTCGACTAAAATTAAAAGAAAACTTGTTAACATTTTGATCGAAAAGAAACCTGAGATTTCGATCCACCAGAAAGATCAGCGGGTATCATCGGCACATTTTTCTCGGCGGCTCGTCCACCAGCTTCCATCTAAAATAAGAAACAATTTTTCGATCAACAATCAAATATTTACCCGCCATTGCATGTGCGCCGTGTGATCGGAGAAATCGTGTGGCGCTGACGCGTCTTTCACCATCGTTTCCGATTTCTAAAATAAAAAAAAACATTAGCCAATAAATTTGATAAAGAAACACAAAAAATAGGAATGACCTGCTTAGAATTGGGCTAAATTCCCTAATTTCAACGCAAAAAAAGTGGCAAATCGGCAAAGGAATGATTGGATCGAAAGAAATTTGGATCGGAAATTTTTTTTATATTATAGAAAAGAGAAAGAGAAAAGAGAAACCTTATGTGTGAGCTGACCTCGTTAACCGATATTAGAAAAAAGAACACAATAAATCTCGATCCATTCTTTAGAAAGGGACAAAACAGAGAAAATGGCAAAAAGTGATAGGCGTTGAAAGCTTTCAGATTTAAAACACAGCGTTTCATTAAGCAAAAATGGGGGTAGGCTAGTTTCCGCAACTTTTTTTGCGCAACAGGGTCATTTGCGCAACTGGGTCGTTTGCGCAACTCGGCATAACTTTCTTCTAAGTGGGCTAATCTTTATGATTTTGGTCTCATTTTGTAGATCTCAATAAGTGCAACAAAATGAAACCAAAATCATAAGGATTGGCCGACTTAGAAGAAAGTTATGCCGAGTTGCGCAAACGACCCAGTTGCGCAAATGACCCTGTTGCGCAAAAAAAGTTGCGGAAACTAGCCTACCCCCAAAAATGAATTTCCTTTTATCATAGTTTGCATCTATTTACAAAGGCTGCATATTAATTTAGTCTTGTTTCTTATACAAAGTGCAACTTTACGACTACTATAGATTTTGTTGAAAGTTTCAAACACTTTTTCAATCTTTTCAATAATAGCTAGAGCTAATTTTTAGGTTAAATAGTTTCATAAATCAAATAAGCATAAATCAAATAATTAAATCAAATAATTAAATCAAATATTTAAATCAAATAATTAAATCAAACTTTAGGGCAAACAATTCGAATTTATAGGAACTCAAATGTCAGAAACTCAATGTTTAGTCTCGAATTGAAAAGAATAATAAAAACATTAATGTTTTAAAAAGTGTCAGAAACGATTCGGATTCGGTTCTTTAAGAAAAAAAATGGAGTGAACGGAATGGAGGCAAGACGTGTCGCGTTGCGGCTCACAAAAGAGAATGGGAAGGGGAGACCATTGAGGGAATGGAATGATCCAAAAGTGAACACAGAGGATGGAGGGAAATCGAGGTAATGACAAGGCCATCCTGTCTTCATCCATTATATGGTTGAGACTGAACTCTATTTGGGGGATTGTTATGAGAGAGAATAAAGAGATCATCCAAGGATACCGGGGGTAAGAGTGCAGTTTACCCCGCCCCCCACGAAAAATTTTCGAAAACCACTTTTCTGGGGTTTTCGAACATGCTGAATCCGAATTACATACTTCCGATCACTGGAAACAAAGAAAATTTCGATTTTTTGAAAAATTTTGCCTTGTAACATAGTCCCGATCATCGGAAACGAAAAAATTGTGAGTAAAAGAGTCGAAGTTTTTGTGTTGGACAGAGCGGACTAACTCAATCAGGTAGTATTTTTCTCTGTGCATTCTCTGCGCGTCACGTGGTTTCCGGCCCCTTTAAAAAAACACGGTGTGACGCATGGTCACTTCCCGACCGCGCATCACGGGCTAGCACGGGCGGCGCCGTAGTTGCCAAATCATCAAGCAACTCACTAGTGTCCGTCATCCTAGAAGAAAAAAATTAATGAATGGTAGTAAAATCGGCATAAAATCAACAAAAAAGAAAAGAGAAACTGAAAGAAAGGGTTTAAAATTTTTTTTTTGTCTTGGTCTCCCAAGGCAAAATTTTTTGTTTCCGGTGATCTATGTTATTTGGATTCCGCATGGTCGAAAATCCCAGAAAAGTGGTTTTCGAAAATTTTTCGTGAAGTGTAGTGAAGTGCGGGTAAGCTGTACTCCAGCCGATATCGGTATCTTTTAAGATATTCAAAGCTAGAGAAATGAACATCTAGGGAGTAATCGACTTTTGGTTAGATGTTCGTTCTTGTTAGGTAAATTCTCAAAATTTTAGCTTCAATTTAGTCTGGTAATCTAAATCAAGCTTCTAAATTGACCGAATACTTGAGTAAAAAAAAGTTGTTAAATACTCCACAATGACAAACATGAACAGCCTTATTTTACAGCTTTCGACCCCTCAAACTCAAACCCCAGCTTTCGACCAGGCCACTCAAACTTCCACCATTACCGAAATGGCGAGAGAGGGGATAAGCGATGACGAAAACACCGAGTCAATGTCGTGGGTTTTCAAAAAGGACCGTTACTCTCTGAAACAATTCCATTCGAAAACAATACCTCAAAAAAGATTTCATTTTGATAAATGAGTGAAAATTGAAACAATTCTGTAATTTTCTAATCCAGCGAGCTCAATGGTAATCCGTGTTCGCCAAAGAAATCTATGGTTGGTATATGTTGTTTTTGCCTTGATCGGACTTCTTCTATTCACACAGTATTATACGCAGGTTTGAATTTGAAATCTTCTTTTCTACATTCTTTAGGATTTTCGGATATCTTCGAGTAAAAGTTTCCAAACAGTTAGCCGAGGAGAGCACTGTGTCGCTTTCAACATCACTCAAGCACAAAAAGTGTAAGCCAAAAGAACTTTTTGATAGAAATAATGTTTCTTTTTACCGTAATCATTTTCTATTTTACACTATTCTCTCAAAATAAATAAGCCAGTCTAGTAAATTCGGAATAAAATTTTAGTTTCGATTCGAATGGCGATCATGCGATAACCCTTGCCAGCCATGCTACTGCTAATTTCTTTCCAATCATCTATGAACAAGTGAGATTTTGAAACTGTTTTTAATTTTGTTTTTTAGTTAAAAGCATGGAATGGTCCAGTGTCATTGTCACTTTTCATCGATCGTCACTCAATATCGATTCTTGGAATAATTCTTCGATTGCACGAATGTAGCTCAGTCTTTCAGGAAAAGGTTTCTGAATGAAAGTATTGGGTTGGTGAATTGAAAACTGCCGGCTATTGTCATATGTCACAGTTTGAGCACTTTCTTCAAAGGAAACCCAATTTGGTATTAATAGAAAATTTGTAGAGAATCAAAAATTAAGCTTATATCCAAATTTTCAGAACAATTCAAAAACTGGTTTTCAAGAAATGCCAAATTTACGAATTTTCGCAAAACTTGCATTTTAAGCGAAACTATTAGGGGTTTGCAAAAGAAACTGCGCATGACTTTCCGGAACAATATTTTCTCTATTTGAAAGTGCTCTAACCCAGTTTAAATTTTATTCTATTGTGTTGATAACGCTTATTTATTTTACTGATTTTCACATTTGTTTGACCATTGAATTATAAATAATTTTAGTTGTCGAAGATGACGGATCAAAAATTCGTTTTGCGGGCTTGCCTTCTCTATGACTTTAAAATGAAGAAATCAGCATTGGAGTCGCACCGGAATCTTTGTGAAGCATTTGGAGAAAACGTTTTGAGTGAAAGAAGTTGTCAGGAATGGTTCCGGCGTTTTCGTGAAGGAGATGAGGGCTTGGAAGACGAGCCCCATGGACATCGTCCTGTTGTCCTCGATAATGCGGAGTTGCTCGAGGTTGTCGAGTCGGATCCAACTCAAACTTTGTCCGAATTAGCCGAATGCTTTAAATGCGATAAGAGCACAATTTCCCGACACCTTTTGCTTATTGGAAAAAGGAATCGTTGTGGCCAATGGGTCCCACATGAATTGTCGCCTGAAAACAAAGCCAATCGAGTTTTATTGTCTCGGATTTTATTGAAAAAGGCTACGGGCAGTGCTTTTTTTGAAAGCATGTTGACGATGGACAAAAAGTGGATATATTTCAATAATTCAACACGCAAAAGACAATGGTTGAGCAAAGGAGAAAGGCCGATTCCGACATCACATCCAGAACTTCACAGAAAGAAAGTTATGCTGTCGGTCTTTTGGAATATGAAAGAAATCGTTTATTTTAAACTACAAAAATCTTCAAAAACTATAACTTCTCAAAGCTACGCCGAACAGCTGAAGAAAGCTGATGAAATTCTACGAGAAAGAGGTGTTAATCCAAGGACAATCCATTTACTCGCTCACAATTTCCGGGTACACACATCAAACTTGGCTCAAAACACCATAGAAGAATTAGGCTGGAAACTTGTGCCTCATCCGCTCTATTCGCCTGATATCGCTCCCTCAGATTACCACTCGTTCCTGTCTATGCAACACTCTCTTGCAAAGCTAAAGTCTAACAATCCTGAAGAAGTCGAAATTTGGGTGCAAGACTACTTTGCATCGCGGGACCCCGAATTTTTCGAATCAGACATCCGAAGTCTACACAAAAAATGGAAAAATATAGTTGATAATTTTGGCGAGTACCTTTTGGAATAAAGTCTTTTATTATTAATTTTCGAGGTGTTTGAACGTTGCGTATAATACGCAGTTTCTTTTGCAAACCCCTAATACTACGTGCATCTTTTTGGAAATTTGGCTATAAGCCTAATTTTTGATTCTCTACAACTTTTCTATTGACACCAAAATGGGTTTCTTTTGAAGAAAGTGCTCAAACTGGGACATCTCCAGTCCTCGATTTTTGAGTCTCACACTTGTCTCACACAAAAACCAAAATCCTACTACGAAAGAGGAATCCGCAAATTGCCTGTAAAATGAGCAGAAGTCGTCAATAATAATGGAAATTATTTCGAATGAATTCATGGGTTTATGTTCAATAAATTTTAGTTCAAAGTCCGGCAGTTTTTAATTCACCAACCCAATAGTTAAAAATTGAGCCGGAAACGGATCAATAGCATAGCTGAATTTCAAAGATATTCAATTCAGTTAAATGTTCACATCGTTTTCTCGGGATCTCCATTCGATAGTGGGAAATGTCCTATTCTTGACATTGTCCCGAATTCGATCTCATGTCAGAAACTCACCTACAAATTTGGTATGTGATCTGAAAATAGATCGATTTCTCGACAGACTTATTTCTAGTGTAAAAAACAAAACACTTACAGTGCCTACAATTGTTCAATATCACTGATAGAAAACAAATTTCAGTCTCAAAATCAGTCTCCTCATTGCTAGCTCCATTTCAAATCTATCCGATCAATTTGATGAGAAATGTTGCTCGTCTTGGCGCTTCTTCTGACTTTCATTTTGGTTTAACTTTTTCTAGATATTACAGATTCCTTTTCAGTTACCGATATCGAAATGATCTGCTCTCATAATTTTGCGACTTTAGCTAAAAGATTCGCAAATGATTATTTGAGTTCCGGTCAGAAAAACGCGATTGTGATTAGGTAAAGATGAGTAAAGAAAGACAGACAAAGACTATGATGAGTAAAAAAGAAAAAATTGAAGGAGCTTTAGAAGATTTGAAGTTCGATCAAATGTCTCACCGCCACGATATGTAAAAGATTTGAATCGAATGTTTTATGCCAAAGAGTAAATGAATTAAAATCGAGAAGTGAAATGTTTTTTTTTTCAGAGCTTTCGAATTTCACCATGTACATTTCCCGGCAGGACACACGATTCCCGGTTTGTGGACATGGTTGAAGAAGTCGCTGAAGAAAGAGATGTCCATTGAAAAGATTTCCTACAGGTTGTCAACCTTTCAAATGCATTTTCTAAGATGTATTCACTTTTGAAGACTACCGTATTCCTACTTTTTGTATCTTTTGGAAACTCTCACAAACCTCACAAATGATCAAATCAAAAGTAGCTTGATTGTCTAGAAAAGATTAGTTTTCAAAGGTTAGAGAAGTTTGAGAGAAGCTTTCGATACGATAATAGATCTTGATTGTACAGAAAAGATTAGTTTTCAAAGGTTAATACCTTTTAGAAAATACCTTGTTTGAGAGAAGCTTTCGATACGATAATAGATTTTGATTACTTTTTTCAGAGGTTCCTCCTGGGAACCACAAATTATCATTCATGCAACAGCTCCATTGAACGAAGAGAATGTTCCCACTCGACATCGAGATCAACAAGTTTTGGTAGACAGATAGCTACAGCTAAAATTATAGCACCTCACTTCAGAGGACCTAGATTGACCAAAATTGGGTTAATTGTTCTGATTTTTCTGGAGATAAATCTTAAGTATGTCTCTTGGGACGGTACCAATTATCTAATCAATTAAAACTTTCAACTTTTTTATATAGCTTTCCAAAGTTGAGAGCCGAGCTCGGGGATTTTTGAGAGCGATCTTGTCAAAATCTCGTTGTGATTTAATGTTATTATGTTAATGAACAAAATTTCACATGCTCTACGCAGTTTAAGTGCAAAAATTCTTGAGGAATGTCACCAAAACTCACTTAATATGATCTGTTTGAAAAATCAGAACGATTGACTCAAATTTGGCCAATCTAGGCCCTCTGAATTGGGCGTTATATTGGGTTGATGGAAAAGTCCTTTCCGATTTTTTGGGAGAGTACCTTAAATTTGTCTAATTTTGACTTTTTATAGCTCATCCTAAAGGAATTCAAGACGGATCGATTGGTGAAAACCGTTTTGAGATATCTCTTTTCTAAAAGTTTTTACAGCTATTTTAGTAAAGGGCGGCAGAGCCATTAATTGTGTATTTGCTGTATTTGCTATATTTCCTTAGCATTTCCTTGCCTGGTCTATCGATCTTCTTTTGTTGTAACTCTACTCTTCTCTTTCTGAAATTAAATCAAATCCAATTTATTTCAATATTTGAGGCATGGGAACTATGCCGTGATGGCTATGAATTCTGGGTCCCCACTCATCTTTTCAACGTTCATCGTGGCATCAAAACCCAGCAAACACATCTCAATTTTGCTGTTGAACATCACCAAAAGATACTCAGGTTTTTTAGCAAAACTTCGGGGGTGGGACAAATGCGACCTTTTTTTGCGCACCTGGACATTTGCGCACCTTTTTTTTGCTGGAAAAGGCCTTAGGAAAAGTCGTAGAGCTTCAAAAACGTTTTCATAGAAGGGAATCGTATGCGTAGATTCAGAATTTTGACAAATCATACCTCGCTGACACGTAAAATTTGGGCTAAAAGGCAAAAACTACGCAACTTAACGCTTTTCCGCAGTTTTTGCCTTTTAGCCCAAATTTGACGTGTCAGCGAGGTCTGATTTGTCAAAATTCGGAATCTACGCATACGATTCCCTTCTATGAAAACATTTTTGAAGCTCTACGACCTTTCCTAAGGCCTTTTCCAGCAAAAAAAGGTGCCTAAATGTCCAGGTGCGCAAAAAAAGGTCACATTTGTCCCACCCCCAAAACTTCTTTCTTTTTTTAACAATTGTTCAGAATAAGCTCGTGGAAAAATTTCACGGCTCGAATAGCTCAACAATATGGGAACAAATTTGAGGCGACGTGTGGTCGATTTGTGATTGATTGATTGATTGATTGACGGATTTTCTATTTTAAATAAATAATCTCTAACATAGTGCACAAATTGAACAGTACAGAAATTGGAAATCTAATAAGTTGGAAGTTTCACAGGCTTAATCTCATCTAAGCACTGCTTGCAAAAAATTGCCCAACCTACCGTACCCCTCAGCCATTCCTTTTCCCCCTCTTTTCCCATCTTTTCCCATGTGATGCCTCATTTTTGTGTATGTCTATTGACTAACCCATTGTAATTTCATATCCCGAGAAAATTCTATAACTTGATCCTGCGAATCAATTCAAATTCAATTGTGATGGGCCAAAAATTCTTTGAGCACAAGGGCGGAGAGAAGATTTACGTGTGTAAATGTTGTCAGACCTATCTCACAAATCGAAAAGAGCTCACATCACATAGATTTACAGGTATGTGAAGAGGGGGAAAGTGGTTGGATTCATTTGAGAAAATAGCTCAATCTCTTAATTTTAAAGATCAAAGCATGGCATTGTAACAGTGACGATTAATATTTTGCAAAAATTAAAAGCCTTCTTAATCTGGCTTGAGCTAATAAGCTGGTTTTGAAAGTTTAAAGCAATGTCGATCAACTGGCAACAGTCATTTGATTGTGAAGTGTGAAGCCGAAAAACCGTCATAATAGCGGGGTTTTTTTCGGTTAGAGGCTTCTGACGGTATGGCGCAGTCAAGAGCTGGTTGGTCTACAGCTCACACGTCCCGGGTTCGACCCACCTTAGTGCGACTCCATTCAGACTATTCAGAATTTTTCATTTTAAATGACATAATTATATTATATTTTAAGACTTTTTAAAGAATTTCAGTTTTTTGGCCTAAAGACGGCTGAGAAAAAGTCCAAATAGACGGACGAACGGACAGACGGACACTGCTCTTTTATATTTAGCAGATATTTGATCGTTAAGCCTAGATATGACATGGAAAAGGTGTAGTTCTATAAGCAATAAAATTGAATTATAGGCTCTACTGGACCCGCGTATCTCTTTCTCCACGCTTGGAATATCATCGAGAGAGAAGCCGATATGAGAGAGATGATGACTGGCAAACATGTGGTACGAGATGTTGAATGCGGGAAATGCAAGGTAAGGATTTAATTGAAATGAAGAGATATTAAAGCTGATTTCAGAATCGATTAGGATGGATGTACGAATTTGCGTATTCAGAAGATCAACGCTACAAAGAGAAACAGGTGCATTGGTATTATAAATTTCTTAAAAACAAAAATTGTAGGTGATCCTCGAAAAATCGCTGATAATGACGGTGGAGGGGTTGAATGATCCGACGATGTTGGAAAGAGATGAAGAGAAGAAAGGGGACGAGGATGAGGATCACATCCCGCCAATCAATGAGACACGAGCTAAGGTTTGCGTTTGTTGCAGGGTAACTCATTCATAAGAAATTATTGATTCTAGAGTAGAAGATTGAATAGAATGAGCTTTTTTCGGTCTTGTTGTATCCAAGAATGCTCCAGGTTCTAGGGCTAAGCCAGACTTTTGTCTAGGTACTTTTTGTAAAACAAGGCTGGTTTCTGGCTTGGCCTGGCCCAGACAATAAGAATTTCAGTTATCCAGCTATCAGTTACTAGTTTCAGTTATCAGTTATCAGTTATTATAAACTGTAAAGAACAACCAAAATATCATCGAAATCATTTAAATTTCAGGTGCAAATCTCATCAAAAAAGAATCGTCCCACCAACAAAGCAAAGACTTCTTTATAAAGAATTATATTTATTTTTTCTATTTGTTATACACAATTTTTTTTTTCAGGGATCTTTTACGGGAGATAATTTAATTTTTTAATTTGTGTTTTCCTAGAATTCTTGTAAATATGCAAATATGTAAATATTTTGTCTTTTGTCATTTGTTTGATTGCCTCAATATCAAAAAATAAAAGTTTTCAATGAGTTGATCGAAATGTTTTTTGAGAGTTTTTACGTATGTACAATCGTTATCGAAATATTGTCGTTTAAAAAGAAAACCCCTTTTCAAAAATGTTTTAGATGACGATTTTACCGAATCGATCATCGGATGGCCGAAAGAAAGATCTACGAGATATTCGAAAGAATAATATTATTAGGTTGGAGTGAATAAAAGAAACGAGCTGACCTGGTTTAATCTATAAAATCTAGACTAACTCTGATTTGACTTTGCCGTTTGATTGAAACCTTCCTAAAACCTATCTACTTTTCAGGCAAAGACAGCGCGAGACAACAAGTGGAGGCGTTGGTTCGACCCGATCGTGGAACATTGAAAGGATCCCAGCTGAACCCATTGGCTCTGTTCATCGGAAGAAAATTGTAAGTATTGATGAGTTTTATCTTTTAAAACTATGCTATTTTAGACTCAAGAAAGAGATCGGACTAGGACAAATGCGGGAAATGGTAGGTAGTAGTTGACTTGATCTAGTGAATACTTCGTTTAGGTTCTTCACGTCGTTCACCCGTTCATTACAATAGCGATGATGAGAAAAGCTCAAAACGATCTTTTCGAGTCAATTCAGAGGTTTTAGTTATTAAAGTACTTTCTGAATCAAAATTTTAGCTGGAACGAACTTTTGCCGAGACTCTTCAGCGAGAACGGGGATTTCTGATTCGAGAGATTGTCGGCGATGGGAATTGTCTTTTCAGGGCTGTTGGTGAGGGATTGGATACTATATTTTCTTGATTAGAAAATTCATATTTTAAAAGCTGATTTCATTTAGCAATTTGATTTCAAAAGATTTTTAGCTTATCACGTCTATGCGGATGAAGAAATGCATGCAGAGGTGCGACGACTTTGTCTCAATTATATGGTTTGTTGAAAAGAGATTTTCTTACTCAAAAAGATTCTAGGAACAAAATCGAGATCACTTTTCTCAATTTATCACTGAAGATTTTTCCGGATACTTGGCAAGGAAACGAAAGCTGAATATTCATGGGAATCATTTGGAGATCCAGGTAATCTCAATCCAATCTGTCAAGCGGAAATTTTATAATTTAGGCTTGCTCTGAGATGTTTGCTCGGCCGGTTGAGATCTATGAATACAGCATTGGTGAATTTTCAAATTATCAACTGCTTTTCAAGCTTTGAGTTTTGATTGATTAATGAGTTTTTAACGTTTCTTCTCAACTTTTGCATTCATATAGACATTTTTACAGACCCATTGAATGTCTTTCATCCAATTCGTGGCAGTCCGTCCTCCCAACAACACCCGCAATCGCCAATTCGATTGAGCTATCACGATGGATGCCATTATAATGCCGGTTTGTAGAGCAGAAAAATGTTTCTAAAAGCTCAAAATATGAAAACAATCTTGCCACATTTAACCAATTTTAGTCTACGATCCACAACGCTCAACTTTCGGTGTCGGTCTCGGTTTGCCCGGGCCGGAACCCGGCCAAGCCGATCAGCATTTAATGCAAGATGTTTTAATGGTTTGATAACTTTGCTAATGTCTTTCAAAAAAAATTCTTTCACTTTAAGCGTTCCGAAACTGATGCCCTTGAGAAAGTGATGCTTGAGGATAAACTTCGACTCACCGATTGGCAATTGACAGAGGATGAATTGACACATCAAGTAGATTTGGAGATATGAAAAGAAAGAGATCTCATTTCTAGATAGCTCATTCTTCGTATGTGGAGTCATTGAAAACGAAACGGAAAAGCCCAACAGTGACGAGGAAGAAAAATGGGGCTGTTGCGACGTTGGATCGACCCCGACAGGGAAATATCTCTGGTTCACCGGGTCCTCATTCTTCTTCAGCTATGAGAAATGGTAATTTGAACAATGATTATGTAAATCTAACATCTATAACATATACCTGAAACCCAAAAATTTCCAGAAAACGATCTCCGACGATCGGCAAGCCCGTCACCAGGTCCAAGTCGAATGCCTCCAACGAATAGTGGGCTGTATGCGGAATTGTTGGCTATGGAAGGTTTGTTCAATTATGGCATATTAGTTTTTACAGAAATGAAATCTAATATTTCAACGATTCTTATACAAATCAAATTGTTCAGCAATGTCCGGTTTCGAGACAACAGATCGAGCCGAGGACGATCTGTTAGCCCGAGCACTTCTCCTTTCACAACAAGAACTTTTCCGACATCAAGGCCAAGGGTCAAGTCGGCAATGAAAACAATGAACAAAAAGAAATACGCACTCATAATATGCACTTTTGCTTTGAGCACTTTTGAACAACCTAGATACTTTTGAAATTTGTATTTATTTGGTGAATCCTTTCCTTTTCAAAATGATTCTTTGCCTAAGTGAATGAGAGAGTTCGAGGCTACTAGAATTGCTGAAACCAAAATTTCTACGATTGTCAACACAAAATTTAGATACTAAGTTTTAAGCTTTTCTCAGAATTGAGTCACAATTTGTTTGTAAACTAGCAGCAACCTCTTTTATTCATTCCCTCTCCTCAAATCAGTCAATTGTTGTGCCTTTTTTGCGTCTTGTTATTTCTCTTTGAAAATTTCAATTCAAAAAGCATCAAAAATTTGAATAAACACTTCAAGAATTCCCTCTTTCAAAAACATCAAGCTTTACCGAACCCTTAGACACAAATCAAATGTAAATGTAGCTTTATGCAAATCACAAGGTGGGAAGCGTCACTTGCAACGAGTGGGACGGCCCAAAAAAGCGCAAATTTTTTCCGCAACCCTTGATATCTTGACAACCCGTGGTTAGCTTTCTATGTTTTTGATAGCATTTTGTTGCTCTCGTCAAGTGCAACAAATTGGTACCAAAAACATAAAAATCTGACCTTGGGTTATCGAGTTATGTCGAGTTATAGAAAGTTGCGAAAATACCCCTTTTCGGTTTTTGGGCCTTCCCAAACGGGGTGTTAGCAAAAGCGCCAAATCATTTGCGCCATTTTTTTTGCGCTGCGTATCATTTGTGCCAAATTTGCGCTTTTCAAAACACTTTCCTACCAACTCTGATTGTTTATTTTAATTTTTTTACTACTTTTTCTCGTCGACGATGTTCGCTACTTTGGCGCTTTCGCCGGGTCTGAAAATGGCATAAAATCGATATAAAGAGCAAAAAGCCCAATCGGTGACACAAAAATGACTGTTTTTGGGACTGTATATGTATTTAAATGTGTTTTCTAATTGAAAACAGTGTGAACTAAAATTTCAGAAATGACTAAAAGCCTTCCCAACTTCTAACCAACTTTTTACAGTTTTCTGAAATTTTAGTTCACACTGTTTTCAATTAGAAAACACATTTAAGTACATATACAATCCCAAAAACAGTCATTTTTGTGTCACCGATTCGGCTTTTTGCTCTTTATATCGTTAGAAAATGAATTTAGCGCAAAGGATTTTGGCGCAAAAAACGCCGCGCTTTTGCTAGCACCTCACGTAAACCCCGCCCAGTTACGTCAGGAAAAGCGGAGTTTTGTACTCTTTTTTGTCCATTATATCATTGCGTCGTTTTTGTATGTTCAGAGTGGTAAACAAAATCTAGATTTCCACCAATTTGCTGACATTTTGTTACAAGACCCTAACATCTGACCGTTTTTAGAGACCGGCACCCACAAAAAGTATAAACCGAACGAATCCAGCAAGCGGTGAGAGCAGAGCGATTTACCTACCGTAAATACTGTAATAGTACCCCACCCCCATAATGACGGTGCGCAGTGTTGCGTAGTGTTGCGTAGTCTAGCTTTGAACGCGCTCTTCTCGACACTGGTTTATGCTACAATGCGCGCTTAGGTATCAAAAAATAGCTGAAATTCAGCGCTATTTTTGATACCAAAGATGCATTTTTTGGAAGTACGGGCGCTTTGAAGAAAATGAAATACTAAAAACTTTTGCGACTACGCGACTGTACGAGGGGCGTGGCGTACTATTACGGGGGTGGGACAAATGCGACCTTTTTTTCTTGCTGGAAAAGGCCTTAGGCAAGGCCGTAGAGCTTCGAAAATATTTCCATATAAGGGAATCGTATGCGTAGGTTCCGAATTTCGACAAATCATACCTCGCTGACACGTTAAATTTTGGCTAAAACGCAAAAACTGCGGAAAAGCGTTAAGTTGCGTAGTTTTTGCCTTTTAGCCCAAATTCGACGTGTCAGCGAGGTCTGATTTGTCAAAATTCTGAATCTACGCATACGATTCCCTTCTATGAAAACGTTTTTGAAGCTCTACGACTTTTCCTAAGGCCTTTTCCAGCAAAAAAAGGTCGCATTTGTCCCACCCCCACTATTACAGTATTCACGGTAATCAAATTCCGAGTCTTTCCTATTCGCGAGTTTAAGGTTTTAGATAATCCGCAAATTTATTTCGATTCTAGCTTAGTAGCACTCAAGCATTTACACACGGCAACCGTTTTCTCTTTTTGTTTTCCTTGCCGTTGAATTTTGCAGTTCTTTACAATTTGTTTTAGAAAAATGACGGTTTCCCCAATTAAAAACGCTGACGAAAAAAAGAAGGATCGCGAAAAGCACAGGAGTGCTCGCATTCGGTTAGTTTCATTCAGTAACACGTTGTGTTATCTAGGATTCATTTTGGGTGTATTCAAAGAATAAGTGCTTATACCCAGGCAGTAGTATAGGTCTAGAGAGTAAAAGTTCCTATTTCATTTAAAATCACTTTGCACATTGTTCAACTTTTGTTTTTAGACAAAGACAACGTGAAACAACGAATGGAGGAGAGCGAAAGAAAATGGTGGATCGCGCTAGAACGAATCCAGCAAGCGGTGAGCAGTCTTGTTTTCTAAGTTATTTACTATCACATTGCCTTATCTCTCTTTATCACATTGCCTTATCTCTTTCGAAAATTAAATTTTAGCTACCTCTCGTCTCTCTCCAGTCCACGACAACAGCGATGATGAGAAAAGTTTGAAATCGCCACGCCCTAGAGTTGATCCTGAGGTTGATTTCCGAGGATGATTTTGTTTACGTAATAAATTTAGTTGGAAGCAGCTTTTTGCCGAAGCTCTTCACCGAGAACGTGGCTTTTTGATTCGAGAGATCGCTGGAGATGGAAATTGCCTCTTCAGAGCTGTCGGTATGAAAAATTCACGTCTGCTAATATGACTTCTCTTTTAGCTTATCAGGTTTATGCCGATGAAGAAATGCACACAGAGGTTCGAAGACTCTGTCTCAATTATATGGTTTGCTATCTTGGTTTTTTTTATTTGAGCTTGTTTTAGGAACAGAATCGGGATCACTTTTCCCAGTTCATCACAGAGGATTTTTCCGAATATTTGGCAAGGAAACGAGCAGAGAACGTTCATGGGAATCACTTGGAAATTCAGGTGAGACCGGTTTCTTTGCAGATGATGCCAAAGTTTTAGGCAATTTCCGAAATGTATGCTCGTCCTGTAGAAATTTATGAATACAATCATGGTAATTTTAATTTCTCAAACCATCATAATGAAGCATTCAGAACCGCTTAACGTCTTCCATCCAGCAATTAATCCATCGGATGACAATCAACAAGCTCCGCTCCGATTGAGCTATCATGATGGGTGTCATTATAATGCTGGTTTGTTTTAATTTTATCACAACATATATCTTTGATGCTTTTATTATTTCGAACTTTTAGTCGAAGATCCTCGATGTTCGACTTTTGGTGTTGGACTTGGTTTAGCAGGACCCAAACCCGGTCAAGCAGACAAACACTTAATCCAAGAGATTCTGAAGGTATGCATTTTGTAAATTTTTTTCCAGATTAATTTAAAAATTTAGCGTTCTGAAATGGATGATTTGGAGAGAATGATGCTTGAAGACAAATTGCGATACACTGACTTGCAACGCACCGAAACAGAGCTCATGCAACAGGTATTTCAGCTTCTTATTTCTTAAACGTTTATTCGACTAGATTATTCATGCGTCATATCTCGACCACTTGAAATCGGGATGCAAAAGCCCTAGACCAGCCTCGGCCATAAAGAGCCATAAGACTCTCTCGCCAAGTAACTTATTTTAAGCAAGAATAGCTCGTATGCTTTGCGTTTTTAGCTCGTCAAGGATATCAAATGAAGTTGAAGGGTCAAAGTCCTGCTACTTCACGTCAGTCTTCGTTCAAGAAAGAGCGCGTGGAAACAAATAAGGCAGGCAGCAAAGAAGTCGGATTGTACGAAGAACTTCTGGCATTAGAGGGTATCATTATTTTTGGTTCCATGAGATTAAGGTTTAAAGATTTAGCAATCACGGGGTTTGGATCGGAAGTCGAGGAGGTCGATGATGACGTTTTGACTCAAGCGCTTCTACTTTCTCGCGAGGATTTTCTCCGTAAACAGGACCGAGATTCTGATCCTTCATAATTTTTCTTCAAGTTTAATATTGTTTTGAAAAATCTTTAATATATCGTTGTTGCTCTATGTTCTCTATCAAAGACGTTGATTTAAGATTTCTCGTTGAATTTCCATGTACAGTCGATACTAGCCTTCAATTCTCATGTCCCTATTAGGCGCTTCTAAATGTCCATTTGCTTAGTTCACGGTATGTTACTTTTATTGACTTTTCAAGAGCACTTAAAATTTTTGATAATGATCATCGTTAAGAATCAAAAGAGGGAAGGCCACAAAATGAAAAATGTTGAAAAGGATCACATGATTTTGATAATTGATTAGAAAGGATTAAATAAGACTGACAAAGAAAATTTTAAGCTCGATTTAGATCTTTTAGGAAGAACATGAGATGAAACAATCTACTAGATCAAGCTCGATTGCATTTTATAATAAGCCTTAAACTTTGCAAACAATAATAAGGTTCATTCATAAAAGACATTTAACACGTGCACCTCACCAGTTGAGAAGGTTTGGCATGCGGCGTCGACCATTTTTCTCGGGGTTTGATTTCCCGTTGATGGTGATGACTGAAAGGGTATGGTTGGTAAAACTTGTCCATTCAATGCCGATTGTACTCCAGTACTACCTGATATTGTTGCGGAGATGGTGCCGTGTAAACAGCCCGTTCGCCTCGACGAGTCGAAGATCTGGAAAATTTCTTTTGAAAGATTAAAGACAAACTTTTTCAGATTTCTCCTATGTAAACTTACCGATATGGCGATCCGGTGTTGAACGTTTGTGGAGGAGGACGAGTCGGTGAGGCCAGCAACGCTTCTATACATTTGTCTTCAAATAAACCTCTGAAATGTCTTTGTTAATGCTATTTGTTGATCACAATTGACCGTAAATGAACGGGAATCAAATTGGAGAGTTGTTGGTGAAGAGCACAAATCAACGTGTGAGCCTCCTCGACGGCTGTTAGCAAAAATCATCGGTGATCGGTCGAAGACCCCAACTGAAAATATGATTTTTTTCAGTTATTGATCTTATCTAATAGCTTAAAAATTAGATTGATTTATCGAGTATGTCCAGTTTAATGAAAGAATGCCCAGTAGAAGCCTCTGAGTGTACTTGGAGGGGTACGGCAGATTTTAAGCCTTTCATTACAGACGCTTGTCCACAACACATACTTTGGACTCATCGAGAGTTTCCTCGGCGTCACATCGCTCATCAAAATCGATTGTGGATAGTAGACTCGTTGTAGATTGACGAAACTGATCGGCCGGGTGTCATGAAGGGGTTTACCGAATTTGTCGTGTTGAAGAACTGCATGGGCTACCTGGAGGAGATTGATATACAGTCGACTCTTGATTTAACGATTCCCAAATTTCTTGCGTAGCTGCCCTGAACGGCCAACGGTTGGGCAGCTACGCAGAAACCAAGGACGTGTTTTAGAATTTCAAAATCGTTTTATCGAGAGTTGTTAAATCGTGAGTCGACTGTATTTTTTTAAAGAATCCTGTACCTGTGTATCAAAGACATTTCTGAGCATTAAAGCATATTTGTGAGCAAGAAGTGAAGAAACACGACGAGCGTCGTGCATTACCTGCGAAAGAAAGAAATTGCGAAAGATTTTCAGCTATAATCGCTTTCTAAAAAGTGCCAACCCTTTAAAATTATCGTAATTTTTCTACTAACTTTGATTTTTGTCGATTTTTTTCGTCTGATTTTTTGGATTGGAAATGAATCTTTCAAAAGTTGACACATTTTAGAAAACGAAAAAATGAACCTTGACTACTCGATCCGATTCGAGAAGCTGCTTAATTCCACTTTCCAGTAGAATCACATCAGACGAAGCCAAATCAAGTACGCCTATCTGAAATCGAAAAATGAAATAATTTAATCGTTATATGACTTGATTAGTGGTCGCAATGATGGCCAACGAGAGGAATTGTTCCCCTTCAGCTCCGACAGTGACCGTCTTCAGATCGACTCCGACCACTTTCCTCTCCATTGTGTTCACCTCATTCCAGAGTCTTTCGATCAATTCCTATACAAGTTTGATTTGGAAATATACCCTTTTCTAGTACCTGTGCTGGTTTCAATGCTTTCACATAATGGATTCGTGAGAGAGCTGTTTGATCCAATGGGAAGAGATTATTGTTTGTCTCTGGATCTCCCTCATCCGATCCATTTTCTGATCCATCCTCGGATAGACGATTTTTCACCAGTGAGACCTAGAATTTTGTTTTGAAAGCTTTGCTTATGCTTATGCTTTGCTTTGAAAGCTCACCTTGTTACTCCGAATGAAGAAAAGACCACGGTTAAGCTTCAAAAATTGGAGTAGTTCTTTTGGATTTGTCGCCACATCTTGTCTTAAACATTATTGTTTGTTTTTTACTTTCTTATTTCAATTTTTTATTGATGTTTTTATTGAAATAAATGAAATAATAGCTAAAAGCACTCACCGAACAGAATGCGAGAAACGACCGCAAAAATGCTGATAGAAAGCGTCAAGGGGAATCGGTTGATCATCATTCTAAATCATAATCATTTAAGTAAATAGATCTTTTTATTTAGATGATATTTAAGGGGAAAACCTGTTCAAGAACACTCTTCAAATATTCGACAGCCGCTTGTTTTGCTTTCACTCCAGCTAGCGGTTTCCCCTCGTCGTCCAATTCGATTGCGTCCTCGCTCGGTTCGGGCATATTCTTGAAAAGTTTATTGATTAGTTTATTGGCTTCATTTGCATTTTCAAACCTTTAATCTGACTCGATCCCCTTCAACAACGAAATGATCAACTTGTTGCTGCAGAAATTCACAAAAATCCTTTAGATGTCGACCAGAGACAAGACGTACTTCTGGAGCTGCTTGCGAGCGATGACCCAACAGGGATTTTATCTGAATTTCTCGAGTTTAGGTTGAGATTTTTCTTATGAATATGTCTTACTTGCACATTAGGACCAAATCCAAACCAAATTTGAGTTCTACCTGAAGTTCTGGGCCAAATTTGGTGAGTTTATTGACGAAGAACTGTACAGCCTCTTTCTCGTAATCTCTTTGTCTAGATCCATTTTGTAGAAGTGGATTGTTCTTTGCGGTGATGTCACCAAAGCCATTCAGAATCACCTGTATATTTGTATTTTTTTTCTACTTCTTTTTCACTTACTTGATCTCCATCAATGGTGAAAAGTGAGGGGTGTTGTTGAAGGAAATCCGTCAATCCTTCTTGTGTCGTTCCCACTGCATTTCGCATCTCTTCCGTGAAACCCCGAGCACCGAATTGACACGATAAATCGTGAATTGTGCGGCGACCGTTCTACAGAAATTTATTTTAAAGATTTACTCGGTTTAAGAATTTTTATTAGCATCCAACCTTTTGCATGAGATGATCCATGAAAAAGAGCAATGCCATATTTTTGGCTTCTTCTGTTGAACCCATCTTTGCGCCGAAGGGTAGGCCCAATTGGATGAAATAAAATAAAAAGAAGCTAAGGCTCTACCCTGAATAATGGGATTGGATTAGTGAAAGATAAAAAAGTGACATGCACAAAATGAAATGATAATGAGAAAGAGACGAAAAATTATAGAGCAAGTGGTCTGATCTCAAAATTTTCAATTTTCAAATTTAATAACTTAAAAATTTAGAAATGTTTTAGTTTTGATTCGATTAATCACCAGCTAAATATCCTGTAGCTATCAAAATTCTTATGAAATGGATATCTACCCAGAAAACAGTAAACTGCCTTTGAAACTTTCGATCATTGAAAAAGATCAAATATGTAAAGAATTGCAAACTGACAAAAAGTGAACCAAGTTTGGTAAAAGAGTGAGATGAGAGAGAAAAAGGAGAAGAGTCGAGTTGAAGAGTGAATACACAAGTAGGTAGGGAGGAGAAGAGAACAGTCACTCTCTCTATGCACTGCCATCTCTCTTACTCCATTCGATCCATCCCTCTTTTCTCCAATTCCCCTGCCGTCTACGGTTTCATTGACGGTGTGAGAAATATTCGAGAGAGAAAGAGAAAGGTAGAAAACAGGTGCTCCCGATTTACGCCCATTTTAAAATCTTTGACACTCTACGAGTCACAAATTTTGAAAGAAATAGAAAAGAAAAAGTCACCCTTTTTTATCCAACGCCCTTAAATCAGTAAAATTTTCAATCTCTTTTCGAATAAGTCAATGAAGTCAGTGAATTGCAAAAATTGCAAAATAGAACTGTAAATTTAAAGATTAAACAAGTAAAAAGTAATTATAGCAATAAATAATCATTCGATTAGTCTAAAAGCAAAACAAATAGTGGTGGATTGAAGGCGAATGGGGATTATTCTCGTGAAGCTAGTGTGACACAGACGGTGAGGGTCGTATGGTCAAATCGGAGAAAAGAAGAAAGGGGGTTTATTTGTGTGCATTCGGTAGTGAAGAGGCAGTGAGGCGGAGGGGTGAGAGAGCGGCTGTGCTTCCCTTCCGTTCACCTCCCTCCGTGTGTGTAGCCCCGTTGTCTCCCCTGTCTCACCGCCCTTTGTGGGTGTTCTCTCACTCATTCTTTCCTGAACGGGATGACCACTCTCTCTCTCTATCTCTCTTTAACCCTGTCCGCCAGTCTTCTTCCACAAGAAGCCGATCATCTGATCACATCAGAGAAATTCTATACGATTCGATTTCGCTAATTGAAACAGTGTTGCTAAAACGTACTTGTGGCTTCATGACGAAAATCTACAAAAATTTAAAAATCTTATAGTCAACATAAAGTCAATCTCTAATGTCGAGATTTTTTGGGAGCGTTTCTATGGAAACATTCCAGAGAAAATAAATGCTGTGACGAGAATACTAAAATCTATTCATCTAAAATTCCGTCTTATAGTTAGACTCAGAATTTTTCGATCGTTGAAACTATTTTATTTTTTTAAGTATAAAGTAAAAGTGACAAATAAACGTTGAATCGAAAAGCTATTGGGGGAAATTTTGCATCTTTTAATTTCTAAACTATGGACCATTGGAGCAACAAGAGTATTGTAACGTGCTTTCAATCGAATTTGCTAATTTTTATACATTTGCTTCGATTTCTCTATCGTATAGCTGCTTTCATTTGGCCTTAAACCGACAAAGATTCTATTACTTGCAACTACCTCACTGAACAATTGACGTCCCTTCTACATGCTTTCTCCATCGCCTCATAGAAATTTTTCTTTTCACCTTTGCTTTGCTGTTAGCAAGTTTTTGTAGGCAATTTATAACGATAAAAGTTTTATTATAAGTTCTATTATATTACTAGTGCCCAACAAAAACCATTCCACATTGTTTATCCCAAAAGCTTTTGAACACGTCACATTTGAACATTTCCGCTATCTTTCGTTTTGCGTTTTACTTATTTTGCGCTAAACTTTACAATAAGCACTTTTCTTTCTGTATTTTGTTTAACAAAGCATTCATATCTTTTTTTAGGTAATCCGCGAGATGTTTCTACGAACATTGCCTCAAGCCAGTGGCACACTTCAAAAGGTATTTCGTATTTTCATTTTTATTAGACTTTAAAGATAAGTAGTGCCTTTTGATTCATTTTAAATTTTAGACATTCACTCGTGGTGCGGCAAAGGGTATTAAGATTGAAACCCCGTTGAACGATGCGCTTCCATTTAAAGGAATCGATGCAGCCAAGAAGCCGAAAAAGGTGAGTGGTTGAGAGGAGAATTATTTTAACGATTTTAAAATTATTCCGGCAATTTTCTTTTAAATGTTGCCAAGAATATTGTTAATATAAAATGTAGATGTAAATGTAATTAGTAAATTCAGTAAAAGTAGATTCATTTTCAAGTAAAAGATTTGTGAATGAGTAAAAGAGTGTATTAAGAACCGTCAAGTAAAGTAAATAATTTGCGTAAAAAGCATCTATGCAAAAGGTTTTAATTAACAATTTTTGACCTCAACTAACATAAAATAATTAGATGTTTACCCAATGCTTCACTTTTAGGTGGCTCTAGATGCAGGCAAATCGTATACGTGGTGTTCTTGCGGTCTCTCGACTTCGCAGGTCAGCTGTGTTTCTTGAATTTGTATTGTTTTTTGTAAAAATTTTTGAAACATTATTAACCATAAAATTTAGCCATTCTGTGACGGGTCTCACAAATTGGATGGACTCACGACTTGCCGGCCCGTTAGATTTCAGGTAATTTTTCATAACAATAGCACGGTGAGAATTTTTCTGTTTTAGGTCGAAAAGAGCGGAGAGTATCAAATGTGCATGTGCAAACAGACTGATCACCGACCATTGTGTGATGGGAAGCATAAGAATGTACGTTAACTTTTTCCGTACTAGATAAAAATCACAAGAATGGGCAAACTCGTTTACGGCAGGGTTTTTCTTGCTTAAGTATGATTTTCCCGATGTAATCTTTTGAGATTGATTTTAAAAGCAAATCGATGATGTTATTTTTATAAAAAACGAATGTAAGTAAGACTGTGTTAAATAATAAGTCGAAGTTCTTCAGAGTTTGAGCTATTAAGCATAAAATCTTGTGACCTGAAGAAGATTGATGAAAATTGATTTGGATCAAAAACAATAAAGTTTTTTTATCAATTATTTTTAGGTTTCGCCAATTCCACGCGATGCACCGACTCAAGGATTGTTCAATATCGCATTCAGTGATAATAGTCCCGTTTATGAAGGAGTTGCCAAAAAGCTCGGCTATCGGCCAAAGAATGGCGGATTTCAGTGGTAGATTGATTGTTTCTTTCTTTCTTTTTTCATTATGATTGTCCTTGTATTTTAAATGTCTAGCATGTACGGTGTTATAGTGATAGGCTCTCGTCGAAAGCTTTTGTACATTTTTTCGGATAAACTGATATTAATGCAAACGACCTATTAAGCATTTTCTGTTTACAAAGTGGATTTTATAGGTTCGATTTTACGATAAAGAGATTTATCACGTATATCTCTCTGTACAAAGGCAAAACCCGTAGTGAAATCTCTCAAAAAGGTAGGTATTTAGGATAACGCATTGACCGGTATGCTGATTGCATAACCGCTCGGTTTTTCCGTATTTTTCGACGATCTCTGCTCAAGTTTCTTTTCGATTCGTCGATTCAAATTTTCAACATAAGGATGCGTGACTTCGAGGACGATTGGGAGAAGAACCAGTGCGTGAAATACTCCTGAAAAGGAGGATCGTGATTAATCGGAGGTTTCCCTTCTTTAACTCACCAATGATTAAAACAAGGAAAATTGTTTTGAAAAACACGAGCACCATGTAGGAATTGATAAAAGCCAATACTGTCACTCCAAGAATCGTCGATAAAGATCCGTGGACAACTGGGAAATCTTTATCCACAAATCTTTTTATGTCACTCACCAGGCCATGCCAATCTCTCCATACTATCGATCACTCGCTCTTTCGGCGTCAAATTTACCCCATTCATGAATCCTAGAAACAATGAGTTAGATTGTCTCCGAAACCTTTCCCTTTTTACAAAATCTAGAATGTTCGGTCACCAAATTCAATTCAAACTGACCGTGCGTGATATGCGCGGAGAACTCAATCGAAAAGCCGATACTCCTATAAAGTTTTTGATAAAATTTGCAAAATTCATTCTTGACTCCAAACTCACATTATAATTGTGACCATCGAGATCGGATCCAATTTCACATACCATAAAGAAAGAAGACCGATTACACCTGAAATTTCTTTCACTCAACCATTCACATCACTTTTCCATACCAATATCGATTGTTATGATAGCGATTGTGATCCACAAAGTGCACAGGGGATTTGGGATGAAAAGTAGAGAAATAATGACCATGCAAACAATGGCCAACGAGTCATTTTGAATGGTTGATGGGAGAATGACGTTTAGCTGAAAGGGAGTCTCAGATACAGTAATTGGTCTATTTTGCACTACTTGATACTAATCAAGCCGGTACTTTATTTATTTCGGTATACTGTAGCTTTTTTACAATAGCCTTGAGTGAAACAGACGCATTTTCGACCATTCCAAGCAACAATTTAGAGAGTTTGAACATGAGATTTTCAACCTGATCAGCGATCGATCGACTCTGTTGATACGTGATGATATTCAGCTGTGGATATTCTGTGGCCACACTTCTCAACTCGCCTGTCACCTAATCTTGAATATCTATTCGATTTTTGTTTCCCCTCTCACAGCCACCAAATCCGATGGAGTCGAGAAATCGGTGACCCCGATTCGGAAACGAAAGGAGATAAGGCGAAGTTCTTCGGGATTTGAGCTGTTTGACCACACGAAATCTTGAGACCTGAGAAAAAATGGATTTCGATTAACTTTGCTTATCTGATAGCTGGTAAAATAGCCAATAGCTTCTCCCTTTTGAAAACCGACCAAAGTTTATAGAAAGCGAAGAGTTGACTCCATTCATACACTCCGATCACCCACGAATCGTGATCGTCATTCAAATATGAACCTAACTTTTTTTTCGTTTCCAAATCTCAGCCATCATTCACCTGTCATATTTGCATATTTCTCGTATTCTCTTGTCCATACAGTTGTCCCTTTCTTGCCAATTCCTGAATTCCAGTTTCATCAAAAAAACATTTCTTTTCTCAAACCATAAGATGTTGATTCAAATTGTTGAACGATTTTCTCAATGAGATCTCGATTCTCTTGCTTTGTCATGTCTGGAGCGTTCACAATGGCGATTTCGATCTGAATTGATCAGATCTATTCGGCCAAGACCCTGGTTTCTTAAAGTATTGTATTTTCTAATAGAAAATACGATACCCAGAGTTAACTCTATCTCTCTGTCAGCTCATTTCTCAGAGTTAACTCTATCTCTATGTCAGCTCACCTGATCTCCCCCGTGAAACAGTTGTATTTCGGTTCTTAGCGCTTCCACGAGAGGATCCGTTTCAATCAAAAGTTTCTCGTAATCCAATCCCTGTTCCATTACGGTAATCCCATAAATGGAAATCTAAAGGAAAATATTGTTAACTGTAGAACGATCGAAAAAAAAAACCATGAGATAAACGATGAAAGCTATCGAAATGACGATTTTTGACCAAAAATTGAGCAAAATCGGGACATAGACATCTCTAAATCGGAGAAATAAATGAAATTTTTGCTGAAGTTACCGAAAGAATGTTCCCATAAAGCCGAAAGCTTTGATCGGAAGATTCGCTTGTTCTGAAGGATTACCGAGTTCTGTAGATGAAATTTTTCTTTGATTTTTTTTTTTGAGTAACATACGTTGTTGGGAAATCTTTTTGAGTTTTGCTAAGGATGATTCTTGAATGTCGGCAGCTTTCACACAAGGGATGCACGAGTTTCGCCCGTTCAATTGGGTCTTCGCCGAGAGGACTAACAAAGCGGCGAAGAATGTCACCTGGAACATATTGCTTCTCAAAATGATTGCTCTCTCAAAGATAAGAGCTAAGAAAATTATCCTGGATATTTCGCTTAAATTTGCAAATCACCTGATAGAAGAATGTGAAGAACATACAGGCGGCCGTCATCGCGCAGAAGCCCTCGACAGCTTTGATGTCAGTGAACGTTCCTAGAACATGTTTTCAAAACTCAATGATTGCTTTCAAAGTGTAATACAAAACAACAAGACGATTTTTGTTTTAGTTCACAGATCACGGCCGATCTATGAGTTGTTCACAGAAGATTTTATGCTTACTAGAATTTAAAGTTCAGCTCCAAATTCTAATTCAAACGCAAGCGAATAAAGAAAAGTATGAAATGGCAAAGAAAGAAAGAATGCTGAGAAGGGATTGAAGCCGACCCTTTTGTTCGACCTTTCTGCTTTCCAGGCAGATGCTTTAACCATTGAGCTTAGAGTGTGCTCCTTGTTGACAGACAATTTGTCAGACAAATTTTCATTGACAACTTTTTTTGTCAGACAATTGATCCGACAAACTTCCGACAACGCGTTTTCTAAAAGGTGCGCTTTTTAAGCAAAGCTATAAAGGTCGCGCGAAAAAAATTTGCAAAGCCGACCCTTTTGTTCGACCTTTCTGCTTTGGCAGATGCTTTAACCATTCAGCTCTTTAGTATCTTTTTTTCGGAGAAGAAATAGAAAAAGAAGAAAACTCTCAGAAAGAAAAAGAAGTTGTTAAGATATTGGCGAATTTGTAAATGTTAACCATTTTATTTTTGCACTCACCAATGGCAAACGAGAAAACATCGGTGGCCGAGGTGATAAAGATAGCCACAGCCGCTTCCGACATCGCACCAACCATTCGCTCTTTAAGCACTTTCTCCGAATTGCCTACAAAATTTAAGATTTAAAGTTTCACTTGCAAGTTTACCTGGGAACTCAATTTCAGTGTTATGCCATGCAGCGACAGCGATGAACATATCATCGACAGCGATGGCTAAATTCAGAGATAAAATTGATAAAATTGAGCAAATACTCTCAAGTATTTGCTCAATTGACTCCAAAAATAATGTGTTTTCTAAAATACGGCACTACTAAAACTACTGTAATCCTAGGAAAGTTTAAAAAGCAAATCCCGTAGGGGATTCAATTTTCCCCACATACATAGCACAAGAAATGGGGCCATCAGTGTGATCTCGGCAAAGAACATCCCGAACCAGAGCATGAGACCGATTCCGCTGAAATCGGTTTCAATTGAAAGTCGATTCTATTTAACACCTCATAATCGCCATTCCGGCCGTGAGCACACCACCCAAGGCGAGCATCGGTTTCGAGCGAAGCCAATCAATTGACACTAGATGAGTTGAGGTATTTGTAGCTTTGACGAGTCTTCCTCACCTCTCCATTTCCCATTGTCACTCCCGAAATGCCATTTGACAGCATAAAATGTCTAAAAGGGGCACTGGATTTTCGATAAAGTATACTACCGTAAACGCGATGAGCACAAAAATGGTGACAGTGAAGTAGGGCTTGAGGCGATTCGCATTCGCTGTCAGACCAAGATCAAGGATGCGGGAGTGCTTGATGTGACACTAAATTTCGATTTTGTCTAATATCTAAACTAATATTTTAAAAAAAATAATATAAAATCATATACCCTAAAGTCGCGAGTATAAGTTCTGTTTGGTTTTCGCATGCAAATTGACGGCTGTCTCCGGTAGAAGTAAATTTATTGAGGGTTATAGCAATTTTATGCTGTTATTTGTTGCTCCGGGCGTGGCTCGGCGCGTCCGCCCTGCTCCTCTCCGGTGCTCAGTCTTATGGATCCCTCCCTGGCCTCTTCATCCGGCCAAAGTCCACGTCGACGGTCGAAAGAGATGCTTTCCAGCGTCTTCTTCAACACTATCGTCTGGATGTATCCATGCACATAACAAATAGCAATGGTGATAGGCTGTCACCCTGTAGTATCCCGCGCTCCAAGAACAATAATAAAAGTTTATATAACAGTAAAAATGTATAAAAACCCAACAAAAAGAAATTCAAAGCAATTAAAGCGAATGTAAATTAAGGCAGAACTTATACTCGAGACTTTAGGGTATTTATATTATTTCTTACAAAAGTCTAAATAAAAAAGAAACCTGTATCCACGAGTGATTTTGATAAGTTTTTGCGATGAATCGACTCGCTTCATCCTCCCATTTCGTCGACATTTCGTTCATTTCGGCAGTGTCAAAACGGAGGAAATAAAAGAGACGCATCGCTTTGGCTGACTGCAAAATGGGATCACTTTTTAGGTATTATGAAACGTTTAATCTGTTATTCACAGCTTTTTTTTTACTTTTAAATCTTATTAACGACGGAAAGTCACAAGGATGAGGTGACCGTAGTTGTGCCTGTAACGTAATCGTGCCTCATCTAGCATAGATAAGACGTTGATATCCTATTAACGCCATAATACTCATAAAAGATGTCATAATACTTATTGTAAAGTTAAAATAGAGTGAATTCGAGCGGTTAAACAACAAAAAAAATGACAAGGAGGGGAGGGGAACGAAACCAAGCAAAGACTTGATGGTTTGTTCTGGAAACAAGACTCTTATTCACTACACTACACCACAAGGTTGAACGGTGAAAGAAGCCTTAAATAGGGAAGGATTTTGTTCTTGTGATCTTCCCTTTTAAGTCCAAAATGTTAAGACTTACCTTGATTGTATCATTTGGAAATGTCTCCACCCCGCCCACATTGAATGCAATGTATATTGGGGATCCTTCAGGATTGGCCACCGGATAGGAAACGGAAATCCCGTGAGTTGACAGCTCTTTCCTAAAAGATGCATTTATTGATGGAAACCAATGAGCAATTTTGAAAGATATTCAGTTATTAAACAGTAAATGTTACCTCCTTTTCAACATCTCGATCAACCCAGTTTGTCGATAACAATCCCCATACCAATTCAGGCAAATATCCTAAATAACTAGTCATTCGAATCTTTCCATTCCCTACCTTAAATCCGATCGTTTCATTTCCTTTTCCTTCACTTTCATTTCTTTTCTTTTTCCATTTTTCCTCCATCGGAAATTCGACTTTTCTCGCGATTTCTTCTTCGATTTCCGTGATTTTTGTCAAGTAGGGTTCTAGAAAAGAAGACTTTCTCACCAAAAATCTCAATTTTTTTTGAGAATCTCAATCTCAAACCTTCAAGGATATTTGGATATGAGTTATTTTTGAGAATTCTCCCGTGCACAACCACATACAAATATCGATTCCATTGAAATGTTCGCTCGGGCAGGAATTCGAATGATTTTATTGGCCATAACTGAAAAGAGTTTTGTTTTTCATGATCTTATCTAGCTATGAAGTTATTGTTTACTTTAATATTAACAGAAACTTGTAAACTTTTCCAAACGCTGACTCGAATTAGTTTTCTAAAGCCTGCCGAGCTACCGTAGTTACTTCCGTAGATTTCTGTCTAAGCTAGTTGGCGTTAAGGCAGTTTATGGCTTTGTTACTATATCATTCTGCTGATTGGTTTACGGTAGACGAGTCAAATTTCAAAGCGCCTATGAAAGTCGATTCTTTGCAAAGTTTTCAAATAGGCAAAAACGCGTTTGTTTAACAATTTTACTTGTGAGAAAGTCTCCTCTTCAATCCACGATGGAGCCGATATTGGAGTGTAAAGTTTCCTCGCATCCAACAATGTCAATTCCTCAATCCAATAGAAACCGCTGCCCAGAAATATCGTCAACCACAAGGGCCAGATTATGAAAAGCTAAATATTTTCTAGAAAATTCGATCTCATAAAAACAAACGATATAATGATCGACGAGGATCCGTCGAGTGTACCATTCGAAAAAGCGTTGCAATGGTTTATCAAGAGTTTTGATTAAAAAGCATCTCATCTGGCAAATGGAAAAGGCTTTCTGGAAAGCAAGTCGAGTAGTTTCTATGATATTTCTAAAAATAGAAAGTTTTTCGATAAGATTTAGATAAAAGCCAAGGGGGATAAAGCAAGAAATGAAAGGAATCGGATAAGAGAAGAACGAAAAGAAAGAAGAGAAGAGAAGAGGACAAAGGAGAGGGCAGGTTATCCGATTATGCAACCCATCTCCCTCCCCTCGTTGAACTGGAAACCCTTTCATATCCCGCGATATTTCATACGTTTTTTAAGCCTTAGAGTTTGTAGATAAAACAAGCTAAAGTTAAGATAAAATACTTTGATTGTTGTCTATTGAAGAGACTACAGACAAGGTCTCAAAAGCCAGAAGCTAAGCCAGGGTTCTGGCTTGGCTTCTAGCTGAGCTGAATAGCTTTTTATCTGAAGCTAAGCCATGGTTCTGGCCTGGCTTCTAGCTGAGCTGAATAGCTTTTTATCTGAAGCTAAGCCATGGTTCTGGCCTGGCTTCTAGCTGAGCTGAATAGCTTTTTATCTGAAGCTAAGCCATGGTTCTGGCCTGGCTTCTAGCTGAGCTGAATAGCTTTTTATCTAAAGCCAAGCTAGAAGCTAGAAAATTTTCTTTTAAAACACTATGATCAACGGACTACAGGTATTATGATAGCTAAACTGATTACAATACAAATATAACAATAATATAGTATCAATTTTGAAATCGTTACAAAAAAGCCTTTTTTTAACGATTTCAAAATTCTGCCAAAACCAGAATAAACATAATTCTTGCTAAGAAACTCAGTGAATCTCATGTTTTTACATCCAAACAGCATTCATTTTTGATCCATATGCTCTTAGAACATACATACAAGAGAAAACAAGAAAATCCTATTTTCTCGACAAATTTTTGCGCCTTGACAAGAGAAAAAAGAGAAAACTGCCTTTTCCTTTTTCCCTTCTCATCCTCATCTTTTCCTTTTTTTCCTTCTCATCCTCATATTTTCAAAATCGTTCTCCATTTTTCTCTCATCTCAATATAATTGCACACAAAAAAAGAAATCGATTTATTCTAAAACTAAGATTAGACATTTTGTAGAGTTTGTTGTTGTGGATAGAGTGTGTCGAGGAGTGGATGTCTCCACGAGAGTTGTCCCATTGTTGATGGACGGCGAGAAACGGAGCGGCTCGGAAGACCCGAGAATGAGGATTTCGCCGGGAAATAGGCGGTACTAAACATTGAATTGATGTAATGAAAATGCAATATAATTTATTAAACTGTTCAGAAAGTCTTCTCGTTGCTTTTCTTTTGAAAAATAACAAATTCACTAATTCACCTATGGTTTTCTTTAAATAAAAAGTGTTTATTGTTGAATTTCTCATCTCAATTTAAAATCCATTTCTACAAACCGATTTCTTCTTTTATCTTTTTAAGCCTTTACACTCTCAAAGATATCACTGAAATAGTCACCAAAAACATTTCAACATTTCAACTTTTCTTGAACTTTAAGTTAGGATTATTTCTATGTTTCTAATCAAAATAGATATTGATTTAGGTTTTCCAGTGACTTTCCCTAGCTGTCTCACTTCGAGAGCTCACTCCAGGCACTTGGACGTCGACTCGGATTCTCGCTGTTCGCTGCCGATTTCAAGAGCTCTAAAATGAAAAAAAAACCCGATTAAAATCCATTTCTACAAACCGATGTCTTCTTTTATCTCAGCTTTATAGTCATGTCTTGCATCAGCAGCTTCAAGCCTTCTCTGCAGCAAATGAGCCACCGCTCCCGACGCGAAACCATCGCCGATCACATTAACCGCCGTTCTCACTCGATCTCTAGACGAATTTTTTTTTCACAACAACAACCTTTTCTCAAACTTACAGTAACCAATCGACAGTGATGATCAACGAGACATCTTTAATCGGTAAACCGACAGTGTTAAGAATGAGCAGAATTGAGACCAAACCAGCAGGCACAGATCCCAAGCCGATCGAGGCAACCGTTGCGGTTACACTGGACTTTTTGATCTCTTTTTGATGTCTTGATAAACATAAAGACATCAAGAATCATAAAGAATAAACATTTCTAGATATAAGTTCATTATATCTAGACATGTTTATTTCTTAAACCCATCCCAACCTCACAGTGATCACCTCGACAAAGGACAATTCGACATTGTTGAGTTGTGCGATGAAGACGACGGCCACTGCCTCGTACAAGGCATTTCCATCCTGTTCCATTTGAATAGGTGAACAATTTTGCGACTAATCCTCTCACCATATTGATTGTGCTCCCAAGTGGCAACACGAAACGAGTGATCCGTCGATCGATTCCACAATTGTCTTCAAGACATTGCATCGACATCGGCAGTGTGGCACCACTGAAAGGGAATTTTGTTCATGTTGAGAAGAGACCCTTTTATACTTCCCACAAAATTGCCGTTTTCTAAAGTGCACCTTCCACACCTGTCTAGGTTGTCACTAGGAACGTCGCGTAGTCTGTGCCATTTTATTTTCTTTCTCTCCCTCCCATTTTTGTATACGAATTTTATTTCATTTTATTCATCTTCACTACTTTGGAAAAACGCTAACTATTATTCCACAAGCAGGTCAATCACGTTACAACCGTCAACAATCACAACAGTCACTACCACAACAATTCATTTTCCGTTCTCTACTTTCAATAACTGATAAACTGATAAAATCAACGCAACTTTGCTGGCTGAATAGCTTAAAGAGTAAACACTCTTAAGTAAACATCTACTAGGAAATGATTTTTTTCACTCACCCGCTAGCTGTCCCAAAAGCGGTGACGATTGCTTGTAACATTCCGCTAACTATGTGAAGGGGATTCTTTCTTGTGACCTACAAATTGCATGGCTTGTAATGACAGCATAAGCTTATAAGACCAAGAAATACACGCATGGCATCACGAAAACGGTGTGTATCACAAAACCCGCCATCACACAAACCACATACATGGCCAATACCTGGAAATTCAAGGTTTAATAGGTTACGGTCGTTTTAGAAATGCATCTCAGTTAGAGAAAGTTAAAAATAGAGTGTGTTCCTCGCAAGTAATGCCTTTTTTAAAACACACGCTCCGTACTTTCAGAGAAAATTATTGTGAAAAAATTGGCGCAAAAATCACGAGCGCTGCCTTATATACGACTCCTTTTAAAGATATTCAACCGTTCAACAGATTTGGTGCCAAATTCCCTTCAAATGTAAAGATATTCAATTTACTCGACGTGTAAAGAGGATTACTCGTAGTTTACTCGACCAAAAACGCCGATTAATCGAGCAAAGATTACTCATGCAAATGGGTAATCTTTTACTCGATTTACTCGAGTAACACACTCTACTCAGTAGCACTGTTCCTTTACGAAACAAAAAAAGATGTGACTGACTGCAGCCGTGTCACTGAGGTCATCCAATTCCAAGAGGTTCCCGCAGATTAGACACGTGATTCCCAACGGGGCAAATCTGCAATTCATTTCAAATTTGCATTGAATTTCTCGATTTTCCCATTGCCACTCACACCATCAATGTCTCGACCCATTTCATAATCACCGCATCAAGAATCACAAAAAAATCAACAACAATTCGCGCTTTTTCTCCCAACTAAATAAATAGCAAATTTTGATGAAATATTTATGGAAACCTGTGAGATAACGATACCAAATCCCGTGCAAAAAACGATAATTCCTAAACTTTTAAAGTTTCCTTTTCATTGAATCGATTTACCCAGAATATTCATCCCACTTGAGGTCACCAGACGTTTCCGCAACACAAACGAAGTATCCGTGGAGTTTTTCCGACGAACCGGTTTTATCATCTAGTTTATAGTTTCATTTTTAAGCTATTCAGCATTACAGGCAAACTGATTGGCTTTTAGCCAATCAGTTTGCCAGAATATCTACAATTTTTATTGTAGATATTCTACAATACAGACTAAAAGGCTAATTTCCAAACAAGGCAATGCGCATTGGGCAGAAAAACACCTTGAACCTTGAAAAATGATAATGAAATGAAAACAAACCTGATATTCAGTCTGTACTCGCTCAAACGAGGCCTGGAGAATATTTTCAGGGAACATGTTTCTAAAATCGTCTATTTAAAATCGTCTATTTTTTAAATCGTCTAAAATCGTCATTTTTCAAAAAATGCAAACCGAACAAGATCGAGAAAAGTGTCTAATGGCGAGACATCAGCATCAGTTGGAGCCTCAGGAATGAGACCGACTTTAACAGACGGATCTCCCGGGTGAATCGTCACCACCAACATGATGCCCAGCTAGGTTTTGGGTTTTAGATTTTCACACATCATGTTTCCCAGTGTTTCTAAAGCATTTCAGCTTTCGAAAGCTACCATAGCCTTGTCTCTATTTTATCTATTTTATCTAATTATAAGCTTACGTTGTCAGATGATTTGATAGCAATCATATTATCTTTTTAATCTTTTGTCCACTCACCATTGTGGCCAATATTGTCGTTGTTATGTAGTAAAGTACAGTGCATAGACCCATTTGCCCCGATTCTTTGGCATCCATTTGAGCAAGAGCTTTAAAAAGAAAGTGTTATATTCAAAATTTAACCCTGAAAAACCTGAAACAAGTGACGAGAAAATCAGTGGTAAAATCATCATTTTCAACACCTGAAATCACAAATTTTCCATTCAAAAATGACTATCGAAAACCTGCATGAAGATTTCGCCGGGAAAATTGATTAATTGCAGTGTTTCCGGGGAGAGATTTAATGGACGAAGACCGAATCCAAGAGAGACACCTACAAATTTCGAGAACGATTCTATTTGATCGAACTCTCGATCCTCACACACGTCAGTTAAAGGTTTTAAATTCTATAACGTGCCCTTGGGAACGTACGTAACCGTTGACTAAGTAACTTTTGCACAAATAAAAGGCTATAAAACGTTTCCTATCTTATTCCGTTGGTCTTTTCTTTCATTTGAGTCTTTTTGATTCATTTTTTGCTCTTGATCAAGTGATTATTTCTTTCGCATTCCCTTTTGCAAGTGGTTCGTGTTCTCATTTATTAAGTGATTGTTTTCATTCATTTCTCAGTGAGTGTTTTATTCTTGGTTTGTTGTACGTGGTGTTGTTAACGTGGAACGTAGTGTTTTGCGTGGTGATTCAGGTGTTAAATAAAGTCTTGTTTCTTTAAAGAAGCAGACATAAACCACATTGAGACTCCACAGAAGATAAAGCACGTTACACTATATCCTCATTTAGTTCATATACTATTTATTCAGTTTTTGAACGAAAGAAAGAGCGATACGATAAGCCCGAAAAATAGCCAAATCTTTTACACTAAGAGCCTTCTAAAATCTGGAATAACTTTAACGCAGGTATTCTACCGTAAGCTGGAGTCTAAGCTCCCATTTTGTATCCAAAATTCGATAGACAAAGCGATTTCAAATTCTCTTCGTACCTACCAAGAATCACGGATATAATGGTCATCGTGAGAAGGAGATTCTCTCGACAAAAATCGATCATCAACCGAAGGAAACTCACTGAACACTTTTTGAATTTAAAGTTGTAAAGTTCATATAACAAACTTTTGGGCATATTTAGAGCTGGCTAATTTCAGAAGACTTCTTGCAAAATAGTCAACCTGAGCATTCAATAGCGACAAACGGCACAATACGAGCGCCCAGGGATCAGAGCAAAAATATGCAAATCACTCGCTGAATGACGCACAAGAGCCTGAACAGGGGAGTACTCGACTTTCAGCCGCATGTTGCTTCTGGGAAACACGAAAATGTCCGGAACTAATCTTGGTTTTCCAAAATTTACAGTCATTCGCCCAAATGGAAACAATCGTTTCTCTCCGATGATTTTTTTATTGCTTTCATGCCTCTGATGCAAAAACAAAGTTGCCATATTCGTAGTTACTGTATTTTTTTAACAAAACTTTATTAACTTTTTATAAACAGAATAAAGATAGTACTAACCGGTAACAATAAATTATGAAAATAAATTCTAGGCTCAAGAAAGACCTAGAGTGCAAATAGATTGGGCGTAGGCGCTCCTTAACGATTTCGCATCTTGCAACACATACTCCAGTTGACGAGACGCACATCATCTTCAGCGACCTAAAAAGCAATAAGTCAAGTTATCGTTTATGCATGGTGAAATATGGTTTATAGCTTTTACCTTTACAACTGCATCATTATCATCAACAGATACAAGCGTTCCAACACACCCAGCTTCTTCACCATAAATAATTCGCGTCTTAAAATTTGTGTAATTACGAAGTTAAATCCAGAATAGGTTACCTGTTCTCCTTGTTGTGGGCGAATTGGGTTAAGTTGTTCGTAGTAGGCGCGTACTTCTCTCTCAATATCAGACAACCAAAGAATACAATACTCCTGAAACACTTGTGTATGGGAAGGGATAATAAATTTTACCTCGTGAACACTATTAACAACTCCATTCATTCCACGAACATCTTCATCTTCATGCGAATTCTTAATTTGCACGACAAGACCTTCTTCGAGCCACTCGCCGCCGTCCAAGTAATTTTGTGCTAAAATCTTGCATTACAACGCTAAAAACATGGTCTTACGAATTGCATTGTCGTAATCGTTGCTTGAGTATGGAGTTGGAGCCGAATAATAGTTGCTTGGCGACATCGGTGTGGTGTAATTGTAATTGCTTGCCGGAGCATCGTAAGTTGCCGGCGTCAATGGGTTCATGCTTCCAGGAGTTGGTGCGGAGTACATGGGCGAGGCTGGGGATTCATACTCCATTTCGCGAGGCTCGTGTTGCTCTTCGTCTTCAGATGAATCAGGAGATTCTAAAATAAACCAATAAATCAATGAAATCATTACGACCATTTCCTTAGTTCCAATGGTTTAATAACTCACCACTACTATGCCGATCGCTACGAGCTGGTGTTTGCCCTCCGTAGGCTGGTGTCCGTCCACCCGTTGCTAAAATACATTTGGGTTCAAAAACAGGGAATAAACACACATTCATATCCAGGTGTTCTGCTTCCACTTTCATATGCCGGTGTGCGCGCTGCCTAAATTTATTAACATTAAAAATAATAAACACAAATTACCTCTCCCCCGTAATGCGGAGTACGGCCACCAATATCATAAGCTGGAGTACGTCCACCTATTCAAAAATTTTTGTAAAGTCTATGAAAAGTCAAACCTTCATATCCTGGAGTACGGCCACCATCTCCGTAAGCGGGAGTTTGAGCTCCGTAATGTGGAGTGCGGCCACCATCACCTGCTGCGGGAGTTTGAGCTCCGTACATAGGAGTTTTGCTTCCTAAAATTCGAAAGCAGTTCAAAAGCTCCACGAAAATTAAATTCAACCTGCATATGCGGGAGTTTTGCCAAAACCAGCAGTAGGACCTGAAATTTATCTGTTAGTAAAAAGTAAACAAAAAAGAATCTATTGATTAGCCTTTGATTGATTGTTATTAATAATAATATTAATAACAGTGTCATAAATAAGTACGGACCAGCTGGTGTTCGCATGTACTCGCTGATACCACGAGGAGCACCACCGGGGGTCCCATCCCCAACAACTTGGATACGTGAGCGATCAACCGAAATCGTCTAAACAAGCGTCTATGCAAGTACTAATTAATTAGTAACCTTGCATGTTGTGTGGAGTTCAACTCGAGCAGTTTGTTCTGTTGCATCCTTGACAATACCGTGATATCTATAAAAATTGAGTAAATGAATACCCTATAACAAAGTCTCACCCTTTGAGCGGACCTTGAGTGATCCGGACGCTCTTGCCGATAATTGCAGCATCACGTCTGACCCGGGAATTTCCTTGTCCACCAAGCATGCCTATAAGATTTTTCGTAGGTGACAAATAAATCCTATTTGTTACCCATTGTAGGCGTTCTTGCGGCGTTTGATGGAGTGTTTGCTTTTGGTGTGGCAGCGCCCATGTGTCTTGGAGAAGCAAGGAAACCAAGACGATTCAATGTTGGTCCATCTCCTAATTATAGAAAGTACTGTAACAACAATATTAAACTCACCTCTTCGTTCATTTTTCGCTCCTTGAAGAGTCAAGTGCTTAGGTCGGCAGACAAATATTCCTCCATTCTCGGTGAACTTTCTTGAGTAGATAAATGCAAAGCTCCGGAAGAGATGTTTGATTTCACCCGTCAATTCTTCTTCTCCGGCTTTTTTCACCTAAAAATGGGTAACAATTTGCAAGCTTAACACTAACATGATAAGGTCCGTCGATAACTCTGATCATATCCTTGACTTGGACGCTGTTTCCAGTCGAGTCCAAAGCTTGTGCAAACTTGTCTTCTTTTTTCCCCATAATGGCCAGTGGTTTCAGCCGAACCAACTAAAGCATCGTATAAAAAAGTCTAGCAAAATCTCTCACCTTTCCATACATATTGAGAATCTCCAAAGTTTCCCTTTCCAGTCGCACAATCATTCCCACGGTTTCACGATCAATTTGTACGAGGTCCTAAAACATTTAGATATAATTTATCAACAATGGAAACATACATGGAACTGATATTTTCCAAGTGAATCCACCCCCGATGAAATTTGAGCACACAGTTGAACGTCTCTAGGGCGACATTTGATTTCATCGTTCGTTAAATCGGAGAAGATAACCACTTCATTCAGTTCCGTTTTCACAATCAGTCCAGTATCTCCCTCATACCTTAAATTTATTGTAAAAAATCTAGACATAAAATCCTACTTTCCATCAATGATTTTCACATGATCACCAGGTTTGAAATGTTTGCGAAGTTCAACGGCCTTGAGTGTGATAACCTCCTGAATTGAGAATAAAATCAATTCATAACAGAAATAATACGTTCAAATCCTCATGGTCGGGCATAATGTGGACTTGATCTCCATCAACAGTGAGAACTTTACCACGCAAATTGACAAGTTCACCTTCAGCCACCTAAAATTTACTTACCCCCAAAAACTCTCACTAAATTACCTCAACAATATCTCCAGGAGCGAACTTGGTTGTTGATCCTTTAATTGACGTTTTCTCCACTAAATATCAAATAACTACAGTAGTTCATAAAAACAAACAATCGCGTTTCAAATCATCGGACGTTTCTTGGAACTTTTCAAGTTCTGTAAGTGATGGCTTCACTCCTTCATCAATCTAGATTTTCTGCATGTAAAACATTGGTAACAGAAACTCACAATTGCATTCAATGGAAACGCTTTGTAGAGAAACCCGCGTCGGTAATGATTTCCTTCAAAGATCGTAAAATCACCATCGTTTGTAACCTCGCCTCCAATTTCCCTAAAAGAACGGAATTCAATCATTTGATAACGCGACAAACTTGATTTTCTCTTGATTGAAGAGTTGTGGTCCTGGACGCCGTGTCTTTTTTAAAGCACGGTCGGCCTCCTGAAAGTTTGAAAATTGAAAGATGTACAAAAAAGAGTGGAACATACTGTTCGCAACGCTCCTCGCATTCTGGTGTAATCGATTCGAGGTAGCAATTTTAGGTTCACTTTGTTTTGTGCAATGTCTACCCAGTCGACCTGAATAAGAATTATAATTATTGAAATGACTTATTACCTGAGCCAGATCGTCCTTGTAAATCGTGCGCTTTAGTCGTACATAAGTCCCCGGTTTCAGTTGAGGTATATCCTTTACAACACGCAGAGAATCCACCATTTCTTTGATTGGCACCATCTATTAAATGAGAAAATCTTTCAGGTCAAATGAAAACTAAAATACCACAATGTTGAATGCATTTAGTGCGCCAATACTATCAATTGCTTGAGCCACGTGCGATTGTTTGAAAGCCTCAACGTAAAGCACTGAAATTTATTAGTCAAACTCCTTTTGAAAGGCTTCAACTTACTTCCCTTGAGACCTTCTTTGTAGATCACTGATTTGATTTGAAGCGGCTAAAATAAAAACATAAAATTAAAATTTAGATAACCAACTTGTTGGGTGGCCTCAAAAGCAAGCGCTTTTCGCATCAGCTGCATGCAAACAAGTTTTTCTTCGCCGATTCGACATTTCACAATCCAGAGATTTGGGTCTTTCGTTGATGGTAGCAATCCATTTTGAGCAATGTCACCAGCTGCAATCAATACCAAAAACTACATTTGCTTTTCAAAAACTGACCATAGCTTGCATCATCATCGTACTCAACAGCGGCACTTCTACCCTCATCGCGATAGCGGTTTTCATAATATTCGGCAATCTCTTCGGCCGACATATCCCTAAAATTTGTTTTCATTTTAGCATCAACTATGGCAGTACTTGAACATATTTCGCCGATCGTTTTCCTTGATTCTTGCCGCGTCAAGTTCCCTCATGGTTTTTTCGGCTTCTTCTCGCTCCTACAAAAAAAATCAGTTTCAAACAAAATAAAAAAGTTATAACCGTTCGGTCCAAGCCTCCAATGTCATCGTCAGAATAGTCGTCCTCTTCAGCGTCTTCATCATCTACCTTAAATAAAACATTACACTAGAAAAATGGGATCAAAAACTTACATCGACATCGTGAAGGATAAAATCCGAACCACGAGGCTTTTTTCTTCTCTAAAAAGACACGATAAATTTTATATTCTCTTCTACAAAAACCTTTTTGCCCTTCTTCTGTTTGGCCGATGAGTCATCTGAATCTTCTTCCTCCTCCTCCTCTTCTTCGTCTTCCTCTTCATCATCGGAAGCTATCTAAACACAAAGGTTAAGAGTTTCTTATAATAGGTTTTAAAATCCTAAAGTTAAAAATTACCCTTCGCTTGCGATTCTTCTTCTTTGGCCCGTCGTCAACCTCCGAATCATGATCACTTCCCTCATCGTTTCTGCCTTGGGGCTCGTCGTCCTCGGAATTCTTTTGCACCTCGTCATCCGAATCGTCAGAAGACATCTAAAGGAAACATTAAAATTGTTGAAATACCATCAAACAAAGATAAAAAAGTAATAAATTGGAGCTTAAAAATATGGAAGGATGAAAACAGTAACCTCTGCGACGACAAATGGAAGGAAAGCATGCGAAAGGGGAGGAGGGACAAGTCTTTTTGAAACATCGTATGAAAAACGTCGTAGAGCGAGTGTAAAGAGTATGCATGTGTATTTGCTTGGCTTTATACTATTTAACAAGGCTTTTTCTTCAAAGCTTTCTGCTTCACTGGAAAAGTTGAACAACTTGAAGATAAAAATTGTAGCATTTTTGCAGGAAACATTCATTTTTCATGTCCATCACTAGTGTTTTGGATAGCAAATTACATAGTCTGCTGTAAGTTAAAGCTGGCCTTTATGTCTCTTTTTGCAGATTCAACGTTTTTTTGTTATCTTTAACTTTAATTAATTTCAAGTTTACTTAATTGCAACTTTTTACAGAAAATGGCAACGACAAGCTCCTCTTCAACTCCACATCGACATTTGGTTAGTTGTTTCATTACATTTTGTTAAGGTTAGCTATAGTTATTGTTAGTGTAAACTTTTTTGCTTAATGAATTTAAGAATCGGTTTGTATTTATTATCGTTTTATGGATTTCCAACTTTAGATTAGCGATTTGGTTGCTTCAACTCTCTCAATGAATGCGGACAGTGAATGGATCGATGCTCTTCTTTTCACACCATTTCTCACTGAGCAAGCTTTATTGTACGAGTATGCCGATTGTCTTGCTGCGCAAACGTTCTTTCGAATGGCCGGACTTCCGTATCAGCTTCGACAACGACCAAATGTGGATTTCATCTCGCCCACCGGGAAAGTACCATTTTTGAAGCTCAACAACGTTCTTGTGGCTGAATTCACTGGAATTGTCGATTTTGTTGCTCAGAAGGGAGTGAAACTTTCAGCTCATTTAACCGAGGTTCAATTAGCTGAAATGATGGCACATATGTCGATGATCGATCTTCTTCTACGGAATATTGAGATCTACGTTGTTTGGCGACATGACGAAACTTTTTCCAAGATCACCTCATCTCGAGTCGCGTCAGTGTTCCATTGGCCTCTCACAGTCATTTTGCCAAGATTGAAACGACGAGAGATGATTGGATATTTGGATGATCAAGATTGGGCAACAAAGTCTATGGATGAAGTGCTAGAAGCGGCTGATCGTGCCTTCCGATCACTCTCTTCTCAGCTTGGTTCTTGTGAATTTTTGATGGGCGACAAGCCAACAGAAGCGGATGCTTTGCTCTTTGGGCACCTGTATTCGATCATGACCACACAACTTCCATGCCACGATTTGCAGAACTTACTCAAGAAATATAACAATCTTTTGGATTTTACTACCCGTGTTGAACGTGAATTTTTCAAGCGTTAATGTTATATTTGTTTTTATCTTTATTTTATTGTGCGATGTATTTAGGTTAGTGTAGTTTAAATAAAAATTCAGGTAGATTCTTAATGTTCACCTAAAGGAATGGATGCAGCCCACTCAAGTCAAGGTGGTTTTGCTTTTATTTAATAGTTTAATAGCTACTAACTAGATTCATCGAACAAGAATGAAACGCCAAAGAAAACGGGGTTCGATTCGATTGTGCGACGGTATGAAAGAAGCACTGAACGAAATCGAGACAACACCGATTTCGAGCTCAGGTTGCAAGACAATAAAAAGACAAAAAGTAATGCCTCAATCACTTTAGTGCTTGGTTAGTTGCACATCCAGAAGTTGCGTCACCAATTGGTCCTTTACTGAAACATTCTTTTTGGAGAAGTGCCTTCGTTATTGCACAAAGGTACAAGATTCAAAGAATAGATATTCCAACTCACCTATATTCAGAAGTAACTCAAATCAACTTGAATTTGTAACCTTTTTGCTTAACAACGAATCACAGCTGAGAGAAGGAGGCACCGATGATGACGCAGGAAGGGTGCTGATATTATCAAGAACAAGATAAACAAAGTATTTCAGATAATTAGTATGCTACTTGCCTTAAAATGGGAACATCTTGATTCAAAAATTGTTGACAAACTCTTTTATCTTCTTGCTGGATGGCCAAAGACTTCATCGAAACACTGGGCCTGTCTACAACTTGCACAAACATTCGGACAAAAGTGAGAATATTTCGAGAGAAAACGTCTCAACCAATTTCAGTTATCCATCAGCATCGACGGTGCTTTTTCTCGTCTCTTCAACATATTTACTTTCTCCACATGGACTTGGCTTGGTAATTGGCAAAATTAACATTAAATAGAAGTTATGAATTTAAATTTAAATTCCAGGGTCTCCCCCTTCTAAAAGGTTGCTCATGTGCGGGGAGCGCAAATTGGAGTATTTTCATGGATGAAACGGGTAAATTGACGATTTTTGGTTTCTTTGGAAGTCAACAAAAACCACGAGTGCTCGATGCAGGAGGTAGGATGAAAAGAAAAAGGAAAGGGAAGAACAAAAATTTAGAATTATCCCTAAAAAGGTCATCTGATGACAGCAAGAGGGATAATGAGGCAAAGAAGTCCCCTCCACCACCGCCACCCGTAAAAACATTTCGTCTACCAAAAGGAAAACCATTTGCAGGTAAAAACACTAAAAGATATGACTACAGTAGTTTTCGAAAGTTGAACACAAGTATTCAGTTGTACAAATAAAGACAAAACTTGAATTCCAGTGAGCTGTGGTGCGGTGCATTGTCTAATCGTTTCCACAGATCGACTTCTTTATTCTTTCGGTCAAAACACATATGGGCAATGTGGAGTTGGAGACGATCAAAAACACGAAACACCAACTGTTTGTTGTAAAAGAAATGATGAAAGCTTTCTTTCAGGTAATCTCAGGTGATTGGGGATCGATAATCTCTTTGTCCGCGGGTCAATATCATTCAGGAATTGTGCTCAATGATGGAAGTGTTTATACATGGGGTAACTGATAGCATTTAAAAGTTTTATAGAATGTTACAGGCTGGGGAATGTACGGACAATTGGGATTGGGTGAAAGAAGAGGAGGAACCGACGCTTGGACACCGACATTTGTCCCCGATTTACCGTTAGTTGATTATGAATTGATTAAATAGTGCAAAATATTGGGTTGATGGAAAAGTCCTTTCCGATTTTTTCGGAGAGTACCTTAAATTTGTCCAATTTTGACGTTTTATAGCTCATCCTAAAGCTGAATTCAAGACGGATCGATTGGTAAAAACCATTTTGAGATATCTCTTTTTTTAAAAGTTTTTACAGCTATTTTAGTAAAGGGGGGCAGAGCCAAAAAATGGCTGTTTTCCGTGCAGAAACCTAGGCTAAAAACATGTGCGAACTTTGGCTGGACAACTTTTTTCCATCAACCCAATAGAAACAAATCTGTTCATAGTAATAAATCTGTAATCTATCGTACTTAATTTATTGATTGATTTGATTAGATGAAAAAATTTAGCGAGAAAATGAAAGCAATCTCTTGTGGACGGGCGCATTCAGTGCTTCTTGGTGAGTCGGGATCAATCTACACAACTGGTTGTGGACTCTTTGGACAACTTGGGACACTCGTTGACATCAGGAAGAGATTTACATTCACGGTCAGTTTCCTTTTTCTTATCAATCAAATTATACATTAATTTAAGATCTCATAGCAAATTTCTGTTATCATTCAAATTCCAGAAGCTTTCCTTATCCCCTCCTGGCATTGAAAGGGAAATCCGAGTGCGAACGATGGCCACAAAATACTATCATACAGTCGCTATCACTGAAGACAATCAAGTATTTGAATGGGGCAAAAATCCACATGATTTAAAGGTTCTAGAAATATCAAAATGTTTCGAATTCAACATTTTCAGATGAAAATGTTTGTGATGAAACGCTTGCGGAATGCTCAAGCAGCAAAGGGAGAAAACGGGGCAAAGATTCCACCGCATAACCCCGATATTCCAAAGGATTTTCTTGGTGTTTTCAAGGTAAAAAGTTTATGTAGAAATAAATCGATGAAAGAATTTGATTCAGGTAAAACATGAAATTGATGCCGATATCGTTGACGTCTCAACGGGGCTCTCCCATTCGGCGCTTCTCACCAATAAACAGCATATTTACACGTGGGGAAAGGTTGGTTCAAAGTGGAGGAGTTTTGCAGTATTAGTTTACAAGTCCAAGAATCGACTGATTATGAAAAACTTGCCCATTTCAGTCACTCGATCACCAACTCGGGCATGGGAACAAATTGGAGAGAAATGAGCCACAAAAAGTTGTTGACGAAAATGCTTGGATTGATGTGCAATGTGGTGGGGGAATATTGTTGAAACTCGTTGCTTAGACAGTTGAAACTTGAAGGCAAATTTGTTATGCTTTACTTGAAAACTTGAATTCCTTTTTTTCAGGTGGTCATTTCACATTGGGCGTCTCAGAGAGTGGACACGCTCATTCATGGGGAAGAAACGATTTCTCCCAATGTGGCGTTAGTATTTAAAACTTTATTACTATTTATATTTACAAATTTATTATTATTACTTTAAAAAAAAGATTCCCCTGACCTATTTCTAAGCAAAGACAATCCCGATTTACAGGTGATCAGCGAGAAAATCCCGCAATCGCCGCGAAAGTTCATCTTCAAAGCAAAGGGTGACGTGAAAAAGTAAGATAATCAAATATTCTAATCAATCAAGATTTTAGAGATTATATAATTGATAATAGCTGAAAGATTTTCTAGATGTGTCCATCTACCCGACGAGAGTTCATATGTTTCAAAACCACAAGTGATCTCATCGATTTTGCTCGAGATTCCCGCGAAGAAAGGTTCAGAAAACGAGAAATATATATGTCGTAGCCGATTATGAATGAAATTTTTTGTTAAATCTTTCTAGTAGAGCAACCCTTTAATGTATGAGGACAATATTATATCATCCTGTAGCGAATTAAATTCTGCGTCGATTGGTACCAAATTTGTGAGTTTAGGGTTCAAAAATTACCGGCTGCTAATCCTCAACGTTTCAGCTTGCAAAATCGGCGGGACCCTCGTAAAGCCGATTATGAATGAGTAAAGGGTCAACCATCAAGTATTTGAGTATCATTCGGCGAATTAATAATTATGTTAAATTTTTTAAATTAGAAAGATTTGATAAAAAGAAAAAAAATTAGAGCAAAAAAAACTGTTTGTTCAAGAGGAAACTTTGAGGCCCCATAATTTTTTTTTTCTTTTTATCAAATCTTTCTAATTTTAAAAATTTAACATAATTATTAATGATTCTGCGTTGAATGATACTAAATACTTGATGGTTGGACGCGTCCGGACCCGCTCATTCATAATCGGCTGAAATTCATAATCGGCTACGACATATATAATCAAAGAAATTTTAGAAAACGTTGAAGAAAAGTTGACGCCGAGTGAAGTGGTTGAAAGGATCCGAACAGCCGATACACGGTGTCTTCGAGTGGCGAGCTCGATTCTTGATAAATATTGTTCGTCTTGGAATACAGTACTTATTAAATCTCGACAGTTCCTAAATAATGCCCCAGGGAAAGCTACTGTAACTCGCTAGTAAGAAATGCCTCCTTTCAAGCAACTCATTGACATGATTTTCAAGCGGTGAAGACTAGGCAGGGTATATCTACAATACTGTTCAGGTTCACTGGGCACTGCACCTTTTCTTAAGCGTATTTTTTAGTCACCACACTCATTTATATATCATTTTCAATTCGAATTTTTAGATCAAGATCTCCCCTCACTCGCGGCGGCTTTCGTTCACATGTTGGGCGGGAATTTGTGGAGTGCGGTGAACACAGTGAAACGGGTGATCGATAATAGAAATGGAGTGATGGTTTGTTGTAAATATGATCAATGTTATTCAATTCTTAGACTGATCAAGATATTGGTTACATGTCCGGAGTGTTATGGGAGGGAATTCTTGGAGGAGACGGTCCCTCAACCACACTTTTACAGCATGCACTTCTTCATCTGCCAAAGCCAACCGACGAAGAAATTCAAGAGAAATTGAGGTTTCAATCTAAAATTAGGCAAATTTCTGTAAAGTTAGACAATTCTTGAAGTTACTGTAGCCACTTCGAGGGAAGAGTTCACTCTGTAAATGCCCGCCACTTGACGGAGAATCCAAAAGTGGCTGTTAGTTGTAGAATTCTAAATTCCTGTCTGGGAGATTATGCCAAGAAAAAAGAGATCTAATTTTATTATTATCTATTCTTATCATTATCCATTACCATTATTATCGAATTAAAGTCGCAATTCACTCAATTTCGTAGACAAATTTGGCCGAGCGCCTGGTCGAACACCGAGACGCAAAACGGATTGACAGGGATGGAGAAAGCGAAAATGCTCTCAAAATGGACCCCATCATCGTCTCAATTGACAACGAATGTACACGTGAGTCTCGGGGAAACATTTTGATATGATCATTTTATCAAAATTTTAGATCTCGGGCTCATCGATTTCCCCAAAAACGGCAAAAGTTCGCGTGTGGGCCGCGTGCGGGCACACTGAGGCGCCATCGGAAAGTACACATGTAAGGGATGGGAAATCTTTCTGTCCTTTGTTCATCTCTCTTTTTATAAGTCGTCCCTGTACAACTCATAGGCTTATAGTTAAAGCTGGTATTATGAAATGTGCCAACAGTACTGGAATTGACACTACATAGTACTGCAAAGTACTGTTAAGTCAAATCTATGGAGATGGTCTTAAGGAGTATTTGGGAGCTTTGCTAGAATATAGCTTTTAAACCTTTCAAAAATTCAAACTATATAAATTACATAAATAAAAAAACAACTTAGAATATCGTTTCAGTGTGGGGAATGCATTCGTGAATGGTTGGAGATTGTGAAAGGGAATCAAGGAGAGACAATCAACAATCATTGCACCGCATAAATGGAATCAAGGAGAGACAATCAACAATCATCATTGCACCGCGTAAATGGAATCACCCTTATCCCTAGCTCTTTCAGTACCACTTTTAACTTGAATATTGTCAAATTTTGATCCACCATTCTAAGTTTCAGCATCGAACTCGTCCCAGATTCACATTCTTTCAGCTCTCAAATTTACTCCTTTACCACCTCAACCCCAGTTATCTCTTTTAAACGTTTTTCTTTTTTCCGTTTCCTTGGTCTCAAATTCATTTTCAAAGCAGCCAAAGCCAGAGATTTCAATCATTCTCTTTGCTCACCTCATTTCTGTACAAATCCGAAACACTTATCTGTATCAGCCTTTAATATTGCCTTCATATTTTCTAAACTTTCAATTCTCACCAAAGAAAATTCTCTATAAATATTTTATTATCTAATAAAGAAAAAAAAACAAAAGTAAATTTTAGATAAAAAGAGATAAATATGATAACAGAGAAGATTTTAGACAAAAAAAATGGCAGTGTTTTTCAGATCAGATCATTCATTGATCCTTTTTTGGGTTTAGCATCGTTCTTGGATCTCACCTAAATTTTGGAATTTAGAATTTTATGGTTTATTTGATATTTTGCTAGCTCTGTAATTAGTAGTGGCTCGTACGGTTTAAGATTTTGTTTGAAAAATCCAGAAACCATACGAGGTACTGGTTTTGGCTCTCAATTTCCTCATTGTTTCTTTTTATTTCGAATATCTCCGTTTAAGCGGCTTTTGAATTCTAATTATTGATACTGCGAAAACTTGCCCTCTTTCAATCCGAGGCATTTTCCCCATTCGCGGATGGAGATGGCTCCATTGTTGTCAGCATCACATCCCTCCAAGAACGGCTTGATGCAAGATTCCATTGGGATGACTGGAGCGGTGATTGGGATCAACTCGTGGTGGGAGACTTCCTGAAAATTTGATCTCTTGTCAAATGGAGGATCTTTAAATATAAAAGGGTTTTCTATCAATCACCGATGTGATCAACGTCTTAAAAATCGTTCTATATTTCCATAATGCCGGGTGTACAGTCGTGTAGTCTAACTTTAAACGAGCCGTTCTTCTTGCTGCTTTATGCTACAGTGTGCTACATGGTGTCAAACGATAGCGCTCAAAAGCTAGTATTTTTGGTATCAAAAGTTTGTTGGGAAAAAGTCTAGGGGCTGAGAAAACGAAGTTAGACTAGGCGATTGTAGGAGAAGGTGGTGTTAGAAGTTAGACGGTAGATCAAGTGAGCAATCAGTCTGATTCTGTTCTTATCAGTAAATATACGATAAATCTAGCTATAGCTATAAAGTGTGTGTACAGAGATCATAATTAAACATTAAAATGTCATCATAAAGATAAGAATAAAGATAAGAATTGAAATCATTATCAAATAAACCTTATCATGTGGCTTCACATCCAAATCGCAGAATTTCCAGATGACTGGGTAGACGTGTTTCTTCTCATCGTCACTCTCAGCTTCCTAAATGTTTAAATTTGATTTGATAGAGAGAAATAGATTTTTTTAAAGAGTTCACAATCCCTTACCTGCAACAATTCCTCCCACTCGAGCTTGTGCAACTCACGGCGTTTCTTCAACTCGCGCATCACCTAGGAATGGCTTAGAAAATAAGCCAAAAAAAAATAAAGGCTTAGAAAATCTCCATATCTTTTCCATATTTATTTATCATTTATTATCAATTTTCTTTTATTCACCTGGAAGAGCCAATCGCTCATTCTCTCCGGGAATTGAGCCATATGGTCGGCGGTGCACTCCTCCAATTTCTTGCATTCACCCAAATACTCGAGGTGAACCTGAATATTGAATTTTATCAAAATTAGCATATATCATTTATTTTATTTACATATCGATTAAGGTTTAGTGTCAAATAGAAAATGATAATTGCAATGAGAAATGGGAGATTTTGATTGGTCATTGGTCATTTCATTGGTCATTTCATTGGTCATCGGTCCGAAAAGTCATTGACCTCAAAATTTCCCCTTCCGCATTGCATTCTCATTTTCGATTTTCCACTAAACCTTAATCGAAATCAAATTTTCGGAATTGATATCGATATTTTTGAAAGTTCTCGACCTTAGCGTGACCATGCTTGGCACATTGTGGGCTCTTTCTCTTGCACAAGCACCGCTCGCGGTACAGATCGCACAGCGAAACGAAAGTCTCGTTGTTGTTGGCGCACACCTGAAATTTGAGCATCAAAAAAAAATTGTGTTCTTAACCCAAATATATGTTCTGGCAATTTCAATTCAAAGTAGAATTTTCTATTAAATATCATTAATATCATTAATATCATCAATATCTCCTCATCAATATCTCCTCATCAATAAATGAGTCAAACCTTGTCCATGGGATCTCCGTCAAGCTCAGGGCACTTGGCAACGCACTCACAGGTGGGCTCGCCCTTCTTGTCGACAACGCATTCCTGGAATTCGAAAATTAGATAGATTAGATAGATTAGATAGATTTTTGTGAGTTTAAACATTTCTGAGCCTAGCGTATTCATTCCAAAATTCTTTTTCGTGTCCTAGCTCAACTCAAAGCAAAGCTATAGTACGCTCAAAGCTTTTCGAAGTTGAAAAATTGATGTTTCGATGCATTTGCATCTGCTTTTCGACGGCATTAAGCTTTTTATTTTTAGTCTATATCATTATCTAAAGCATTTCTATAGAATAATTACGATATTTTTCAAAAGAATAGAACAAACCTTTCCCCATCCGCACACATGATCCTCACAAGGGCTCTTCACGTCGGCTGAAATTCGACTTTTATCAAAAAAAAGATCTGGATATAGAAAAGAAATACTATTATCTAAATATACTATAATAAACTAATCATAGCTCTGAAAAATTGTGTTTTTGTTAAGTGGATCAAGAATCAGAGCTCAGAAATGGCATAAGATCAACGAGAAGCTAAATATACAAATCTCTTGCAGATTCCCCCACTTTTCTTCTCCTGTGATTGGGGTCTTTGTGGCCTCTTTGCCTCCTTCGATTTCGGTGTTTTCTCCTCATCAATATCCTCCAAAAGCGACTCTAACTCGTCCCAATCATTGCCCTTCTTTGCCTAAAGATATATTACTTTTTAAAATTCTATCCGCACATTCTGAATGATTTACAGTAAAAAACTTGTCTGCTGTTTCAAAAAAAAAGAAAGAAATAAAGCCAGAGACTTGTGCAAATGGAAAGAATGGAAAGGAAAAGAAAAGAAAAAAGCCAAGAATGGAAAGAATACTATGAAAAGAATTTAAACTTTCGAATAAGAATAAGTATTCGAAATTGCTTCCATTTTTCCGTATTTCCCCTTGACTCACCTTTTTGGCGGCATCGATGACATCGGAGAATAAAAGAAGACCGAGAAAAGCGGCAAGAATCACCGTCGAGGATCTCATCCTAAAGAACAATCAATTCAACAATTCAACAATTGAATGGGTATTGAAAGAAATTGAAAGAAATTGAAAAACATTTTAATAAAAAGTTTCATCTGTCAGAGTATTTCTCTTAAGTAGCACGTTTTCTAAAGACATCAACATTCAACATCAACAACATTTAAAGACATCTCAACTCAACTACTATAACCTTTTCTCTACTCGTTCCCTCTTCTGCACCCTTTTCAAATCCTTACAGAAAGATATCAAGTTGATCTATTAAATAAAATATAGAAGCCAAAGATTACGGTAGTTTTGAAACGTTTTTAAAAGCGCATTAGGTTGACAGACTTGATTCCTGACTTGATAGACTTGATAGAAATCTAGAAATTTGCATAAATAGGAAAAAATCTTGAATGAATTAAATGAAAATGAGTGAGATTGAAGTGGAAAGTTGGTCTGTTGATGGGAGGAAGAAAGGGATGGGGCCTTCGATAGACACAAAACTAGTGAGGGGAGGAGCAACAGCCACTCTTCCTCGGCCACCTCCAAGCCATCTCCCAACTCCTCCCGGCTTTTCCCTTGCACATTTTCTCACAATTTGATCGATCACATCTCTCTCAGAGAACTCTAATAAAGAAAGAACCAAGAATTTAATCCATAAGTTCACTGGCTAACTCTGTAAAAGCTATTGCTTTTTGGACTTATTTTACTTGTCAATGCTTAAGTCTTAAAGTCAGCTTTGTACTGAAATTTTTGCTTTAACTGAAGACGAACAAAAGTTGCATTAAGCGACGAGAAAGACAAGAAAGAAAAACAAGAAAGATTTGATTTCAATCGATCAACCAATGTACACTCTTTTGCGGTTCACAGATTGTCGAAGAAGCTCAGAAGTCTTCGTTCATCTATCCCCGAATCCCATAACTATTTTTCAATCTCGTTTTTGTGGAGAACACTTGTCTAAAATCGGTTCCAAGAGATTTAGTAAAAACTCTCGAGAAATATGGTGTGTAAGCTGGGAAATGAAAAGAAGAGAGAATGGGAGACTCTTTTTGAGTCTCTGTTTTCGATGGTCTTCTTCCGATTGGAAGGGAGGACAGCTGCCAGTGATTCTTTTTTCTCTTTCTTTTTCCCAAACTTCTTTGCGTACCGTACACAACTCCAGAGAGGGAGAGAGATGGAGCTGCAACTGGAAGAAAGGAGAAAAGGAAGGAGAAAAGAAAGTAGAAAAGAATCTCGATCGTTTCTCTCAGACCCATCCATTCTCTTCTTTTCCTTTCCCGATCTGGCTCAAATCCCTTTCTTCCCTTCAACTCTTTGATGACAATCTGTCCATCGAAAATGTCTCCATTTTTTTTTCAATCGAAACATTTACCAGCTGGCAGGTGACAGGGCACATTGGTCTTCGAGAAGAGAACGTTTACAGTGCACAAAGATGCACAGTGCTTTATAATAAACATGTACACAGTTACAGTATACAGCTAAACAATTGTGACACACAGTCTTTATTCAGAACGAGTTGATCTCTTGCAGGTACAAGGCATGAAATCTTGGCACTTTGCACGTCATAACTTTAGTACAAGACATCTTTGAGTCAAGTGAAGCCAGATGGCAATGGGTTCTCTAAAAGATGGGTGATTTAGAAAACTATCATATTCCTTTCTTTAGCTTTATCCATTCTGCTTCTCGTTGATCTCTGATCCACTTAACAAAACCACAATTATTCAGAGGTGACAAATACTCAATACTTTTTGGCTGAAACTCAATAACCTCGAGGAATCGGATCTCAGAACATATATGAAATCGGAGAAAAAAAGGGTGCCAGGTCGAGACGATTCCCTCCCTTTCTAATGGGTAAAGAAAGAAAAGAAAAGAAAGAGTTGATCCGTCTATATCTTTCCTTTCTTTCTTTCTTTTGGTCCCCTATTACACTGTCGTTTTGAGACCACTTGGGGAAGCTCACCGCTGGCGAGGAGAAAGACCCCAATTCATATAGAGAACAACTCACTGGGGGGATGAGAATTCGCTCGTCCAAGGGGATTTCGTTTATTGATGGATGAGGAAAATCATAAAGATACAAAAGGGATATCGTTTCTACCATCCATTGGTAAGAAAGAGTTGATCCATCTATATCTTTCCTTTCTTTCTTTCTTTTGGTCCCCTATTAAAAACGACAGTGTAAAGATACAAAAGTGGTATCGTTTCTACCATCCATTTACAGTAATAAGGGTTTTATCATTCAGCTATTTCGTTTACAAATGACAAAACTGAATGAATTCTTTGACTAGAGTGTGTCCATACCGACTTCTATGAACTGTGAACTTGCCTCTAACTGTAATGCGTAATCTTGCCTCTAACTTTTATCGATTCTACTTTAAATCTTTTCGATATCCTTTGTAAAACCTCATAGAATCAAAATAAAATAGATATTTTACGATAAAAACTAGAGCAAGAGTACGATAGTTTCTAAAAGTTGACAAACGTTTGCCTATTTTAGAGCCTACTGTCAACTTTTGCCTATTCTACAAACGATAGAGTGAAATCGATTCTTTTCAAGGCCCTAAACATTTCCTAATCGTAATAAAATAGCAAATCTTTTCTTTTCGTCGTTTTGTTTATAAATTGTGCATTGACATTTGGGATCTCTTTCCCTCTTTTTGTCCGCTCCTTGAGATTTTTCTAGAGAGACTTGGGTCAAAATAGAGCCCAAACGGGATTCCCCTTTTCTCCCAAAAGCTACTAAGCCTCGGATTTGAAACGTTAAAACATGAGCGATGGAGTGTCGATTCCCCTCTTCAATCTTCAGTGCATCGATATCTCGATCCAGCTTTCCTTGATCTTCCCCTCAATTCCTCTCTTCTCTCAGTCAATCTCTGTTGTAACCCAACTGTTTGTGTGACTCACACCATTCATCATTTCAAATAAGATTGTGCAATGAAAATTTCCCCCTCAAAAAGCATTGGTTTATTTATTGGCTAACAAGGGGAAACAAATAAAACAGACATTGACGCTGCTCATTGATAAAGATCAAGAAAATCCCGAACAAAAGAAATTTTGAATTGACTTTACCGTAATCATTTTCTATTTTGGGGGTAGGCTACTTTGCGCCAAATTTTTTTGCGCAACAGGGTCATTTGCGCAACTGGATCGTTCGCGCAACTCGCTATAACTTTCTTCTAGCTGGACCAATCTTTATCATTTTGGTTTCATTTTGTAGATCTCAATAAGTGCAACAAAATGAAACCAAAATTTGTTGCACTTATTGAGATCTACAAAATGAAACCAAAATCATAAGGATTGTCCGACTTAGAAGAAAGTTATGGCGAGTTGCGCAAACGATCCAGTTGCGCAAATGACCCTGTTGCGGAAAAAATTTGGCGCAAAGTAGCCTAGCCCCTATTTTGCACTAGTTCAATCAGTAAGCAAACCAGCCATTTCCCACTAAACAGAATGCTATTTTGATTCCTGAGAATGCGATTTATCAATAATTTTTAATAGTTATTATCTTCTGGATAGGAGGTTCTTGGTGGCCGAGATTGGACAAACTGAAAAGGGTTTGTTTGAAAAGATTCTGATACTTGGAAACCTTTGGCACTTGATGTCCGTAACGAGATCGAAGGAACGAGTGATATTTAGCGATGAAAAGAATAAAGAGAATGTTCACGAAAAACGTGAACAGGACAAGGCCCAATACGTAGATGATCACAACCTGAAAGAGATTTTAAAAAAGATTTGATGTTGATGAAGATTTACCGCTTGATAGGAAGCCGTTTGATAGTTTTTGCTCACTTTCAGAATTCGAGCCAGCAGAACAGCTAAATTTTAATTGTTTTAATTGTCTTTGCTTTTCACTTTGGTTAAACTAACTACCGTATTTCTTCGAATAGAAGACCGGGTAAAGAGTATCATCGCGTACTCCTGCGTAGCAGCCCTTTTTAAAATTTCTTTTCTGCATAAAAACTTTCAATCAAGTGCTATAGAGCTGGAAAATGGGTCAAAAATCTGTTAGGTCATGTGGTATTTTTGACCCATTTTCCAGCTCTATAGCACTTGATTGAAAGTTTTTATGCAGAAAAGAAATTTTAAAAAGGGCTGCTACGCAGGAGTACGCGATGATACTTCTTTACCCGGTCTTCTATTCGAAGAAATACGGTATCTAACTTTGATACAGTATCTTAGGCTACAGTAATCGGATTGGAGTGAGCTGAGTTTCAGCACAGATATACCGTTCAAATGATTTTCTCAAAATGAAATTGGATACTTTATCTATAGAACGACGATAGGATACTGTAGGAAAGTTCAGAACATTTGATCAGATCAATTTGATCATATTCACAAGACAAAGTCGATCACATCGGTGATTGAATGAAAACTGGCGACTTGATTGACAATCAATCAATCAAGTGACTACGAGAGTTTTCCTAAAATATGCTCCTTTTTTTGGAGCATATCCTTTGCTCCAGAGCTCTTTCCAGTTTCCCCTAGTTTATGGAGATTTTGTGAGAATGAACGAGAATAGTTTTTTAACTAATTCTTAAATAAGTTTTCCGTTTCGAATCCAATCCCAATTCATTTTCTTTATTGAGCAACGGCAACAAATCACTCATTTTATTCTTTTATGCTTTTTCTTGATTCAATTTACTAATTTATTAATTCATTATCAATTTATCAATCAATTTACTCATTATTTTAATTTCAATTTTACACAAATAATTACAACCGACTTTATTTTTCGAAACAAAAGCTTTCTTTTCTCTTCTTCACAGTCTACGTGACCAGAGCTTTGTCAAAATTTTTTTAGAGTAAATGAGACACGTGTCCGTGTTGTTATTGGTGAAAAGAAAAAGGAGAGATTCGGTAAAGATGTTAGACTGATAGATGAGTTGCTTGGAGTGGGAGAAGAGGTGCGAATGGATGTCATCAGGATAAGTATCCCTCTTTGCAATAGAGACAGAGAAAGAATTTTGATGAAAACGTGAACTTTTCTTTGAACTCTTTCCTTTCTTTTTTTTTTCTTGATTTTTAATTTCATCAAAATCTCTTTGCTATTCACATTGTGAAAGAAGAAAAGCCAACGAGCAAATGCATTTATTTCAGTTTTTCTGGACTTCTTAATAAAACAATAAAACAATTAAATTAAGGTAGAAGTTTGCAGAAAATATTTATCGGAGACTTTTCTCTCAATTTGATTTTGAGTCTAATTTCAATTTGATTTGATCAATTTGTAAAGTTAAGAGTAATTTTTGGTGCCGAATATGAATATGAGAAATGTGCTTTGAACAGTTTTAAATGCCAGTTTTTCTTTTTTTTTACTTTTTTTTGCTCTATTTGTAGAAAAATGTTAGATTTTGATGAAGAAGCATTGAGTAAAGTTGTTTTATTTTATAGAAAACTTGGCCAACAGTATTAGTATTAGTAGAATAGTAATGAAATTGTGAATGCGAATTTGAAATTCTTTAAACATCGATATTTACGGAAAAAAGATCAACAAGTACCAAATTCCTTCAATTCACTTCAATTTGATGAAGAAGCATTGAGTAAAGTAGTTTTGTAAAATAAACATAACATAACATTTTAACATAAACCCGGCCAATAGATTCTACGACTCTGAAAACCCCTCACAAATTTACAGCTTAATATCTTCTTTTTGTACCATCTATTGGGTTGATGGAAAAGTCCTTTCCGATTTTTTGGGAGAGTACCTTAAATTTGTCCAATTTTGACGTTTTATAGCTCATCCTAAAGCTGAATTCAAGACGGATCGATTGGTAAAAACCGTTTTAAGATATCTCTTTTCTAAAAGCTTTTACAGCTATTTTAGTAAAGGGCGACAGAGCCAAAAAATGGCTGTAATAGTTTTATTTTATAGAAAACCTGGGTGTTAAAAAGTAACCGCAGCTCGAGTCAAGTCTCGACTTGGTTACCTGCGCCTGACGGCAACTATCGCTTCCACGGATCTTTTCGCTTCAAAAATTTTTCCAGTATATTAAGGATATAAATTACTCAATATTTCTACCAAAACTCAAGCGCCAAGCTTAGATTCTATCGAGATATGAGAATCCAAAGTTCAAAGTAGGCGTTTTTCGCCTAAAATAAGGCTTTTTCGAAAAACAAAGATCTAGCTCTAGAAGACGAACAAACAAAAGGATTTCTTTTCTTTTATTTTCTTTCTTTTATTTTCTTTCTTTTATTTTCAAATAGCCTTAATTGGCGGTATTTTCTTAAACGAAAAGCCTAGCTATTGCCAGAAATACATTTCCCAGAAAATGTGTCATTTTGTCATTTTTGACCTTTCAACTTAAAAGTTACCCAAGTCTTTAATAGTCACTCCAATTCCAAAATCTTTTTCCACTATTTTTTTGCTGAGATTCAGGGCTTTCGAACAGTATACAATACTTATTGGCTGAGGCTTGCAATGTTTTTATTTTTGGAAAGTTATGTGAGCGCTCGTTTCATTCCCATCACCCTAATGCACAAATTTGAGCTTTCGCTATAGCTTTCGTTTAGTGAATATGACTGATAGTCATAAGGAGCACACTCTACTCATCTTACTCTAAAATTCTTTCATTTATTCTTTCATTTTCGGATTGCCAAGTACCAAGGTTTTTCACAACTTTTTTTTTGGGCATAACTTTGTGTGCAAAGAGCTTCGAAGTCAGTGCGCAATCGAGGTTCATTTACCCCCAATTCCAAGTTCCCAAAAACAAAACTCTAACTCGATTTTTTTGTTCCAAAAAAACTTCCCTTTTTGTTTGAAGGTTTTCTTTATTTTTATTTTTGACTACATATTTTTGGCAGATCTTCTCAAAAAAAAAAACTGGCATTTAAAACTGTTCAAAGCACATTTCTCATATTCATATTCGGCACCAAAAATGACTCTTAACTTTACAAATTGATCAATTTAGACTCAAAATCAAATTGAGAGAAAAGTCTCCGATAAATATTTCCTGCAAATTTCTACCTTAATTTGATTGTTTTATTAAGAACAATTGTTTTATTAAGAACTACACATTTTTGGCAGATCTTCTCAACTAATCCTTTTCCTCAATTTTCAGATTACCACCCTCAATCCTTGTCAATTTCAATTTCAATTTCAAATTCCATCCCTGATTCATTCATTTTTTTTTAAATTTCCGTACTTATTCCCTAAATGTGCTGATGTTTGAGACGTGTAAATCGAATAAAGCGGTTATTATAGTGGAATTGAATCGCTTTTCGAAATAAACTGATTTTTTTGGGGTATTCATAGAAGAAAAAGGAGACAAGGTTGATCCTTTTTGAAGAAAAGAGAAAGATGAAGAAGACGTTCGGGGAAATTCCCCGAAAAAAAACTGAGAAGAAAAGTGCGCTTGGATCCCCTTTGAAGGGTTAGGCTGAGCAAAAAACATCAAGCATCACAAGAAGGGATGGAGGGAGGGATGGCGGGAGGGAGGGAGGAGTGATTGACCCTCCGTCACCCCATCTCATTCCATTCAAGCACTCAGTCTACTATATTTTCAAAGTGTTCCCCTTGTTCACTCAGTACAAAATCTTCTAGTTTCGTGGGGAATTTCAGACAAAAGAGCAGCTAAGAAAATGAACGAGAAAGTTGAACTTCGTAGCTTTCAAAATTGCCCCATTTCTTTGAATTTTTGCATAAAATTAAAAGATATTCAACTAGAGCTTAGGGGACAGTATATCATCTCAAGAAGTGCTCAAAACAAGCGTTTTGCTTGAATGTTTTTGCATGGAATAATGGAAAAGGACTTCGGTTCCTTACTGTTGGTTTCGGAATTGGATTAATGATTAAGAGAGACCAACGGGGGCATGCGTACCGTTACGCGAGAGGTGAAATTCATGAAAATCATGAATTCAATGAAAATTCATGGACCGTAGCGTGACGAACTAAAGTATAATTATAGTATAATTAAAGTGTAATTAAAGTATAATTAAAAGTATAATTAAAGTATAATTAAAAGTATAATTAAAGTATAATTAAAAGCAAATCTTTGAAAATATATAGTCTACCTAATCAAAATTGACTGATAACTGGATCCAAGCCAGCAAGCCAGTTAAATGCTCGACTACTTTCCACACCTTGGTTTGTATTACTATAACTAGAATTTTTCTCGTATTACTATAACAAAATCTTAAAGTGTTTGACTAGAAAAAGATAGCTTTTTTAGGTTTTGTGTGAATCAGATTGACTCTTTCGCTATTTCTTCCAGGCTACTCAACCAAAATTAAGCTTTTTTTTACCAAACAATTCTGCGTTTGTTTCAAAACAGACCTAATCACTATTTTACCGTATTTCTTCGAATAGAGGACCGGGTAAAGAGTATCATCGCGTACTCCTGCGTAGCAGCCCTTCTTAAAATTTCTTTTCTGCATAAAAGTTTTCAATCAAGTGCTATAGAGCTGAAAAATGACTCAAAAATACCACATGACCTAACAGATTTTTGAGCCATTTTCCAGCTCTATAGCACTTGATTGAAAGTTTTTATGCAGAAAAGAAATTTTAAAAAGGGCTGCTACGCAGGAGTACGCGATGATACTCTTTACCCGGTCTTCTATTCGAAGAAATACGGTATCTAACTTTGATACAGTATCTTAGGCTACAGTAATCGGATTGGAGTGAGCTGAGTTTCAGCACAGATATACCGTTCAAATGATTTTCTCAAAATGAAATTGGATACTTTATCTATAGAACGACGATAGGATACTGTAGGAAAGTTCATATCATATTCACAAATGGTTCGATTACGGTACTAGTGAAACTGGTGGTAAGATATTTTTACACCGACGTCCCCTTGTTTAAACTAGCCTGTAGAACGTGCATTCGACTTTAAATTGCACCTAGAACACAGTAATCAGTTCTACAGAGATGAGTACGGTACACTAGGCTTTCTTATAAGGCAAAATGCACACGTAGCACTTTTAAGATTAAGAAAGGTTTCGGGGAAAAACCGAAGCTCGAAAGTTTCGAAAGAACAAAAAATTTTTGTTTCAAGACAATTGTTTCTTGTAACTAAACAAACCAAAAGCGAAAAGATGCATGAAAATGCCGACGAGAAGCGCCATGAAATTGGGAATGACGAAAACAGGACGGTAGTATTTGAATGAGAGACAAATCACCAAAAGAGAGAACAGCCAAAACGTGCAAAAAGCCACGTACCTAGATTGTTGATATGATTTGAATTATTTTGGAAGTTATTTATAAAATTTATACCAAGCCATTCCCAATTCGACCCATGCCATCGCCCATCTGAAAACTGATTGAAATTAAAAGCCAACAATAAAAGCACGTCAAGTTTTTTTACCAAAAATGAGCTTCCTGCTTACCTATTCGGCTGAACAGTGAGCGTTTTTCCCTAAAAATTTCGTTTCCTTGAGAATTTCATAAATGAAACTCACCGCAGCAGTGTATTCAGCTTGTTCGGTTGCGTTGGGCGTTGGTTGGGTGTAATATGATTCCCAGGTACGGTAACGATCAAGAATGATACCGCCTGAGGCCAGACACAACAAATCGATGATCAACTGGAATGGGGAAAGTGAGAAATTTGAGTTGCAGTAAGACATTCCGAGTTATCATGCACGGCGAACACTCTCCAAATACCGTAATCAAATGTGGGCATAAGTCAGAATGAGTTACCGTAACCTTCCCCGAAATTCAACACAAATTTTTAGCACCTGAAGTGATACAGCGATACCAGCAGCAGTCACCACGTTGCACCCACAAAATCTCTCTGACGCCATTTTCTCTGAAATTCAGGTGTATCACTTAGGTAAGCTTATGAAAAGACAAGTTTTCAAAACCGTAGTGGTCAAACGAAGTTAGATAAAGAATTCAGCTCAAAATCAAGTTGATAAAAAAAGAAAGTTTCAAGTTGTTGTGAAAGAAATGACGGAAAAAAAAAGTTGGGAGGTGGATGATGGGTTGAGCGTCGTTTCATGGGGCAACCATCCGCCCCTTCCTTTCCACCCATTCTATATGCGCAACGAGAATCGGAAATTCTGTTGAAGAAAGCGACCGTAAGGTTCACAATTGGTGATTCAAAAAAAAACGAGAGTTTCACTCAAAAACATCTACGACAAGTTGGCGTTCGGGTACATGAAAGGGGATCTAGACTGACTTAAATTTTTAGTTTTTGTCCATCATTTCCATTTGCTTTATGTTTCATAGGTCTTTAAAAATTTATACGGATCACAAGCCAATAGAAAATCACAAGTCTCACCCAAACATCATTAAAAATATCCGAAGCAACAAATTGGCAAGAAGGGTTCATTTTGACAACATCGACAGAGCTGCATTCCGTGAAACCTTCGGCACATATCGTATAGTAAGTGATACACTAAAGTATAATATTATTACTTATTGAATAACTTTTGTTTTGCTATGAATTTACCGCTTTTGTTAAGAAAAATTATAGGTTTGAAGCACTTTGAAACATACTCACCGTGTTTTTCTCGTCATTCTTTCGCCGAAACGTTCTGGCAATACGTTCCATGTCTTTTCATTTAAAACATCCTCTGTAACTTCCTAAAAAGGAGTGAAAATAATATTGAAAAAAATTTACTTTACATTTATGCCATGCAACATTTTACTGTACGCATCGTCGGTAATAAAAACGAGACTTCTTCTTTCCAATAACATAGAGCCTCGATAGCGGGTTTCAAGCGCTCGAAATTGCTCTTTTTCAGTGGTTTCATTCTAAAGTAATCTTTTAATAACATGCAAAAATAAACTATGATGGATCTCAGAACATCAGTAGACCGAAAAATTGATACATACCTCAGAAGGAAATGAATCATATAGATTGAGAACGGTGTGACTTCCAAGAGTAATCGTCGAAATAAGTGGATAAAATGCTGGGCCGTCAGTATGCGCCATAATTCCTTGACCTGGTGTATATTCCTAAAACAAATTATGTAGAGGAAAAAAAGCAAAAACAATTTACGTTGACTAAACAGTGATTTGGTGTCGATGGAAAGGCTTGTAACTTGTCGATCATCCGTATTGTTTTGGTCAACTCCTAAAATTTTAAATCAATATATTTACAAATTAAATAAAACATGAGCATAGAGCATCTACCGTTGGAAAGTCGTTCATCGGTATTAATCCTTTCTTTCCCACAATGCCACCATAATTCAACAAACGCCGATTTGATAGAACCTCCCATTTAGGCTTAGGAGCTTGATAAACCTAAAAAGTAAGCTGCAAGATTTTGGGTAAGCTGTAAGTAAGCTGCATAAGCTTACCTCTTTTAAGAGAACCTCCTCATCGTGTTCAGTTATGAACTCTGGGATGTAGTAAATTGATGGCGGAGCCTAAACGAAAAAATAGAAAACCGCAGAAAAATTTTTTTTTTACCTTCGCTTGATGATATTGGAGTAAACTTTCGGGTAATGGATTCATATCTAAAAAGCTTTGTAAAAACTCTGGCAGAAAATTTCAGGAAACACTCAAGTGTAGGGTGCTTTTTCTTTATCTTTAAGCCATTGGGAAATAATATTTATTCGTTTCAAAATTGCTGCATATGGAATGGGAAGCAGAGTCGAGATTGAGGTAGACGACAAAGACAGTCCGGCAATTAATACTAAAGATCAACAAAAAAGAAACGAAATAATATACAAGATGTTGACACTTTGCAGAATTAGTACATAGGTAACCAGCCCCATAAAAGAGATATGTACAAATAATGTAAGCATACGAAATCCATTTAGAGTACAAAAAAAATAAACAAAATAAGTAGTTTTCAAAATATGAGGATCGCATTTATAATGTAAGATTCGTGGGGAAAGTGACAGGAGAATCACCTTTATAGGGGCTTTGTTCAAGAGCACAGTTTAAAAGTGAATTGTTTGTGAGTGCTGCATGAGCAGCTTCATATGAAGAGAAGAGTGTACGCACCGGTGATTCTTCAACATTTGAACGAAACGAGCACAGAAAGTCCCTAAACCAGTTGATACAGATGCCAAAAATTCCAATTACTAACCTCTCTGGCGAGTTTTCTTCTTTCGTTGGCGTAATCTCCAATTTCGATATGTAATCAAGTGGTAGAAGTTCGCTGAGGCTTTTTACTGGCGTCTTGGAGCTCGCAAGGCGAGGTTGCGGTTGAAGCATTAGCGGAGCATTGGTCGACCTCTAAATCAGCAGCATGTACAAACAAATATGCAGACGAAACTGACCCTCAGAATATTTGGTTTATGACTGAGATTTTGTTGCCTTGCAGTCGAACTTGTGGCCGCGATCAGTCCACGGTCGTCTCTAGCCGAAACACGTACAGGAAATGTGATGGTTGTCTGAAAAAAATTACATAAAAAGCGTACAAGTTAGAGCTTTAAAATATAAAGATATACCTTATTTTGGACCTTTGTCTCCGGGAATCCAATTCCGACGCGATCATTCAAATCCAGGACAGGTCGGCTGGGACCAGGATGAGAGGATGCATGTGGAACGGTGCGTCGAGGTGATTCAATATGACCTGTAGCATCTAATGCTTCAATAGCGTGACCGTGGGTGGTGGCGATTCCATTTCCACTTTGTACAATCAACACCTAAACAATTATTATCAATAAGTTAAAACTTAAACAGACATTTTTCATCGCTGGATAGATTGTATTCTCAATGGTGCGTAATGAGCGATCTTCTCGGGGAACCTAGAAGTATTTAATTTTGGAATGATGTATTGAAATGATTTACTCCTCGTCGCCCCTCGTGCACAGCATCAATATCTTCTAAACAAAATAGCATTTTATTTGTCTAAAGCTCTTCACGTGCCAGGTCGTCTAATTGCTTCCTCAATATTTCCAGCGTCTTTATCGCGCCATCTTTGCAAATCTGCTTCCATTTTTGCAGCTTTTTCTGGTCTAATCATCCACAAACAAGACTTTCGGCCCTGTCATTATTATTATTTTTAGTAATCAAAACTAGTTCAATTAAAATACCTGCACTCCGGGAGTTTCAACTTCAATTTTCATAAAACACTTGTTTAGAGACAGATTGTGACGCACTGAATTTTTCCAACCAGATGGAGCAGTCTTGAAATATGGGAAATTTTCACTAAAATATGACTAAACATGATAATTAGTTATCAAAAATTACCACATAAATGCGTAAATTTCTGAAACTGTAAGACGTCCGGTACGGCTAAAATAAACAGATTTTCTTATTTATGCAACTGCAATTTACCTGTTTTTCAAAGCCAGAGCAATTAAGCAAGAATAAGAATAGTTGGGTTTAGGAAAACATCGCCCATTTGTTGAAGGCCCATGAGTTTTTGAATCGGAACGATCAATCTAAAGGATCATTGAAGTGTTAAAATGATTGAGTAAAGAGCTACCATCTCAAATCCAGATGCAGCTAGATCGCTAAAACGAGAAACGTCGACTTCATCCATCCAATCATCCTCGTCGTATGAGCCAGATGGCAATTGAAGTTGGCTTGCTTCATTGGATTGTTCCTAAACCTCTTTCATCATAATTTAGCCAGAAACAATGTAGATTAAAAAACAAACCTTATTAACCAGGTAAATTGGTTTGACATCGATCAGTTCGTTGTCTTCATTGCACAAAGAATAATGGCTTTCTTCAGACAAACCTATCAAAAGTTATATTGAACAAGTAACAAGGTGTATACCATTTGTTTTCCCATTTAAAAGCATTTTGGCATTCCCATTTTCCAGAAGAAAGTTGCTAAAATTAATTTAGATAAAGAAATCTCATAACAAGCTCACTTTTTGAAGTCCTGTGAATACGAAGAGCCAAACGAACCACTATCACCACCAGAATCCAGACTCATCGATATCGCTTCAACGTTTGAGTAAGAATGATTAAAATAAACAAAGTGTACCAAATTCAGAGAAATAATTAACGGATAAAACCGTTGAAAGCAAAAAAATTTTTAACGATGTTTTATTTCTATATTACAAAGTAAAAAAACAAGCAAAGCAGAAAATATCACAATTTCTTGGCAACTTCTTCGAGTATAATTTTATCCAAAAGTCGTATTCTTTTATGTTTTATCCGACTGCATAGATTTTTTCAGAAGCATCTCTCGTGTTTCGGACGGGTATATGGTCTTTAATGGCTGAAGACCAATCACCTCCATTTTCGTAGACATCGTGTAATATTCCTTGAACTGCGAGAAGAGTAAGAAACTTTGAGCCACTTTTCCATGTGATATACCTTAATTAAGAATCCAATTAGAACTTCGGAATGTTTTTAAATTTTTAAATAATAGAATTTATCAGTCTGTTATCGAACATACGATTAAAAATTACCGATCTAACGGAAGCTTTTTACAAAGAATGCCATCTTGTAATGCTGTTTGTTTAGAGGCTTGTGGATGCAAGTTCTTTTCCACAGTTCGGTCCACAATTCCTCCTAACACAAAGATATCTTTCGAGTTGATCTAAAACACAGTGTGTTATATGTTATTTATTTATAACACGTTATTTATAACAACTATATATTTAAATTCACTTGAGTTAGCTCCTCATCAGCGTCTGGACTTAAATATATCAAATTTTGCTTTGGAAGCACGTCCACATAACTTGACTCAGAAACGATGACATTTATTTGATCCTTTGTAAAGAAACTGGCAAGGTGCTTCTCTTGAAGATCCAAAAACCTAAAAACTATTTGGGTAATTATAATTGTCACGAAAATGGCATTTGTGCTTGCCTTTTATCGTTCCCCCAATTCATAAAATAGAGTGGCCAAGGGTGCTGTAATGTCTTGTTTGCAGAGATCAGATATTGCAACTAAGAATTTCAAATAAAATAAGCTTATTGAACAGCCTTAATGACAAAGAAAACTGTTATACCTGCATAGCAGTCAAGTTTGCACCCCGCGGTGAAAGTAGCGGAAAATAACGACAATCGACAACAAGCTTCGGATGTTCATCTAGACGAAATGGAATAAGTTGCCGAGCACCGGAAATCTAAAATCAGAAATTTTATCTACAAAAGTTGTAAAAACGTATAATATATGAAATATTCATTTTAAAAATGACCTTATTTTCCCATCGTTTGAGTGCAAATCCGGGTATTGAAAGCAGTTGACAATCATCCTTCATAAATATCACTTTCGATGACGAATCGATCGATTTTTGGGCTTTCCTCGTTTTAGTTTTTTCATTTTCCAGCTTTTTCAAGAACTAAATAAGAGTCATAATTTGGTTTTCAAATGTATTTTTACTCGTAATTAACATACCTACTTTCAAATGTTCCAATCGTTGCTTAATATTTTGGCATTCTATTAAAAACCGCCAATCCTGCAGTAAGAGACTTGACGGAAACAATGGTGACAGCTGCGATATTAATTGAACCTAAAGTTAACTACTTTAATTTTGTTTTTAGTTAATTAATTTTTGACGTGTTGTACATTACCTCCCGCTCCACGCTTCGACATCGTAATTTTTCGGTTTCATTTAAATCGTCAAGTAAAGAAGAAGGAATCCGAACTTGTTTAGGTGCCGCCAACCACTAAAAACAAGGAGGTGACTCTTAAATCTAAAACTTTACTTGCAACGGCGAAATCTCCGGCGGTTTCTTGACGACACCAGCTTTGAATAAAAACACTCGCGTCTGCCATCTAACACGCCTCAACCAATTACATATTGTTATCATCAAAAAACAAGAAATTTCAATCTGTAAATTCACATTTCCAAGTGAAAATATAAAAAGAAAGATTCGACCCGGACTTTTTGAATGTTATTTTTCCCGCCTAAAGGGCAGTTCTCTCCACTACTGATCCGATTCCCTCTCACCCCTCATTCCCCCTTTTTTCCTCACTGAGAGCCCGGAAATATTTGACCTTTCGCGTAAAATAAACGTTAGAATGTGAATCAATCCCTTGAAATAACATTTTAAGAACATAATTTATTTACTCAATAGAATCATACACAATCGTTAGCTCAAATAGAAAGTACCAAAAACAACAAAAATGTACAAATCATTTTATTACAACCCCATATAAATGTGAGCAAAAACAAACTTCCAAATCAGATTCGGACTAGTATTGAAAGAATTATAAAACCTCAAAGGCGATTTGATCAATTGAATTGAATTCGATAAAATATGCACTGATTAAGCAATAATGAACTTTGGCAATGATTTTTAAGCAGTTCATGCAAGAATCTAAGAAGGAGCTAACTTCGAACCAGGGGCAAAAAAGTTTCAAACGCGGCCACACTACCTACTAGGTCATCAGAGCACATTTAAGAAATGATGAGAAAAGCTTGTAACCAGGCAAAAAAGGCCAAATTTTGTATGCCAAATATCTCGCGTTACAAAAGCCTTCCAAAAAACTAAAAGTAGATTCAGAATCCCCGATGAAAACTATCAGAAGCCAGATCTCATGTGAAAACTCGAACTTGACTTGACAACATTCCCTAGCAAGCAAAAAAGATTCTTTATTAAAGGATTGACTATTAAACTATAAAACGTCAAAATGTTTAAAGTTGTGAGAATTTTATGGCATAAATTATCTTAAGCTCAACGAAGTTTAATTACCTAGTCTAAGTTATAAATTCAATCCAAATAACCTCCTAATTACAAGAAAAGATTATCAAAATTGTCACTACTTATGCAAAACGAATGTGAAAGAATGCTATTTTTCTCAAGAAAATTCTTATATAGACTTATATTCTTAAAGGCTCAAAACTCGGGGTATTCAGTCCACTAAGCTGAATATCCATAGTTAGTGCTTCTATTTTTAACCATCACCACAAAATTGCTTCTATTGGAGTCTGAGCTTCTATTAGAATAAATACGACAGCTACCAATACAGTCTGATCAATTCTAAAACACATCTTTTACAGCGAAGACATTCGGGATGCAAGCCGGTTTGCGGATCTGCCTTCTAAATTAAAATTTAAAAGTTTGAGGACTGTCATCTACGTAGGTTTTTTGAGAATAATAAAAAACTCACGAGCTTCCAACGATTGCTTTTTTCATCTTTATCTTCGAATGCCCAATACGTCTTATTAATTTTCCCTGTGGGTAAACATTGTCCATAGACGCACCTAAACTTTGTAATAAAAGAATTGCAACTGAATAATTAACATACCCGTGGTTACTTGTCTTTTAAATAGTACTTACTCTAAAGTTACTTACCCGCATGGATGTGCACAAAAAAGGTTTGCCCTCTTTCTCCAAATAACAACCATCGATCACACAACAAGAACTTAAATAACGTACACGAAAATGTGGACCTAAATATCAAAGATTAATATAACAAATACGTATAGATGCTACCATGCCGTTGACAGTTTGGACATTTTCCTTGTAGGCGGGGCAAACATTTATAACAAACCATGTGACCACACTTGTAGGAGTGGTCAATCAAATTCTCACTACCTAAATGTGCATATTTCGAGATGTCAATTGAAAGAGAAAACTTACAAATGCAACATATACTTTCATCTAAAATTCCAAAGCGTTGTTGAGTCAGTTCATAAAGCGATTTTTCTTTTTCACCCAAAAAGTGCAACAGTTTCTAAAACCATTCTATCGCTTAAACATTAAATAACCAAACCTTCGGATGTGCAAAACAGATGTAATAATCGATATTCCCTTCCACTCCGCAACTGACCCATTGTGAAGCAATTTTATCCCGAATTCTAAATAAATTTTATGATGCTCAAAGTATATTGTTGAAAAATAAATATGTATTGGGATTCCGCATAATAAAGCCATCTAACAAACCTCATTCGATAGATCAAATATGGAATGGTCTCGAAATGGATTTCTATCGTATCACCGAAATTTATACGTGCTTGATCAATCGTTTTTCCCGCTCCCACGATCGAAGGGATCGAAGGATATCTAGAAAATTGCTGTTTATTGCTAAAATTCTTAACCTGACTCCAGTTTTTGAATCAATGGATATATTTCACGTTCTTCATGATTTCTAACCAGGTTCATTGGATCTCTTTCATTTCGGAATGGAATTAAACCCAAAATCGGAAACGTGAGCTCTTTTCCATCTACAATTGTCTAAATGAACATCATTAGTATGTCAAGCTCTTTGATAAGCCAAGTTACTTCAGAAGGCCGGTAGATCATAAATAGAGAAAATGAACCATCGCTTCGTCGAAGATTATTTATTGATTCATCGAGCATAGTCCACACATTTTTTTCAAACCTCTAAAATCAAGTATGCAAAACGATTGTAAAATAACCCTTACCCCGGCTTCACACTCAAGCTGGATGACATTCTAAAATTTTAAAGTTATAAATCGTTCATTGAATAAAACTGCGTTGCGATTTTATTTTAATGTATAAAAAATTAAAAACAAACCAACCAGCGGAAGCGACATCTATTTTTTTGCGAAGTCTCGGTGATTCGACTTCTTTTTCAAGTGCAGCCAAAAACTACTAAATTACGATCAAAAATTACAAACTTTCTCAAACGACTTTTATGATAGAGGCTTGCACAAAATGACGTTTCATCAACATAGTTTTTATGAAGTAACAACTTTTTATTAAACCATAGAAACAAATGATACACTGAACTAACTAAATACCCTAACTAAAACAAAAATCACGATAACTAGCATGATTGCAAAAATCTATACAGAAATTCTTTTTTCAAATAAGATATTGTTTCTGAAATTTCAGCATGTTGCCTCAGCTCGGTATCAAGAATGACGAGCGGATTGTAACCTGAATAATTGATTAAATTAAAAAAAAACAAAAACAAAAAAAATACCTTCCATTCTTAACAATTGAATCCCCATCTGATGAAACCCAAGAAGACGTGACTCTCTACCGTGATCATCATCCACATCGGTGTCTTTTTTATTGCTTGTTGTCAAATCGTATGTGTAATGAATCTAAAAGTATATATGTCGTAGCCGATTATGAATCAAATGATTTCGCTAGCGAAAATCATAATCGAAAAACATTCATAACCGGCTAGCCGATTATGAATGAAAGTAGCCTTTTCTAGAAATTTGTCGTCAAATGCAAATTATTTTTTATATTGTAGTTGGTAAAACCCCAATTCCCCCAGTTCGAGTACGGATCGGCAACTTTCCCATTTCGACCCAGAATTTAAATGTTTTGAACCGTAATACGTTACTAGTTACCACTTGTTAATCATGCTTTATAGATTTTGATACCGTCTGCTGACAAATACAATGAAATCGTTGTGAAAATCAAAGAATTCAGCGAGAGAAACGATAAGAAGAAAAAATGACGCGATGATTGTCAATTTGCTAAATCGTTTCTCTCTTCGATACGAACAGGACCAGGCGAATCTCTACAGTCACGGAAGCGGGCAAAAAAATCAACCAAAGCGAGTGGTCAAGAAGGAGAAGCTCTTTAATCTACTGATGGACATTCACAAACGACTAGGACACGCTGGGCGCGATATTATGTGGAAGGAACTTAGCGACTCATGGAATTTCAAAGGAGATTATTGAAATATTTGTCAAGCTTTGTGATGAATGCGAGCTGAAGAAGGGATCAAGGAATCAATTCGAACCGGCCTATAATAATTTCATCACCGCTGAAGAAGTGCCACATGTTGAGACGTCGTTTCGAGCCGCTGTTGGAGCCGAGTCTTTGACTGGATCGCAAGGTGAGTTTATTTTAATCTAGTTCAGCGATATTAAGTCAAATTCATTTAAAAATTAATACTATTTTTTATTTTCGGCCATAAGCATTGCAACTGCACAAATGGATGTTTGAATGGACGGTGTGCCTGTCGAAAGCCAACGTCCTCTGTAATAGCCGATGTCACCATAGCAATTCCTCCTTGAACAAGGGATAATTTTGTAAACCTTTGCTAATCTTTTGGCTTGTTAATTTTGTTATTGTTGTTATGTTTGTCGTTATTGTTTAACTCTAAAAAATTTGTTGATATGTTTTTGTTTAAATTCAATAAACGTGGTTAAAACGTCAGGAGTTACCTTGACAACAACAGCACTAAACAATTAAATATCAACATAATAATTTGCATTTGACGACAAATTTCTAGAAAAGGCTACTTTCATTCATAATCGGCTAGCCGATTATGATTTTCGCTAGCGAAATTATTTGATTCATAATCGGCTACGACATATAGATTTAGTTATTGATATTTGCAAAGAAAAACTTAAGTTAATTATGAAGAGTTAAAAACTCAACCTGATTCCAAGGAAAATAGAGGATTGGTCTGGTCTTTTTGTCCGTGATGTCATTTGCCCATTCATTAACCGCAATGCATTTTGTTGAGCCGAATTCCACTGGCTAAAAGTTAGAACGTCGCTCGATTAAAAGCTACATCAGTTGATAAAATTCAAGCAAGATATTGTTTCTCATCGTTTTTACCTTGATTTCAGCCTCAACATATGTGCCGCTTTCATGTAAACGAGGAGCCCGACAATGACTTAAAGGTGTCACCTAAAGATATTCCGTTGTCATAAACACGTGTCTGAAAACTTGCCTTATAAAGAATATCAAGAAAATCGCCCTCTTCTTTTGAGTTGCCACCATATTTCAGTTTTCTAGCGATTTGTGTCTAAAGCGGCTATAAGATTAGGTATAGTTATGCTTGAAAGCTTCACCATTTCTGGAATTGCTCGAAATTCTTTGGCAAGATCAAAAGTCGGTCCGTGATAGTCTTGTATGCAGTTTTTCACGTAACTGTTTATACGCATTATGCGCAAAAGATGGTACATCGTGTTCTCCGGTGATTGCCTAAAATTCCAGGCGGTTTAATCAAAACTAATCATTACTTCAATGAGTTGCATAGATGGGCGACAAAATCCTTGTTTAATATAGTTTCTGCAAGATGACCAGGCAACACCCCATAATATGCCAATGATGTCATGCTAAAATTAGCTTTAAAAGGCGGTTGTTAACTAAAAGTTACCTGGAAAGCCAAACATTCTCCGATTTGGCTTTCTGTTTATCGAGAATTTTTGCTAATCGTGTCGCAAGCTCTCTGCCATGCTTAAAATTCAGGCTGCAATTAGCAATGCCGAAAATCGCATACTTTGTCTACTACACCCAGATGAGCCATTCCACTGACAAATAATCCAATCTTCTCGACATCTTTGGACGCAAACTTTTCTACCACCCACTGACCTAGCATATTCCACAAAGTGGGATTGGCGACTCGCAAGCTAAAATTAAATAATATTTTTCATATGGGTTATGTACCGGGTTAAAGAATTAGCAAGTGATGTGACTTGATTCCAATCTTTAAGCTCCATCAGACCCTTTTCGTTGAGATCATTGACAATCTACATATAATTTTCAAGAATATATATCATTAGAAATGCAAACCTTCCTAATAATCCGAGCATCAAAGATATGTAGGCGACACAAAGAGGTTAATAAGATCACGCCTTGATTGACACTTAAGGACTGCGAGCTAAAACATGTAGGTAATTATGCAAGAGCCGTGCGTACTTTAGTGGTGGGGGCCACCTATATCTTCGAGATTCTCACTTTTTCCGGGGTAAACGAGTACGCTGGGCACGAATTTCGCATTTTTAGCATAGATTTGCTTTTAAAAAGCCGACTTTCGACCTCGAAAGATTTAGTCACAGTTTAATGGCTTATAGTTGAGCTACACTTAGCCAGGCCCGGGGTGAGGGTATGTGCTGCAAGCTCTCTAGAGATAGCTCAGGGACATCCCCAACTACTTCCCAAAGAGCTTGCAGCACCCACCCCCAACCTGGGCCTGCTTAAGTACGCCTCAACTATGCGCCATTACGGCTAAACAAAGCCAAATGTAAACACATAAATTTATACATAAAGACCAAATTTACATATCAACAAAAGCTTTGATTTTGCATTACTTCCGAGGTCGAAAAAGTCAGGTTTTTAAAGTAAATCTATGCTAAAAATAGAAACTCGTGCTCATTACTCGTTTAAAAAAAAAAGTGAAAATATCGAAGATATAGGTGCCCTCCAACCACCAAAGTATCAAGTCGTGCACTAACTATAGGTTTCATCATAGACTTAACCTTGCAGTCACTCACCTCATGACTATCCGGTTTATAGCTTGATCAATACACTCCTTATCTCGATTTCCTCTCGATGCAAACTGTTCGATTAGTGAAACTAATTCGTCAACATTCATCACTGGCAATAACTTTTTAGCCGAACTTGCAATCTAAATCAATTTCTTTTTAGTTTATATCATGAAAGAGTACCAATTTTAGCGAATCGGAGTTATTTGGCAAAGAACTTTTTTAGTATACCAAGTAGTTGACGTGGCATTGACGTGGTACTAAAAATGAAGCTATAAGAATTGAATCAAATATTAACCTGATTCGCTTTGACAGCTCTGAATGAAGTTTTTCTTGAATTGATGAAGGGAAATAGTATTGAGCTTTTTCGCGGCAGACATTAAACGAATTAACACATCAACGTTGATATCGCAATTTTCTTGCTAAAATCAAGTTCATATAGCAAGTTATTTTTTCAGAAAAGTTACCTCGGTCAATTCTTTGAACTTTTTGTAATAATGCCTCAAACAAAGGCGACTTTGAGTTCCCAATTGTTGTTTCAATCATTACAGCAAGCGCAGTGCTTAAATCCTCTTCATTGAGCTTCAATGTATCATCCGGATCAAATTCAACCTTTTGAATTAACCTGAAAAGCTATGTATTTTAAACTGCAAAATTAAAATTTACTCGCGAACAAGAGTCGTTCGTTTTTCTCTATATTGTAACTTTTTGCGACATGCAGTAGCTCCAACGCTTCATTGAGGTTTATCTTTGGTGAATTCGCCAGCTAAACAGTTGTTTAAGTTGTGCTTGCATGGAGAAAAGATACTTGGCTAAAGCCGCTTTTGCTTGGCAATCTTGAAGTGGTTGGTGATTTATCATTTGAATCTAAAATTTATTATTGTATAAATCTATTTAACATAAAATTTTACTCGAAGTCGGATTTTCGCTGAGAAGATTGTCAACTAAACTTTCAAAGACGTTTTCTTTTGTAGCAACTGACGACAGTGACTGAAAATCAGGTACGGTCCTTTAGAAACATGAAATAAAACCAAAATCGAACTTTGCGTAAACATGAAAGCTCACCCTGCAAGCAACGTAATTTCTACTCAAAACACTTAATCGCCTCATAACCCGAGACTCGTTCGCCCTGCAAAACATCGACTAATTGTTAAATTATTCACTAGTTTCAAATAGTTCCATTGCACCAAATAAAGTGTAATCACATTTAAAAACGTCGACAAAAGATTTATTCAAAAACTGATAAAATAATAAAAATTAACAACAACTAAGCAAAAGGACCTAAGAAATCGGAATTGTATGAAGCAAATGGTCGCGAATCGCAGTGTGTAGACATTCGTGAACCGCCAAACACATAGCCTTAAAGTCAATATTCACTCAAAACAAAAAAAAATTATTACTTTGCCGGTATTGAGCAAATTTGGAAGGTGGGCAACATGCACTCGATTCTGTAATTCTACAAGAACACACTCATCTCGACCAGAAATTGTAGCCAACTGAAAAGATCGTGCATTTGTGGGTAAAATCAAATATCAACCGTTATTCGAGGAACAAGATCGTTCTCTTCTCGGTTATTCAAATCGCAAATGACCGTTCCTTCAGCTATTCCACAAGTAGTCGCCGATACAACACCTTTCATTGGGATTCCGGCGTCACATAGAGCCAACGTTGCTGCATTGATGCAAGTTGATAGAAGGGAGCCGTCTTCCTTAAAAGTTACCTATTAACCCAAGTCCGACATAAAATGGCACAACCTCAATTACCATTAGATGAATATCAATTTGCGAACGAGGGGAAATTCGTTGTAAAGACTGCGGTTTCAAAAGTTTTTTCAACGAGCCTTTCAACATCGCCGCTTTTTCTATCTTTTCCGGTCCGTCTGAAAGTTGCCATTATACAAAAAAAAAGTAGCGCATAAATCAAAAGCCAAACTAATTTGCTTACTTCTTCATATTGTTTTGTTTTTTCGAACGGCTTTTAAGAAAGCGTTCATATTGGCAGTTGATAAAGCAACGATCGTCTTGCATTCGAGAACGCTGCGTTGCCTCATGTGGACCATAAACATGGCATATTACCTAAAAATAGAGCCCTTTATAAAAATTTCGAAAATCCTTTACTTGCGTATTGCCTTGAACAAGATAAGCCGCCCCTCCGAGCTGGCATCCATGCCCTAATTGAGCAGAAATATTTCGAATCTAAACTATTGGGTTTCCGCTATCCGCTAAAGCCTAAACAATTTTAGCTCAGCAAAAGCAAAACCTGTTGTGCTTTGCGCCCATCACAACGAAAACCGTGCTCATTGATGATTTTCATTTTTCTCCTTGAAGGATTCCTATTAAAAATATAACTGTAACATTTAAAAACGCAAATTTACTTTTACACTCTCGGTTCCTGTAGGTTGTCCTTGCTTGAATAAAAGTTTGGGCCCAAGTTCAGCAAAACTTAGCATCAAACGACGATTCCACTCGCATAGACTTGTCAATACCTAAATTGAAAAAGTACAGATATGACAAACGATCAGCTTCTCCAAATCGACAGGATCCTTGGTGCTTTGGTGGCTGGGAGGGGCCACTTTTGTTGGCTTCGTCGAATCTAGTGTTTTGAGCAGTTCGTGTCGATACTTTTCTTCGATTTCAGGGTAATTATATATGCTGAAGCGATTGTTGCTAATTTTATAGTATTTCCAACATGTTTCAAGCTAATATTGTAGCTTTCAAGTGACATCAGCTTTGTGATAACGTTCGGTGGTTAAAGTACAGCAGGCTAGAACACAGGGCAAACCATCAAATAGGATTATCAAAACGTGCTTAAATTAGCACCAATCGCTTCAGCATATATCTCTTTCTTCAGAATAAAAGAGAAGTATCGACAAAACACTAGATTCGACTAAGCAAGCCAAAAGTGGTCCCTCTCCGGTACCGGATCCTTTTATAATCCCTATATGATTACAGCAACTTGTCATGTTCTGCAGTCAACATATATTATAAACGAAAAAACTCACACTTATTGACACAGTCCTGTTCCTGTACTAATGGCTTATGGGCGTTGAAGTCACTGATGCAATTGTTGAAGCAACGCTCCGTCAAGGTGTTATACACGGTAAGAAACTCACGTAACTAAAAGGCAACTTTCATAAACGTACAAAGTAAAACTTTCTGTAGTTTCGAAAATAGCTACCTGTGAGATATCCTGAATTTGGCTCATACACGGAACGCTGGCTAGCGAACCTAAAAAAGAGATGTAAGATAGCAAAAAACATTAAAACACAAAAGAAAAAGGTGTGAAACGCAAAAAAAACTACAATTTGAGAAGCAGTGGGGAGAGAAAATCCTAATTTGCTTTTGATAAGCACAGAGCTTTCCGTATAAAACTCTCATCACTTAAAGTTTAAACTGAAGATCTGTTTTTAATAACCTATCCTTTTTGTAGGGTATTTTAGTGAGATTATGAATTTTGTTGCTTGAGTTCTTGCTTATGCTTTGAAAACGACATCTTTTGGGTAAGATTTTTCTCTGCTTTTTATTATGTGGGCGATAATGTGCATAGTCAATACGAGTAGCCCTTTTCATATAATTTCCCCCGTATACAGCGTTTAGTTTGAAAAAATTAACTTCAATATCTAATTTTAATTACCCATCGATTATTTTTCTTTTGTGCTTTTATTCTTGAAGTCTCTTATAATTGTTGAAATTTTAGGAAGGATGCTTTCACGGGGGATCCTCAACCGACTCCCCATTTTGAAGAGCTCTTCGTGGCGCGAGGTTCATCATCACATGGAAAGACAGGATTTGCAATTATATCTCGGAATTCGACGCTCAAACCCAAATCGAGCCAATCGTAACACTCATGTGAATGAACGTGCGTTTCGAAAATTGCGTGGCAAGAAGACGATTCTCATGGATCTACCCGATCACGAGGAACAAAAGGAATTGGACAGCCTCCCGCCTGATCGATTGAGGATTGAGTTGCTTAAGAAAGGCATCAACCCGTACAAAGATATATCACCTCGAGTCTGGCAGGAGGCACAAACAACGACTTCTTCTTTTTACGCTGTTATTGATCCATATGTCACTTTGGAAGAAAAGCTGCCGTTTTGGACGAATCAACCGATAGACAACGGCAAAGCAAAATTCAAGGAACTAACGCAAGCCGGTCTGCACCGCTGGCATACCTATAGAAATGGAACGAGAAGGATAAAAAACAAAGAGGGATTTGCATCTTTTTCGAAAAAACATTTGGACCGACCGCAGAACATGTTTATGTTGAAGCACACAAGGCTCTGATGGCAAGGGAATCGGCCAGAACTTTTGAAACTTATCACCGAGCACGCTTTTCAAAAGATGTGGCCAGACGTCGATGAGGGATCGATCAAATGGGAGCTCGTCGAGGTTCTTGAACCGCACCAAGTTGTCTCCGTTCGCTGCTCGGATATGCCATACCAATCGGGCAACGACATAGCACAGGTCACTGTGCGTATGCACACAAAGCAAAAGTTGGCGCTCTATGATCGATTCGGAAAATTGATTTTGGGCTCAGAAACGCAGCCGCGTGAAGTTGTCGAATACGTGGTGTTTGAAAACCACATTGCGGTCGTCGATGGAACGTGGCGGTTACACGACAAGGTTTATCCCAGATGGATCAAGCCCAAGCAGCCAGTCGTCAATACTGCTCTTTTGGAAGAAGTTCAAGACGAAAAATCCCGTCCATCGCGTTCAACCCCTGTTCAACTACGCATTGCCGACAACATTGAAAGGGAGAAAAAGGCTAAACCTGAGGAAACTTGATTGTTTTGTGATGTATTTTTGTTTTTGTTAAATCTTGCTCTAGTTTTTTAAAGCTGTTATTGTCTTTCATTTGTATGGATTAAATTTAGATATAAATGTCAACCGATAGCTCGAATAGCGATAGCGACGGGGACCAAAGGCAAAATGTTAGTAACTACTTTTATCAGCACAATATTTTTTTTAGGATGAAGATCGGCCAAACTCGGCACATTCTTCAAAAAGTTCTACTCCATCGGAAAGGTCACCACAAAGTCGTAAACAAGTGCCGATTAGCAGCGATGAAGAATCAGTTCCTTCTCACCGTTCACCTTCAAACTCTCCAGGTTGGCCAGCAGCTTTTTTTGTCCGATTTCAGTAATTAACTTTCAGACAATGATCATATTTCTCCAACCAAAAAACGTGTAATTGAAACATCGGACGAAGAGGACGATGTTGAGCCTGTATGTTTTAAACCTATTTGCTAAACACTCAGCTTGACACCTAAAAACACTACAGATTTTAGAAACAATCGCAAGATTCACAATTGTTCGGAGATGATATGTCTTCATCAAATTCTGAGGCTGATAGTGAGCAGTGTAATTTTAACTATTATTTCCTATTTTTAGACAACGATCTGGAAGAGGGAAGGGAACAAGACCACGAAGGCACACCACCAGATGGTGAAGAAGAGGATAAAACTCCAGCAGTCATCCAGGCCGTTTCTTCTAAAACGGACATAGATCTGGGAGAGAAGGTTTTTATTTTTATAAATTGGGTAATTCAAAAAATTAGATTGTCTTTGTCAAACTGCCAAACTTCCTTTCACTTGAGGCAAAGGCTTTCGACCCTGAAGATTTCTCCGACAGCGAAGAGGAGTTAGCAGACGAAGAAGGACGACAAAGGCTCAAACTCAAGGTTTTTTTAATGATAAAATGCAGATAAAATTTCATAATATTTAGCTAGAAAATACAATTCGTTGGAGGAAAGTGGCCAAAGAAGATGGTACGGAACAGTATGAAAGCAACTCAAAGATTGTCAAATGGTCGGACGGAACGTAAGGAATTTTGTGAAGAACTTATTTTTATTGCTTTTTCAGCATGTCACTTTATCTTGGTGGTGAGATTTTCGACATTGAAATGCGCCCGATGCTTGACCACAATCATCTTTATCTTCGTCAAGGTGCTGGATTGATTGGACAAGGAGTATTTGATGAGCGATGTACTTTCAGACCTCATTCAACAGATTCGAAGACTCACAGAAAGGTATCAGCAGCATTTATTTTGATAACCGAAATACATTTTGAAATTTTTTAGGTTACTATGTCGATGGCAGAACGCACGCGGAAGGGTGCTCAGATCAAGATGATTGCTGATTCTGGATTGAACCCAGAAAAGATCCGACAGGTTTGAGCCATTGTGTTGTTTGAATTTTCAAATCCATCAAGGAAACCGTCCGCAAGGAAGAAGAACGGTATCGTCAAGCAATTCGTGCACAGTTTGCAACGCAGGCACGAGGTCGTCGTGAGCGCGACTTTCGAACTTATCATGGGGAAGAGGATGATTATGGTAATTTCAACACATATTCCCAATGTTATCATACGCAAAATTAGATCCTGAATCGCTTTCTTCTATTAAACGACGATATCAAGACGCCCCAACTATTGGACCTAGAGAGTGAGAGTGAAACCGAATCTAATCGCGGAGACAACCAAAATAATTCTTCGGATTCAGATGCGGTAAGAATTCTGTACTTTAAGCTCGTTGGTCATGTTTGCAGTTAAATTGTTTTAACTTTCAGGAATTCCGACGCAACAAAGCTCAACGGAAGAAAATGATTGTCGATGACGACAGCGATTAAGAATTTATTGATCTTGGTATTGAAAGCTATTAATTTGACGAGTTGTTATTTAATAAAGTATCTTTTTCCACATCGAATCCAGTTCACTTTGTTTATTATGCACCACAAAGTTTTAATTTTATGGCAAAAGTCTCATGGTGGTGGTGACCATGGTGGCCCAGAAATTCCATGTATTGGGAGTCATAATATAGTAAAAGTCATCAAAAAACATCAAAATTTCCCGATCCCAAAAAAATAATTTTCCCACCATACCTACTACCTTGAGCCACAGGAAATATTTAAAATTTGACCCGAAGTGATTTTTTTTGGGACGCCCTGTATACGGTCATGGGCAAAAGTCTTGGCGGCTCCTGGGTGGCAACTTTCAAACGCAAATTTAGGAACCTTCTCGAGGCTATAAAAAAGTTGTCACAAGTATTTTTGAGCATTTTTACTCTACTTTTAGCTATGACCAAGCATTGAACTCGAAAGTTTATTTTAGACAACAAAAATAAGCGTCAAATACAAAAAGGTCACAAAAACAATGGACAAAAGTCTTGGCGGCACATACATAGAGGCGAAAAATTTAATATTTTGTAGGTCCGCCTTTAGCTGCAATGACCGCTTGGAGCCTCCGGGGCATACTGTGAACTAGATCGCGTAAAATTTGTGGCGCAATTGTCACTCAAACTCACCGTACGAAGTACCAAAAGATCCCCTTTAGAGCTAAACCGTCTTCCCTTGAGTTTCGTCTTGATAAACGCCCATAGGTGTCCAATAACATCCAAATCGGAGCTGTATGGAGAAGCTGAAACGAGTTGAACACGATTCGCGCGGAACCATCCGAGTAGTCGAACACTTCCTCCATTGGCAAGTCGAATAGTGTGGCCCATAAGCAAGTGACTCTTGTGGCAAAGAGCGTTGTCCTGGGTAGAGGAGCCATCCTTGTCCCATTTTGGCGGTCGCAAAAAGGAAGAAATTTGTTCTCCAGGATCGTCTTGTAGCGTCTTGTAGCGCTGGGCATCAAGAGTCGAGTTGAGAAGGACCAATGGACCCGGTGAACTTCTTGCCATAGCTCCAAAAAACAAGATTAATATACATAACAAGAGAGAGTCTCTTACCCCATACCATGACCGCTTCACCACCAAAGTTCACCGTCGGACGCAAGTATTTAGAGTCTCTTTCGAGCAACTTTGGTGGTGAAGCGGTCATGGTATGGGGTAAGAGACACCCCTCCCCGGCAGGGGAGGGGTGGCTGATGATGGAAAAACGGACGGACCGGGTCGGACTCTCCTCTTCCGGGTAATAGAGAAAACCGAATATAGAAAGAGCAGTGAATATGTTGTGTGGAAATGTTATGCCGATTGACTGCTTGTTGCTTTTAAATGACGATCAAATGCTAATTTCTTCCAAACATATTTAAACATTTACCCAATGCAAAAATGATGACAACCAAGTAAAAATAGAAATTTAACAACGCAAAGGGGCTACGATGGTGTCTCATTAAAAAAGACTAGAAGCGAAAAATAATTAACCTCAAAATTTCTCTTATTGCGTTGAGGATTCTTGTCGTTTTTGAATCAGTTGCATCGTTTTATCAGTAACAAAATTTTCCACTATCCGTTAAAGAAAAAGACCATAGAATGTTCTGTGACCCTTCTTTGGACCCGACAAAAAAATCAAGCAAAGTAAAACAACGAATAAAACAAAACCAAAAATATTAAGCACTCAATCTTGACGCCAAATCTGTTGGAGATTCCAAAGCAAAACCATCTTGAATGATTCGTCGTCCAAATACAGCTCCGACCGAAGCATCTAGAAACAGCACGATAAAAACTAGCCACTTTAACATACTGCTCATAAAAATAATTGTCGTTGGAGTAATTTGAGCTCGTCGAATTTGATGTAAACAACCAACAATCACGTCACTAGATCTAAAAATTTTTGTCACAACAACTGATCCAATAAAAATTTTATTAAAATGGTAACAAACTAACCTATTGTCCAAATCGCAGTTATGCTTGGCAAGAATCTTCACAACATTGTACTGCGCAAAACGTTCTATTATAGTGACCAAGCCTCTGAGGATTTGCCCAGCTGGAGTATTCTCAGGAGTTGTTAGACTAAAACTTGTATTTGAGTAACGCAGAAAAAATTCGCACTCACATTCTATCTTGTAGTGCTTTGTTACAATGATGATGTAAATGCATCACATATTTGTCAGGTCCTTGGTTAAGAGCCATCAGTCTCATTAAGATTCTTTTCAGCAAATCCGGGGTCCTAAATTTGTTTATAACGTAAAGAGTAGAGGCATCAAAGATATAGCCAGCAAACTTACAAAGCAGTTCCTGCTATAAACAACATGCCATCGGGAATAATGATTGTCACTTTGGGTCCTCCTCTGTAAATAGATGATTTAAGCGTTAACTTGTTAGAAAAAAAATATTATTTACCTCATTGTCCCTTGTGGGGGTTGACGTGATTGTTGCGAAAACGGACCAAAAGGTGATCCTTGAGGAGGCAAAGACGGACGAAAATGTTGATTTGTACTGTTGACAGAAAAAGCTGGATTCACCCCCGGCATTGAGGGAAGCATTGGCTGCTTCATAGACGAAGGGAAAAAATGGGACGTATTAGGGAACTAAAGATATTATTATTAAAAGAAGCTAAATCAAAACCTTTTGCTCTGATGGGATCTCCCGCAAATCGGCAACACTACTTGAAGGAATTGCTTTGACAGTTTCCTTGGCTTCAAAGAGTTCTCCTTCTTCTAAGTCCTGTAATATTTTAGAGTTAGTTTAGAGCAAAGAAAGGCTACTGGGGAAGCTGGGCCTTCATCCATTATTGGATCTTTCGTCTCGTATTCAGATCTTTGCTGATTTTCAGTGAAAGAAGTTGAATTATTCCATGGTTGCGGAGCCGTTTCTCGTTGATTAGGTATGATTCTCTAGAAATAAAACGGTAATGGTATTAAAAAAAAATAAACTATGTTTCCATCTTGATAAGCTTGTCCGGCGCTTCCCACATTTGCCATTGGTAATAGGCTTGGCTTTGGTCTAGAGTTTTTCTCAAAGGGAGCGCTTTGTCTAAAAAATGACTTATATTGTCTTTTTATCAAAAGCTACCTTTGTGTATTGTGTAGAACTCCTGGATTAATTTGTAGGTCTTCAGACATATTTCGTAGAATTCCTTGTTGGTAAACCAGTTCTTGATTTTTCGTTAAAGGAGGCCACACTATAATCAAAAAATTAATTTATTTAACTGAAAGTTCCTACTGTAACCCCGATCAAATTAAACAGAAGAACTGACTTAATTTTTTATTCGTCGGCACACCATTCGATTTTTGTGACTCATCTGGAAGGTTCAATCGAAGATCCACATCTTTGTTTGAAACAAAGTTATCCTAAAGCCGACGTCAAGTATATTATCTCCAGACAAACCCGAAAATCGGTGTCCATAGGTACAGAAGGATCATCAAACTTAACCTCTCCTTCAAGTGGAATAGCTTTTGTCTGGGAACTAAAAGGAAAGTTTTGTTAAACGAGTTTAAAAATACGAATTACATTTGTTCATTAAATGATGGACTGGCTGAGGGTGGTGGACTGTTGGCATTTTCACTTGCTAAATTTCACTAGCATGATCAAACTCTCAAAAAGCTCACCAGGCGCACGATTCATTGATGTATCTATAAAGCGAGAACTAAATCCAGAAAGAAAATCTTCGAGCTTCTTGGCCGTTTGTTTTACTTCCTAAATCATCATAATACTCATATTCACCCCTTTTCCCACCGCGCGTTCTTCATTTGGTTCATTCTCCTTGTAAATAGTTCGAAACACGAGCGAGTTGACGTGATTTTCCGGAATATCTTCCTAAAGATAACGACATAAACAGAAAATGATGAATGCACTTGATTCCTAACCTTATCAAGGTTTGTTCGTAAATCCTCGTCATTTGTAGGCGTTTCTGGAGACCCAATGGAAGAATCCTTAATTTAATGTTCTCGATGCTCAGAAAATTCTTTTTTTACCACATGCCACTCAACATTGTCATTTTCCTGCAAACTGGAGGGCGCATCATATGTGTCCAAATTCGTAATAGATTCCGGTGAAGGTGCATTCTCAATATCCTAAATTTCATTTATAGCAATCTAAAAGTTTTCAAAAAAGAATTAAGGTTGAGTTTGTTATTTGAGGTAAAAACAAACTTCATCGGCCAATTCTACTGCTTCTTCGTTTATGAAATCGATGGAACCAGGGTCATATTCGTCTTTCTAAAACAAAGCCTAAATGTATTAAACGTTAAATGTATTCACTTTGTGAGCTGGGGGCATAGGCATGTCCGAAATTCGTGTTTTTGTTTTCTTGGCTTCAATAGGTAGAGAATTAGTAGAGATCGACAACTCAAGTGACTGCTCATCAGGAGTAGCTTCGGTAACAGCGACATCTAAACTTTTGAAAATGAGAATTATGTAAAAATGACTCACTTGATGGAGTTCTGCCTAGGGCTTGTGAAAATAGTTGTCTAAAGTCTCGAGAAGCCTCTGTTTGCTCATTGCTATCGTTTCCTTTCCTTCTGGGATTCTAAACCATACACTCAGTTTGAAAGTACAAACAAGCACTTTATTATCAATAAAAAAAAATCAAACCCCTACTATAACTTGGTTCGTTTCAATCATTGTCGGACGTCGATTCGTTTCCCTTTCTCGTTCATTCAGTCGCTCTTGAGTGTCGCGCTCTGACACACCTTCAATAGGCTCACTTGCTACACTGATTGGCACATCTAAACAACAAGTTTTTGCAATATTTTGAAAACAACACATAGATGATGTTTACGCTCACCTTTCTTACGCAGAATAGAGGTCGGTGACGAGCGACTGTTCTCTGGCTTGGCTTTATTGATATGTGACATGCCTAAGGAACTCTTAAAAAGCTTAGGACGTTCAATTACTTTCAAATCGATGACAGGCATTAATCCCAGCTTGACTGTTTATGTGTCGGTCAAATTCTTCGGTGATGTAATCATCCAGTTGTTGGTGAAATCCTTGAACAATCTCGTTGGTTGATGGGTAACGACTTGCCAGCATTCTAAACATTAACTCATTTAGCCCAACAGCACAGTACCCACATTTGTTTGAGCGTGTCCTGATGAAAGCTATAGAATGAGCGTGGTTGAGTCACAATCAAATGTAAAGCTGATTCGATGTGTGATGGCAAGCCCAAACGATTGACAAGCTCTCCAGACGGAATCAGTAAACTTTGGACGTTATCTGCCGAGGCCCATAAACCCACCTAAAAAGTTTGATAAAACAATAAAGCATTATACACTTACAAGTTGATTGGTGCTCAAGGTTTCAATAAGCTTAGTAAATGGAACAGAAGGTGCTGATGAAGCCAATATAAAACAAGCCACAAACCAGCCATTGGATAGCTAAAAACAAAAAATAATTGCTCTTGAAAGAAAGAAAAACACCTGAATCTCTTTCCTGTGAAGCAGCGCGCCAAAAAATTCATTTTGCATCAAATCCTAAACATTCGAAATTAAAGAAATCAAGCTTAATATTAACCGAGAGTGGCGACTGTTCAAGGGCCATTTTCCATTTGACAAAATTTTTCACATGGAGAGTTGGTTCTCTGCAATCGTTCTTATTAGAAAACACCAGATAAAAGTTTACATTCCAAGTGGCTTCCAGGTCTCGTCACTGTTTGTCAGAAAGTTGACTGTATGCGGTGTATTCACTATGAGAACCCTCCCAGTGTAGATGCAGCTCGAGAGTTCAAACTTTGGTAGGCGTCTAAACTTTGAATGATAAGTTTGTATGTATGAAAACTGACAATCTTTTATCGGTTAACGCTCTAGTGTCAATAGCCACATCGACGAAAGCATACGGAAGAACTCCTGAAGGAACGAGCACGGACTCAAGATCTTCGTTAATTTCATACATGTATATCTAAAATAAGACAAAATTAAGTTTCTACACAAATAATTAAACCAATTGCTGACGATATACATCTACGCGACTTCGTCTACGAGAGTCTTCACCCGTCGATTTAGCCATGTGACAACCGTAACCAGAAGTTGGATCCAAATTTTTCGAGCCAAGCCCCACCTAAAAGGCTTTCAGTTTCAAAAATACAGAAGATAACTAAACAAACCTGATTTACTCTTCCCTTCAGTATTTTACATATCAGAACTCGAATCATGCATGGACCCCTAGGGCCGACCAAGAAACATTGTGGGCTCGCAAAATCAATGTTAGCCGAGAGGTATACACCTAAAACCAACAGGCATCGCTAATTACAGTCAAATATTGCTTCCTACCGCTTTCGCTATCGCCCAGATCGTCATTTATAGATGTTCCAACAGCTAGTCCGTTTTCGGCAATATGTGCAAGCTGATAAAGTATAATATTTAAATCTAAAACCAATAAATACCTCTTGGGGCGACGTAGAAATCTGGAAGAATGCTGCGTCTTCTTTGTCTGGCTGCCCACTGGCTTTTAGGCTTTTGCGGTACTTCTCATACTAAATATCAGGTTGGCCGAAAAGTCTTGTCCACTTTTTTAAAGGTTACTTTTTGAATGAATAATGAACCAACCAATCTATGATTTGTTTGATCAGAAATTCCTATTCTTTATTTACAAATTGCGCTTTAAGAGATTCTGAAAAGCTCGCGTTAGTTAATTTTTTTAAATGTGTGGAATCGAGCAGTCAAAAACGATGAAACTCAAAGTTCCGCTTTGAGCACTTTTTGTCACAGAAACCTATTTTGGTGTCAAAAGACAAAAGATCGAGAATGAAAAGTTAGAGAGATAGAAAAATTTTCATAATATTTGACTATATGAAACAGAGAAAACTCACTCTATAGGTGAGCCACGGATTGTTCAATTGTTCAGCTTTGTGGATGGTGAGTCGCATGTTTGAGTCAAATCGGTTTTTACGTATGATTTCTTCCAATTTCGTGAACTGCGAAGTGTTTGGTTGAACATTTTGCCACTCGGGTCGCGAATCTGGCTCCACCAAGTCTAAAATGCATAATGTTTTCTGTGAATCACCAATTTAACATTTGCGAACAGTATTCTCATTCTCTATTTCAAAGTGTTTTTCTTAAACTTGCCTTGCTCTTGCGACAATTCCTCGACTTTCTTTTTCTTTTTCGGTATTGCGAATCGTGGAGCGGCTAGTGTCATTTTCTCCATGGTGATCTAAATTTTGGCAATATTGTTTATCTACCTAAGTATATTAAAACATGACAAATTTGAAGAACAATCATTTAAAAGTTCAATAGAATTCAATGAAGGCTAGAAACTACAATGATTCCTAATGTTTGGCTAATTGCCAGTAAGGGAGGCCATTAAGTAGAAGAGACAGACAGGAGTGAATTATCTATCGGAGTACGGAGAATATTAAAATTCATCTATTGTAAGCAATTAATAATTTGTGTAATTGTTCAGATTTCCATTCGTTTTATTTTGACCCCGTAATTTAGCTGAACATCCAAATTCGTCGCTAATCTTTTTATTTTACATTGATTTTGGTTTGCGTTTACACGTTTACAGTAAGTGGTACGGTATTTATTCTCATTTTCGTACTATACAATACCTTGAAACTATGTACGCTGTCTTATTTTCGTTAAAAATTCTTTAGGATTTATCGATTTCTTTGTTTTAATGTCTCTCATAGAGTGTGACTCCTTTTCAATGTGTATGACCGCAAATCATTTCACAAGCTCTTAAAATCATTCTTCTCTTCCAGACATGATTTGATGGATTTTTTTGATAATATTAGTCATTCAAAAGCAATAATAGTCAAATTTCAGGGAAAATGTCAGTGGTGGAGACAGTTATCCAATCGAATTTGAAGCAAATATTGGAAACGATCCATTTGATTGCTCGAGAATGTGGGAGAACGACGGCGCCTCGGTGAGTAAATTGATCTTTTTTTTACATTTGGAATTTTTCTGTAGAATTTGATAAATTTGATAAATGGGCTTTGCGTTTACAATTTGTTTGAACTTCTCATTTTAGGCTGGTTGCAGTTTCCAAAACGAAACCCTCAAATCTGATTCTCGAATGTTATCAAGCTGGGCAAAAGTGGGTCCAAATGAAATAAAAACTTTGAAAATGAAAATGTACACGGAGTTCAATTGTTTTTTCCACTATTAAAACAAATTTTATTTCTTTTATAGACATTTCGGCGAGAATTACGTGCAAGAGTTGGAAGAGAAAGGGGCCGAACTACGCGATTTACAAGACATAAAATGGCACTACATTGGACAAATGCAATCGAATAAGGTTCGTACTTGAAGACAATCTCTTTACTTTGTGTATTTGATTTGATTTGTTTATGTAGCTTGAACAAAAAACTCCATCTCTTACCATTAGATCTCAAAAATCTGCGCCGTTCCGAATCTCTACTGTATCGAGACACTCGACAATGAGAAACACGCTCAACTTCTGGAAAAAGAAATGAACAAACGAGGATTGAAAGTGAAAGTGTTGATACAGGTGAATCGATAGCTTGAATACTAAATTAAACAGTGACTCAGGTGAACACATCAGATGAAGAACAAAAAGGTGGACTACAGCCAAATGAGGCAAAAGAACTCGGGAAATTTGTTGATGAACAGTGTGCTCATCTTGAATTTTCTGGTTTTATGACGATCGGATCGGTGGCAGGGAGTTCCATGGTTTGTTTGAAATGTTTCAATTTGTTAAGAAAGATCACAAAACTTTCTCAGAGTACATTTCTCAAAATTCTAATTCTAATCTTGTAGCATTTATCCACGGGTAGATATGTAAAAAATCGTTTTGAAAATTTCAACCTTATTGTTAACCCTTTTAGACACCAAATCCGGATTTCGAAAAGTTACGAGAAGTTCGTGATGATTTCGCGAAAGAAGTGGGAAGGGGTGTTGAGGGATTTGAGTTGTCGATGGGTATGGGAAAGCTTTAGAATAAAGAATTAAAGAATTTCAGGAATGTCCGACGATTTCGAGACAGCAATTCGACAAGGAAGTACAAATATTCGAGTGGGGAGCAAAATATTTGGACCAAGATTGCCTAAGAAATGAGGTTTCGAATACGGCGATTGTACTGCAATAAGCTCATAGTTTTGCTTATTTTCTACCAATTCTATATCTTAAAAGTTACTTTTTTTTAACTAAAATATTAAAGCTCATAGTTAGAGCTATTTTTTTAATATAAAAACATGCCAAAAGTATGCGCGAATTTTCTTCAAACCAAACTACAGGCTATTGCAGGTACTACGTTATGGTGCTAATTTATTCATTTCAAGTGTAGATATATTTATTTTGCAATAAAATATTGATAGAGTATGTGTTTTTTTTGCGCATGTCAAGGACAAAAATAGCCCATTTTGATGATAACGCTCTTCTTTTAAGGGTTTGGCAAACAAATCACAGGCGGTGAGTCTTTTTCTCGGTAAAGAGGCTCATTTCAGTGAAATTTTATTGATATCATCACAAAAAAGAGAAAATGATTCTTTATGAGAAACAAACAAACAATAAATGAATGATGTTTGGATTTGAGACTGATCAATTAGATATGATCACTCTAATTTTGTCATTTTGAGACCTACACTATTGGACAACGAAATATCATATTTGAAAAAAGATCGTCACTTTCGCGCGTCTGTAACTTCCTTGTCTTTACCGTATTTCTAAAAATTAATATTACCATTGTGTAGCCCTTGAAAAGAGCTTTCAGAAAATGTATAACATTAATAGTTTAAACTCAAAGACAAGGGAGTTACAGACGCTCGAAAGTGACGATCTTTTTTCAAATATGATATTTCATTTGTCCAGTACTGTAACTACAGTATGTAGTAATACGATTGGTACTATGCGTTTTCGAAAGCTACCGTAAACTTGCTTTTTATCCAATCTTGCGTATCTTATGGTACTCACCAAGAACCAAACTCACCTACGTTCTTGATCTTTGGCCTGGAATCTAGGCTCTTTTTTTGCTTAATTTAATCTGGAAATTTCGACTCAGGGCAAGAAATTATGATATTAATGTTAATATATTTTTAACGTGGACACTTGAGGCTTTTAAATGATATCAAATAGATCGATTGGACTAAAGAATCCTGAGAGAATTGGGAGAGATTTATTTTGAGTCTGACTATAGCTGAGTTTTCTTTCTAGAGTTTTCTCAAGTCAGATAGCTTCATAATATTTAGCTAAAAAGATATTCAGTAAATTTGTAGCCATGGGTTTTCAGGGTTGGGGAATCGATTGGACGGGCTTGTTTTTTTGTAACATTCAAAATTAGCTGTCATTTGAAGCAGCTTTAGCATCATTCATTGAAGTATATCAATTCCTTGATAACTTGACTAAATTTCCAATTGCAACTCTAATGCAATTCTATTTTAACTCTCTGGTAGGTATTAGTTCTCTTTTTCAAAATCATGAGGTTTCACTCAAGAAAAAAACCGAAAAAGAGTTTTCATGACCCTTTCTTTCAAAGATAACACAACGGGTCGGGGGACACACAAAAAAGGAGACTTCCGTAATATCATCTCTTTGATTTCTTTAGATTCTCCATGAATTCCCTCTCCCACTTATCAGTTATTCCCTCCTTGATTCCCTCATTCACTTTTCTTTTCTTTTCTCTAATTCCCATTTTTGATTCTATCTAATCATTCCGCTCTAGATGTACACGTGAGACAAGAAACTCCGTTTTTACCTTTCACCAAACACAAAATTGTTTTTGTCACCGATTTGAGAGAGATTTATCTTCCCCATTCACTATTTTAAGCCTCATCACCCCTCATGATCTATGGGATTCATTTTTGATCTTAAATCATAGCTTATCAAGACAACTTGTCATAGCTTGTCAAGCTTTTTCAAGTTTTGAGCTTTATTTTTGAGTATCGGCATCAGTAGAGCAATATCGATAGTTTCACTCCACACCAACCACTTTTTTTCACTTTGCCATCTTGAATATCTTTTCTAGATTTTCCTAACTACACCATACTTAAATCGCATTCTTGAGTCGTTTTTAACCTACAGTAAACATTTAGAACAAATTCCTTTCCTTTTAAAATGTCCGTTATCATCAACAACAACGAGGCTCAGCCAGCAAGGGCACAAATTGAGTGAGTTTCACGACAAAGAAATTTCTCACTTAAGAAATTTATCTATAGTTTACTTTGATCAACTTTTGATTCTTGATCTTATCAAAAATGAACATAAAAACATGTTTTTTCAAATATTTTATCACTTTCTGATGACGAAAAAGTCAAAAAATTATGGTAAACAGCTTTAAACTGAAATCAAACCATCCTTTTCTTTACAGTTTTTATCAGACACTCCTCTTCCATCTTATTGTCTTCAAATTGAAAAAGTAGTGATAAAAACGAAATTGAATTGTACCCCAGATTTTCAGAGAATAGAAAAAAAAAGTGAACGTGATGATCGAGAAGTTGATAAAATCGTTAAAAAAAAGTAGATTTTAGTCCTCGATCTTATGAAGATTTGTTGATAATCGCCGCAACGATTCGAGAAATCGCAGGAGATCGGGTAAAGTGAATCACATTTTGGGGTACAGTATTCTTTGACACTTCTAAAGTGCACTAGTCAACTTTAAAGAAATTACGTAAAAGCTCTAATAGAAGAACCCCCTATAGGAGCGTCGCGTGGTCTAAGTTTGCTCTCAAACAAACGCTCATATCTTGACACCAGTACGTTTGTTTCTGCGCGTTTAGGTATCAAAATAAAGTAGAGAGGATGGGTGATTTTTTGAGATATAACACAAATTTTTAGCATTAACCAGCTCTTAGAACAAAATGATTGAAAAGTGACAAAAAAAGCCGATTTCTCATCATTTTTCAATCATTTTGTTCTAAGAGCTGGTCAATGCTAAAAATTTGTGTTATATCTCAAAAAATTACTCATCCTCTCTACTTTATTTTGATACCTAAGCGCGCAGAAACAAACGTACTGGTGTCAAGATATGAGCGTTTGTTTGAGAGCAAACTTAGACCACGCGACGCTCCTATGGGGGGTTCTTCTATTAGAGCTTTTACGGTAACTACAGTATCCCTATAGTGGGTTTATAAAGAGTTGTATTGAAGCAAAGCTGTAAACAAAGTCAAGAAATTGAGTCAGTACCAAGATGCTCTTCAAAAGACAGTACATTTTCATTTTCATTTTCTATTCAGGCTCAAGCCGACATTGGAATCATTTGCGGTTCGGGACTTGGCGGTTTGGGGAATCTCGTCGAGGATCCTTTCCCCCGTTCCATATGAAAAGATTCCTGGATTTCCTCCATTGCACGGTTTGATCTAATAAGATTCACAAAAAATCTTGAATTCGCCAACAATCCAATTTGCTGACTTTGCTAATAGTAATGGTAATTTAAACGTAAACGTTCGGTCTTCGGTACACTAAAATGCTCACTTTTATTGTAATGAGAAGGTTTTAGTGTGCCAGATAGTGAGTGTTTACATGTGAAAGTTACAATTGTTGCTTATTAGCCCAGTTTCCAGTACCGTATCGATCTTTTGACGCAAACTTTTAGTATAAAAAGTTTACGTTAAAGTTAGGGTTACTCAAAAGAACTTACTGAAGTTAATTTTCAGCAAAATCTATAGCTAATCTTTACAATTTTTATTTAGTCCCTGGTCATAAAGGGATCATGCTTTTCGGGCGTATCGCCGGTCACCGAGTCGTCTGTCTACAAGGACGATTTCATCCATACGAGTACAATGTAAAAGATTTTCTTTTTTAAAAACATTGATCACTGAATGTCTTTCAATTTTCTAAGCTATCAAAACTAAGATTTTAATTATTTTTGCAGATGAACTTGGCATTGTGTGCCCTGCCCGTTCGCGTCATTCACCAATTCGGTGTTCGCACGCTGCTTGTCTCGAACGCGGCCGGGGGAATCAATCCGAATTTTCAATATGGAGATCTTATGCTTATTAAGGTTGGGAAAAGAATAACAACAAAGTACTTTAAGTATGAAAAATCATGTCATGTCAGCAGTGTTTTGGACTCAAAATACAGAAAATGGACAAGTGTCGATCGATCGATCGATTGGTGTCATCAAATTTGATTTTCCGCCTGAACTTCCGGTATCTCCGGTACCAGTATTTCGATTCTGCGAATACTGGTTTTCTCATTTTCCAGCGAAATGCTTTGAGAAAAATGATGAGTTCCGTTGCAGGTAAAATAATGACGCGTCACACTAACATGTTTTTTAATTTCAAGCGCCGTTTCTTCCTCTTTTTGCATATATACAAAGTAAAAGATGTCTACATAAATAACATTTAGTGCTCCAAATTTCATCACTTGGCAAAAAAGGAGGACAAAATTCCGCATTGTTCTACGATTGTTCACAATATAAATAAGGAAAATCACCAGCAATCTCATCGCACGATCATCACTGTTTTTCGAGAGGAAAGTATACACATTCGTCAATGTCAACGATGGTTTCAAAGATTCCAAGGCGGCGATGAAAGCCTCGTAGACGAGCCACACCAAGGACATCCTCCAGAAGTGGTCGACGATGACTGCTCGCCTTAATTGAAGATTGCCCAACACTCACCGTTCGTGAGTTGGCAGAAATATTTGAAGTATCCCATATGACAATCAAAAACTATTACACAAACTTGGGAAAAGAATCGAGTTGGAAAAATGGCCTCACGAGCTGACCCAGAGCAACAAAATATCGCCTCAATTTTGCCAAAAATACAAATCAAACGACTTTTCACAGGGTTTGACTTCACGAAACGTGGATCAACTACGAGAACGTTAAACGCAAAAATCATGGCTATCCTGGGCAGACCCTCAAACCACTCCCAAACCTGATGTCCAGGGAAGAAGATAATGCTCTGTTCTGTGGAACTCAAGGGATTGGTACATTATGAAGTGCTGAAACCTGGCCAAACTGTCGATGCTGATCTTATTCGAAGCAATTAATGAGAGTTAACGAGTCTCTGAAGAAATTGGGGCTCAAACCGGAGAGAGTCAGATTTTTTACGACAACGGCAAACCTCACCGCAAAGATCACTATAAGAAAATCGAGGAAACTTGCTTGAAAG